TCTTAATTTAAATGATTTTACAGCTCAGAGATTTTTACAGCTGTTAGATTATCTTTATATAGTAATATTATAGAACTCTACTCTTCTTCAGAGAAAATTTTCAATTTATTTACTATAAACTGACTCAGTATTTCAGTATATAGAATATAAATAATTTACAGATATTATATAAACTGCAGAATCAATTTTTATTTCTTTATAAAAAATAATATTTTAATAGTTAGTACTATAGATTTCTGAAAATCTGAACACTGTACAGAGACAGATTAATATAATAATAAATTAGATAAAAATTAAAGATATATAAATAAAGAAAAAAATTAATAGAATTCAGTATAAAATTAATATAATAACAACTGAATTCTGAATCTTTCAATCTGTTTTTATTTCTGTCTATATATAGAAAAATACTATTAAAATTTTCTTTATCTCTGTATTTATATTTTTATTTTTTTTTTATCAACTATTATTACTGCTGTCATCACTTCTGCTACAGTATTATCAACTAAAAATAATATTTGAATATATCAGCTCTTTCATACAATTCAATCAGTTAATAATTTCTAAAAAAAATAAAAATAGAGATTAAATAAACAGCTCTCTGTACAGTATCTAAAGTTATTATATAAATTTAATTGAAAAAAGAAGAATAGTAAATATATATTTTTTTTTCAGCAGAAAATAATTATTAATAAAATATTTAGTTATTATTATATAATGAAATTAAAATCTATTCTAGAGATTATAAAGAAGTTTGAGTTGATGTATATATAATTAAAAATAAATCTGAATAAACTCTCTATCTTTCTCAGAAGAATAAAAAGATAATCTGTATATATTAATTATATTATATTATATATCTTTTAATTTTAAATATTTATTTATTTATATATGCAGACTGTCTCAGTAGAATTTATAAAAATAAATATTCTCTCTTTTTCTTTTTTCTCTTTTATATACAAGATATTTCTGCTTTTTTTTTTATTTATAATAATAATAATAATAAATTAATTATAAAATTTTTTCTTTCTCTATTTTCTTTTTCAATTTCTTTTCTCTTTTTCTCTTCAGTTTTTTTATTATTATTCATCAGTATATATAATTTTTTTTATATCAGAATTTATTATTTTTTTATTAAAATTTATTAAAATTATTTATTTATTATTTATTCTGTCTTTTTCTCACTCTGTATACTGTATAAAATATTTATTTTATTATATTAAAAAAAAGAACACTGACAGAAACTTGTATATATAATTAAAGAAGATTTTTAATTTTTTTTTTTATAAAAAAAAAAATCAATTTTTTTTTATTCTTCAATAGTATCTTTTTTTTCTCTATAAATAATATAAATATTTCTCTGTTTCTCTATCATACAGTATAGAAAGCTGATTATAATATAAAAGTTTTTATTTTATATAATTCTATTACTATTCAGTAGAATCTGATTTAGACTAAATTAATTGATTTATATTATTCAACTACTGAATATTAAAATAAATAATAGAAATAATCAAAGTATAATATAATATATATCAGTAATTCTCAGCTGAGTATATTTTATTATAATTTTTAATTTTATACTTTGTTTACTGTCTCTAATTTTAATATATTATATATTTATATATATATCAGAGCTGATTAAGTATTATTTTATTATTTATTATATATAAATATTATTCTAATTCAATTCTATAATAGAACTCTTATTACAGACTGTATACAGTGTTATATATTCTCTGAACTTAAATTATTTTCATTATATTATTATATATACAGTTATTTTGAAGAAGTATATATCAACTGTAAATAATATAATTATACAGTATAATACTCTCTTCACAGCTCTGTAGATTAGTTTAATATATATAATAATTTTTATAATAAATAGTTATTACAGCTATAAATATCAGCAGTAGATGATGTAAATTATAATACTCAGTTTAATATACAGAATAATCTTATTTTTATTGAATAGAGTATATACAAAACTTTTATTTTTCTATTCTATTCTATTCTATCTCTCTTTAATCTTCATTTCTTTATTATTATTATAGATATATATATATTATTATTATAGAATTAGATCTAGTTATATAAACTGTATATAATACTCAGACAGTTGATTTATATTTCTATACAGTATCTGAAATCAGTAATTTTTTAATAGAGATAAAATCAAGTAGATTATTTAGCTAGTGATTATATAACTTTCTGTGTGCAAAGTCATATATATCTGAATTTAATAGTATTTCTCTTACTAAATACAAGTATTCTGTATATATGAATATGAAATTGAACATACATCAGCAATAACCAGGTTATATGCAGTGATGTTGATGACTGAGTGACTGTGCCTCTGCATATAACCAGGTTATTGTAAGGGTTGGGTTCAAACACACCATAACCTGACCCATCTATAACTAGTTAACTCAGTCTCTATCCTTGACAATATCCCGGCATCATCTCCCGTGGCCAGACGGACCTCTGCGCTTGGCAACACCGGAACACCACCACGGATTCGTCGTCCAGATGGCCCAACACAAAGGTGGCCCGGCTTCAGGTGCGTCGCCAGATCGTGTAACAAATACGATTAGTAGGACGTGAGTACCACTACTATACCACTATACTCCTATACACTAATGCTCCAACAGCTGTGATTAAGCAGACAAATATTTGTTTGATTCAGCCTCTGAATCTATCCCCACCAGCAGCAGCATCACCCACGACAGACAAAAAAAGATTCAAGTCCTGCTGGATCCTTTCAAGGAACCAGAACGAGAAATACCCAATATGTCTGCGCTGTGAAGTTCCAAATACTGCCCATTCGCGAGACGTTCAGAAGGGATTCCCGGCCCCAATCGGGATATATACCCTGGGATATATGTTCCTCGAACCCTGGATCGATCTGCTCTCAACCCAAACCCGAGATCTGTACTACTTTCTCATCCCAGGGAGGACGACCGCCATTCACTAACTAGCCCCAGAATTCGACAGATAGGGCTCACACACTTTCGAATCGAAGCGACAATACCTTGGACATCTAAGTTGTAGAAACGTCGCAATCGTCGGGTGCGCTCTATCATCATATTTCTCGATCTGGTGGCTGGTTAAGGTTTCCCAACAAAGACGAACCAAGGGACGCCGCCGCCGGTGCAAGCCGCGCGGGCGCGTCGGCGCCTAATAATATATACCTTTCACCCCCAGCATATCAGAACTGAAACGGGGAAAAAATAATACCAAAACCAGCCAGGTTGTGGGATGATGTATAAATAGGGTCGCTTTAAACCTGTTCTCAATGCTTGTTTTGTGAGCGTTTCTTACTCTCATCTTGGGGGACGACGGTATACATTTGTGAAGTGTATTGCGGCTCATGGTTCGGATAATTCATACCTGGAGGGGGTAATCGTGATGATATTCAAGTCGATAAAAATACTTTCATGTTCCCTGTTGATGATGTCATAGGCAGGCTGTCATGGTTCAGCTTCGTCTGCTCTACAGATGTATGTACAGAGTAACTAACTACATACTGCCAGCATGGCGCTGGTGGTGAACGAACTCTTTTGCGCCAGTCGATTAGAAGAGCAACCCAGAGAACACCAGAGCGGCCCAGCAAAGAACAGAACTCCAAACATATCCATGGATACAATTTGATGTTTATTCTATAACTACTACTGCCCGTTCGTGCTCAGTGCCCAACAACGGCAGTTGGTAGACAGCGGAATCAGGCTTTCTGCACGTATCCTTTCGAATCCTACCTTGCTGGAATTGATAACTAGAACTTGAACTCAATTTCAAGTTCCCATTAGCGGCATGTACGTCGGCTCCACCACTCTAATTGCGCCGAAGCAAAGGGCGGGGGAGAATCAGCTTGCCTACACCTTCAATCGTCCTACCTCGGCAGTTTACCAAACCCGGATGGAGCTTCTTAAGAGTTTTGTTGACCTTACCCGCGGTGTCCATCAGGCTATCAACCTCCAACGGCCACGTTGGAGGGCAACATAAAGAAAGCTACTACACCATTCGGGACATTATTTAATCCACCTCCTCCAACAATACCAATACTCACCTAAATTCGAACAAACAACCAAAAATCACCCCCCCCCCCCCCCCCCAAAAAAAAAAAATGCCTTCTCCATTCACCACCCCTCCTCCTCAATCCTCAATATATCTCCTGTCGTACCCAACACCAGGCGTGCTTCTGGTCACCATCAACCGTGCCAGACACATGAACGCGATCCATTACCAGGGACACTGGGATTTCCACGCGCTCTGGACATGGTTCGACGACGAACACACCTTGCAAATCGGCATCGTGACCGGTGCCGGCGACAAGGCGTTCTGCGCCGGGCAGGATCTGCTCGAGATCGAGATCGAGATCAAGGTCGAGACCGAGAGGAATAATAGCAAAATCCCGCCAGCGCAGCAGCAACCGGCCACCCTGAGAGTTCACCCTCCGTCCGGATTTGCCGGCCTGAGCCAGCGGAAGGGGAAAAAGCCCGTGATCGCGGCCGTGAACGGGTTCGCGTTCGGGGGTGGTTTCGAGATCTGTCTGAATTGGTTGGTAAAAAGGAAAACCCCTTTCGATGTTTTTTACATTTTTCGCGGTTCACCGCTAGTCCATTTTTACAAATTTTGTATATATATATATATATATCTATTGACTGACTGACTAACTAACTGACTAACTAACTGCTGCTGCTGCTTCTGCATCTTAGCGATTTGGTAATTGCCTCCCCGAAAGCACAATTCGCTCTACCGGAGGCAAAACGGGGCATATATGCGGCCGCGGGCGGCCTGCCTCGCATTACCCACATTGCCGGGCTGCAGGTTGCGTCGGAAATCGCACTGACCGGCAGAGCCATATCTGCCGAAGAGGCTAGGGCGTGGCACCTGGTGAATCGGATTTCGAAAACGCACGAGTCGCTGATGGGAGAGGCGCTCGCGTTGGCGAGGGAGATTTCACAGCTGAGTCCAGATGCGATTATCGTCACTAGGGCTGGGCTGAGAGAGGCGTGGGAGGTTGGCGATGTGTCGAAGGCTGTCCGCAACACGTCCGAGAGATATTCGAGGAATCTGTTCGAGGGTCGGAATTTGCGTGAAGGTAAGTTTCAATCATTTTTTCGGCTTTTTTTGGGAGTTTAGTTCGAGTTTCCAGATTTAGTATTCAAGGAAAATTCCCACCACGATTACCGGGCCTTAAGCTAACGGATGGCCTTGAATTACAGGGCTTGCTGCTTTCCGAGAGAAGAGACAGCCTCACTGGGTCAAACCAAATCTATAAACAACAACAGACCAAACCTTGTGTTCGCTCGCCGTTGACAGCTTAAGTCTGTTGCTGGGTATTTATTTCTCTCTTTTTCGCAATTTCTTCCCACGTTATCCCGTAATATATATACATCTTTATAACAAAGCCGCAATGATCTCGAAATGTCCCATATTTTTTGTCAATTACTCCCTTTCCCCCCTTTTTCAAATGCTTTATTAATTGACAACTCGGTAGGTATTGCCGAGGTAATATACTAGTATTGCACTGTACAGGGATAAATTACCGGCTTTCGGTAATAACCCCTCTTTCCATCGAGCCGACGACAACACCAAACACGAAACACGAAGCTCCCGGTTATTGAAACTCTACCGACACACCGGCAATTTACGTTATTGGATTGGTGGTTTAGCGATGGTGTTTGGCGGATTTCGCCTCGGCTGACTTATTTATCCAACCGTGCTTGAGATTCAAATATAATATATATATATATATATATATACATGTATAGACAATAAATAATTATATATTCTGACGCCAAAGAGTCGACTGACTCTATCGGTCTCATAACAATGGCCCCTCCAAGATTGAAGACACAGCTCACAGCATGGCGCGCAGAAGTATAACTCGCGTTTAACCGGCAAGACTGGCAAATGGCTGTCGCGGCTGGTGGCGGCGGCGACGTTGCGATTCGTGACATCTGTGGAAGCTGGCTGCTCCAGCACTCACGGGGGTGAAGTAAGTGTTCACTCACAGCTGCCTTTGACGATACTAGTTACTGTTCGGACTCTCGTTTATCAATCAGTGGAAGGCCCCATGAGAGTCAAAGCGAACGACTATATCAAAGAGATGGGAGCGGGCAGCTGGAGAAAACGAATCTTGGCTTTGGCTGAGCAGCCAGCGGCGGAGATTTGTGGGATGAGATGGGATGCAGAAAGGGGGGCTCTGCAGTACGCTGGAATAACGGCTGCAAAGTTATAGCTCTCTCGCAGTGTCCATTTAGCTGTTGTATTTGATATGTCTTAAAACAGCCAGGATGTTAGACAAAAGCTATATTTTTTGTGTTAAAGAGAGACTATTATAATACAACCACTCCAGCTTCGTGATGCATCTGGTTTCCTGCTCTGCCTCAGAAAGCAATATCCTTGATTTCCATGTTTATGGCAGGTAGACTACTAGTATTCCTGGAATACTTATCTAGTTAGGGTTAGGGCTGAGGGCGGTTTTGAGTCTAACAACCATTTTACCCGTGCAGCACAATTTCGTTCGTCTCACCAACACGACTCGACTTGGCTTTCCAGCTTGAATCCTCTGCAGAAGCCGAGACCAACATCCGCCATCGAACGCGGGGTTGGCAGGTCACCACTCAGCTTCCCCGCACGCCCTCATTTAGAATGGGACTGGGCGTACAAAGGAGGGAGAGAAGGATGCGAGAAGACAGGCCGTGTCTACTGTCAGAACGATATGACAATCGCCGGGCGAAAACCATGGGCTTCCTCTCTTCTATCCCGCCAGTAGTATCTAAGGATATCTGATTGCCCGGAAACGTGGGGATATATAGAATTCACCTCAGGCCGTGCTTTGAAAGAACCACGTGAAAAGAATTACAAAAGACTATTCTCCCCCACCCGGCGTTGCTATTCGTCCAGGAAAACCCGGTGGAAACTAGGCCTCCCAGTTATCCTACCGTTAAATTTGTTTTGATATCAGCACAACAGCCATGCCTACCCATACAACTAATGCGACTGCGACTAGAAGTCCCAGTGCCGCCAAACCACTGGTTCTGGGAAGCAACAATCCCGACATCGAGCATCCCGCCTCCACCAACAGGCCGATGTTCAGTGAAGACTGGGACATAACATCAAGCAGCGGGTATCGCATCTCCGACAACATGATCAACGAGCCGCCTCCAGGCAAGCAGCCATTCCGGATAATCATGATCGGAGCCGGCGCGGCGGGCATCGACTTCCTGCACCACGCCATACGCGAGTTCCAACACGCCGACGACGTCGAGTTCGTCTGCTACGAGAAGAACCATGACGTGGGAGGGACGTGGTTGGAGAATCGATATCCCGGGTGTGCGTGCGATGTGCCGAGTGCCAGTTACCAGTTTGGTTGGCGGCCGAACCCGAACTGGACGCACTATTATAGCCCCGCGCGGGAAATCTGGAAATATTTGCGGGATATTGTGGACGAGGAGGATATGATGAAGTATATCCGTTTGCGGGCCCGGGTTACTCGAGCGGAGTGGAGGGAAGAGAGGTCAAAATGGGTGGTGCGTGTGGAGGAAAGTGGGGAGGATGGGAAGGTGTCAAGGGTGTGGGATGACGAGTGTGAGGTTTTGCTGAATGGAAACGGGTTTCTCAAGTACGTTGCGGCTCCTGCATGGTATATTATTATCTATCACTTGAAACTTCGTTGACTTCGGAGTACAGTAACTGGAAGTGGCCCGATATTCCCGGATTGATGTCCTTCAAGGGCCGGCTTTTCCACACAGCCAAATACGAGGAAGGACTCGATTTGAAAGGAAAAAGAGTAGCGGTCATTGGATCAGGGAGTTCAGGAGTTCAAGCTGTTGCAGCAGTTTACAAGGACGCCTCTCGATTATATACATGGGTGAGAAACCCGATGTGGATCACAGCTGGATTTGCGCAAAAATTTGCTGGGCCAGATGGAGGAAACTTTCAATGTTTGTTAGCCTTAGAACATTGCTTCCATTCTTCAAAAAAAAGTCTGTTGCAACTTCTGACCATGGCGCTTTTAGATAGCGAAGAGCAAAAGGAGGAGTGGAGGAGGGATCCTGAGAAGTATAGGGTATATCGAAAAATGATTGAGCATGAGCTGAACGTGCGATTCCGGTTTGCGCTGAGGAACAGTAAGGAATCCGACGAGGCCAATGCAGTAAGTATATACATGTACTGTACATTTTACTGTACACTATTGTGGTCATTTCACCGAAGCGGTTTCTAACTTCCCCCCTTCGTATATGTAGTTTTCTTACAAGGAAATGACAACCAAACTAGGGGATAGCGAATATCTCAAGGAAAAAATAATACCGAAGGACTTCAATGTCGGGTGCCGACGACCCACACCAGGAAACGGGTATCTTGAAGCCCTTGTCGGTGAAAAGACAACTTGCTATACGGATCCAATCGGGGGGATCACGCCAAAGGGGTTCCTAACAGCCGATGGCACGGAGGTCGAAGTCGACGTTATCATCTGCGCAACTGGTTTCGACACATCGTTTCGGCCCCGATTCCCTATAATCGGGTTAGATAAGGTTGACATAGCCACGCGGTGGGAGAAGATCCCAGAGTGCTACCTCTCAGTCAGTGCTTCAAACGTACCGAATTACTTCATGTACAGTGGTCCGTACAGTCCAGTTGCACAGGGCTCCCTCTTGTCACTACAAACGCTTCTCACAAACCATTTCCTTCAAATAATCCGGAAAATGCGCCAAGAGCACATCCGGCGTCTCAGTCCGAAAGAAAGTGCCGTTGAAGACTTTTGCGAACATGCGTCTGTGTATCTACGTCGTACATGTTGGGCAGATCCTTGCAGCAGCTGGTTTAAACAAGGTCGGAAAGATGGCAATATTGTGATGTGGCCAGGTAGTAGATTGGCATTTTTTGATATTTTGAAGGAGCCCAAGTATGAAGACTATGAGATAGAGTATTGGAGTAAGAACCGTTGGGCTTTTCTCGGGAATGGCTTCACGACGGAGGAATTTGATGGGAGCGATATGAGCAAGTATTTGAACTGATAATTATATCCGAATTTCGTTACTCAACAGATGATTCCTTCTGAAACGATGCGCAGTTAACATGTCAAACTTTGATTGTAGAGGAGAAAAGGCTCAATGGATATGTTGGTAACGATTGATTTCATAGAAATACATTCAATTTGTAAATTTCAAGAACCTATGAGTTAGAGATCGAGTCGGTCATAATTGAACATATGAATTTTTTTTTTTAAAAAACAACAACAATGACAACAATAACAATAACAATAAAATTCAACCAAACGATCACCCTACTCAAAATGCATGAGTTGTAAATGGATCGCAATCAAGATTGTATAGTAGATTTGGATTCTCAAAGCCATACTCTTGGAACAGAGTGTCCCAGTTATTCTGTTCAATAAATTCTCGTCAGCTGAGTAATTTTTTTAAAAAAGGAGGGAAAAGTAAGGGTGCGAGGAGGAAAGAAAAGGATTTAAGGATTTAGGTGTCAATGTGGAGATCCAATATCACGCACCGTGTCTAAAAGATCCGGGACTTCCGTGTAAAACTCTGGAGCGCCCACAAGCGGAGGTGTGGGCTCGGTATATGCGGTCGACGAAGAATGATCGTCGAACCCAGGTGCGTATGCAACGGAACTTGGAATGGAACTACCCGCTCCTCCACTTCCCATACCAGGGGAAAAATCTTGCGGAGGGGTGTAGGCCAATGTACCAGGTGTCTTCGGTGGAGGCAAACCACCATCTGGACCGCCATTTCGTTCGGAACGGAGCTTTTGGAGTACGGCTGCAAATACTCGATGGAATTTTTGGCCTTCTGCCGTGGTATCACCGAGATTCATCCAGGTATCCCAAGCACCCTCAACCTTTTTCATCCGGTCCGCTCGATTAATACCAATCAAAACGTCGTCGGCTTCGATAGACTCGGATTGCGCATCTCCGTCCTGTTGCAGATCCAGACAAACAATCATGATTGCAAGTCGGAAGGAAGAGTTAGCTACCGGCGCGAGGCACCATCGGCTCTGTTCTAGATGGTGGCCAGGTCTTAAAAGGCTCTGAAGACCCGTTTGAAGGTCAATGAGGGCAATTGCTGATTGAAGACATCTCTGGCGAGACAATGCAAACTTCTGATCCTTTCGCGCTGTGCTGATATATTTTCGGTGAAGCGCGCACATTCCCTCACTGTATAGAATGCCAACATGAACCCTCTGCATAGTCGTGAAGAGAGATTCGGTTTCAGCAGCCTTCCAACTTGTCATTCTAAACGGTTCCGGTATGTCCTTGACGACTTGGAACAATTCCTGGTCAAGCTGAAGAACGCGGTCATATGACATTTGCTTCGTGTTGTACAAGAGCTCCCCGATTCTCCCAACTGTTTGGAGAATTTGCGATTTCGTCACCATGTAAGTGATACCAGTAACCTCCGACATTGGTCTTGAAGGAGGAAGTTTAGCCATTCCCTCAGTCAGCTCCCAATCATGTAAATTCGATGGCATCGCTGTGTCAGAGATTGCCGATGAAATCATGCTTGGTAACCCTATATGGAACGAGCAAACGTGATCAGCCTGACAGATGAAAGCCCAGATGCGTCGCCGCATCTCGCCTTGGAAAGGGGAGAATGCCTTCGGGTAGTGAGACGGATCACGATGGAAGCCCATGCGCATTGCCGCACGCACGATCTGACCAAGTGCCATCCAAATGCCAGACTCAATATCTTTTCGGCGCATATATTCGGCAAGGGCTTGGAAACACATTGTCTCTATGACATGCGGCTCGCTCCGTGTGATATTCGCATGCATAAGACACTGTGCTGTCCGTGTTCGAAAAAGATCAGCAAGGGATTCTCCAACGCCCATATACTGAGCTGCATCTTTTGGGCTTTCAATTTCGGACTGGACTGTCATCCACAACATAGAAAACAAAAGTCCGAGCCAAGCCACATCTGTTCTATCGGGATTCCTCCAGTGTTCCTCGTACTATAACGTGTTAGCATACATATGCTCGATTATATTCAACAAGGAATTGAGGGGTCATACTTGTTTGCGGAATGTCGGTTCGTGTATCACGACTGAAAAGGTTTTTGTTAGTAGAGGTTCCTTGGGGTAATGAAATTTTGAAAGTAGAGAAAAACAAGGAAAATCATGTCTCTTACGTAGGGGAGGGGCAGGGTCATTGGGATCGAAAAATTTATTAACAAACTGGTCAGTAGTTTGCTTCGGCGGCAGAGAAGCTATCAGTTCTGCTTTGTCGAGTGATCTTGGATTTCCGGCCGAAATAGCTGGCTCGTGGGTAGAGAGGCCCTGTGCAAAAGCCTGGTCCAACTCGTCCGCTTCCATATCGAATTTGAATTGATTCCAGGTGTTTTTAAGCGCGACGATCTAGAATTCATCTCAGCCGCACTGAGAACCCAATCCTTTTCCGAAAGAATCTGAGATATGAGCATGGTCAAACGCTTACTTCTTGGAGAACGTCTTGCCAATTGGTGCTCCCTCTATAGGGTGTTTTTTCCTCCATGGTTCCAAGCTCCGGAATGGAATCCTCCTGGCTCGAATCATCGTCCAAAGACGTCTTAATCACGTCGATAGGCTTGGTGCCATTCGGCAGCTGTGAAGCCAGCCCAGGTTCAGCGGTAAAGGAGGCCACAAGCTCTTCCAAGCGATGCAGGCGACACTCCATCCCCTGAGTCTGCATGGCATTGGACCTTGGGGTTTTGCCATTGGCGAATACGCACAGGTCATCATGACCCCTTGAAATGCAGTTATGGCATGGTTGCTGCCGGTTGCACTTAAGTCTAACCTCGGATGGCTTTGTTAACAATCACGCATCAACCCATTTACATGGCCCGCTTTGCCCAGGCGGCTGGTGAATACTTACTTCCTCGCCCTGCAGGGCCCGCAAGAAAGGGGGACACGCGGATTTTTGTGGACTCTGCGGGTGGTGTTGGAAGTCTTATGGTTATCCATCTTCCGGGGTTAATGTTATTAATAAAAATATGGCTCAGTTTGCGAAGACGGTTGGCTGTCCAGATGTCCAAGAATTCGATGTCTTCTCTCCTGCTGTCTGAGAGGAAGAGGAGAGGCTCGGCAGCGACGTGGGGGCGAGCAGGGGTTTCTTAAGGCAAGCCAGCTCCCTCTGGCCCAAGAGCGGCTTGGAAATCACCGACGGGCCTAGCGCTGACTTCGTTTCCAAGCCCGTCAAAAAGCGCCCTTGCAGCCACCCTTGCAGCCACCGCATCTGGTCCCATTGCTAGCACTCTTCGAGGGTCTCGCCAGCTCTCCTCCAAGAGGTTTGGGGTTTGATTTCACGATAACTGAGCCATGGAGTCAATCCATCATTTGACTGATTGATGTGCAAGGTATGGAATGGACCTTTAGCTCGAGTGGCTGACCTTGTTATTTGTTGTCCATTTTCGATCGTCTGCTTCAGTTAAGGCGCAACTTTCAACGACTCCTACTCAAATGCGATTTATTACCACTAACGACACTCGAGTTTCGGGAGCTCCCCATGGATCCAACACGCCAAGCGGTGAGTCGAGTTGCCATGCCAGATGCCTTTGGATTGGGTGTGGATTTTCTTTTCTGGAGACGCAGTTCAAAGAGACTCTTCTTCTCCCGGGTTAGGAAGTCAGGACGGCAATGAACTGTTGCAGAACGTAAGAACGTGCTCCGTATGGTGCGTATGGGCCAAATGATGGCGTTGGAGTTGAAAAAGCGGCTGGAGTCAACTTCCCTCAATCACGGACAACTGGCTTAACTGGCTTCCTTCGCTTTTGACCACAGTGAAAGATGGAAAAGATTTCCAAACAACCACTAAGGATTTAGGTTGCCTCTTCATGTTCAACTTGGGGGATGGGTATCAATGGGTGTACGAAAGCTCAGTCAAATTCCATGGGCAATGATGAACCCGAGCAATTCGATGCTGAATTCATTACCAGCAACTTGCCTAGTGCATCGAAGCATGGGATCAAAGTTCACTTTGAGCGAGAATGGGGTTCACGACACTAAGGATTGACTTTCTCTCATGGAAGTCAACCGCTAAGCCGAACAGCAATGGCTTCCGAGAATGCGGGGCTCGGGCAAAAATCCTGTAGCCAACTTTCACTGCCAGTAACTGTTTAGACGGTGGATACAAGAAGGCCCATTTCTATCAGTATTTTGCATGTATGATCGATCGCTACCAGTGGCAGGCATGTACAGTAGTACGTCCACATGTTGATCGCCACTGCGATGCATCGGGTTGGGATAGTTAGTTAGCCCCATGGAAGCAGTCTGGTTGGCTCTATCAGTTCGAGGCACTCGGCGGGATTCCGCTGGCCGTCCAGGAAGGTCCAATCTCTAGCCGATCCGTTCGAATAGAAGAGAACTATCAAATTGTTCATCTTGCCGGCGTAAACTTGAAGTTGATGGAATTGATATTGCCCTCAATTGTCAACATTTTAAGAGCTCCACTTAACTACGATTTATGGATTACAATCTTATGCAAAACCCTGATCTAATCATCGCACCCAAAAGAAAAAAGGGAAAAAAAAAAAAAAAGAAGAAGCTCTTAAGCCATTGTAGGGTCTTGCCGCGACTCGAACGCGGGGCCTCTCGCAAACATTTGCATTAGGGTGAGCCCTAAGCGAGAATCATACCACTAGACCACAAGACCCGGGGTTGGGGAGATCGCGGCCTAATTGGCTATATCAGGCTGGATCGTCGAGTCGCGCTTATTGCTCGCTTTGATTGGAAATCAAAAGACACCAAGAATATTGGTGCCTGACGATTGCCCATTACCCACCGCTGCCGTGGAAATACTATGTACGTACTACTACTCTCTGCGACGACTCAAACCCATGAATAGAGGGATCCAGATCCTGCAACGCCAAGCCGCAAAATATTTTTAGCACGCACCGTCTTCCTATTGAGGTTTAAACATGAGGTGTGTGGCATGCTGCTAAGAAAATAGGGCTTCTCTGAGTTTTATATTGTTTGTATATATATTACACATAAATTACATGTCTAACTAGTTAGTTAATCAGATTCAGGTTAGTTATGTAATATGAAGGTATATAAAGAGTCTAACTGAATAAGGAAGGCCGTTACTGCGAAAGGTGTTTGCAGGTGTTTGCAGGGTCCCTCTCATGAATGATCCAGGGCCGTCAAGAAGTTCCTCCTCACATGTGGGGAGTATAGCACCAATCAAACCACGAGATACGCCAGCCCGATATGGGTCCTCCAAGACCCCGCACTCCCCAGCCAGTCTCTTCTCCGGAGGAAATTCTTTGGCGGTAAGGCCTCCCGTCGTGGTTGTGGGGGTCCGCTCTCAAATCGGACGAGTCATGGCCTGGTCGTGTGTGTGATTTTCCTGTTCCTCCCGGGGGGCAGGGCATGATGCAAGATGTCCAGACTCTTGGGATCGATCCAACACGATGAGGAGGGTGAACTTACTATGATTGAAATCGCGGCAGATGCACAACGAGCTTTGGTTCAGTGGCAAAATGCATCCAATATCCCGGAATGTATCAAAGCAATGATCGCCAAATTCCTCGCTGTCGCATTTGCAGATTTCGATACCCCAATACTTAATACCTGAATTTCGTGTCTGGGCGAATTGAAATTAAAAGTAAATTGTCTCCCTTATTCGTGCACCAGATTCAATTCACGTTCTACGTACAAAGTTCAGAGGTGAGGGCTACTTCGGCGGATGATGGCTGCTGGAGCGAGAGACTCGGAAGACCGTCCGAGATGCCTCGAATTCATCGCCTTCATCCTCCATCCTTCGGACTCCAATCGGGTTGATCGTCGGACCTTGCCGAGCTTCGGCAACGATGCAAGCTCCAGGTTCTCCACAAGATGGCGGCGCCCGCCCCCGCTGGCCTGCAGCTTGCATGCATATGCAAGGATGGGGTTTTGAGTTTTACCAAAAAAGTCCCTGTGGCTCTCGCTGCCTCTCAGGCGGAGAGGTGAAAAATTATCAACAAGGGAGAAAAGGGACAAGCAACCCTAATTTTTCGGCAAAAAGTTGGTCCTGTGGTCTAGTGGTATGATTCTCGCTTTGGGTTCCTCCAAACCTAAATTAGCCTGCGAGAGGCCCCGCGTTCGAATCGCGGCAGGACCCGATTCAGATTTCTTTTTTTTCCCTTTCCCTTTCTTTTTCTTTTTTTTTTTTCCCTCTGGACCGCTGAGGGTTCACCCCAATGCAAATGTTTACGAGAGGCCCACATTCGAGTCGCGGCAGGACCCTGAAGATGCGATATGATTTGCCGGAGAGCTGCAATTTTGTTGTGAAATAGTTAAATATACGGAGCACTGTTACCGGAGATTCATTAGCAACAAGGTTGGGGAACTAGGTCTGAATATGGGGTTGAGATGAGCTGTATATAAGTTTTTTTTTTTTTTTTTTTTTTCGCGGATACCCTTTTGAAAAGCTGAGAGGTGGCTTCAATTGAACGGAGGTCGATATCCCTCTAGTTACAGATTACATACCATAGTATACGCCAGTTTCAGATGCCCTCGTAATGTCCCTGGAGGCTGCGCTGAAATGTCCCGCCGGAGAGGTTTTGCATTTGTTTGTTGGAGGCCCAACCAAGTCCAAGCGAAAAAAAAAAAAAAAAAAAAAAAAAAAAAAAAAATCTCGTCTAATTTCATATATGTATGGAGCAGCACAAACGCCGTCCTCCTTCGGCACCGAACACCCCCCTTGGCCCTCAGCACCGCCCTCGGTTTCCCATCCCTCTCTAGCGAGCCCACTCAACCCGAGCAGCCGGTCCATGACCCGCACTCGCTCCTCTCAGCCCTCCACACTGTAACCCCCAATCCCTCCCAAAGAAAGGCTCTGAACCCTCCTTCCCCACTTCCCCAGGATAGGATTTAAAATCAGCCCTGCAATCCTAAGCGACGGGGTATCGGAAACGGAAAAGGGAAAGAAAGAAAAAAACCACTTGTGTCAATTGAGAAAATTCCTATCCTGGCTCCATCCATTAAAAAAATCTCAATTGAAAACTGACATCTATTCGGGACGACGGTGGGTGCTGAAATAATAATAACAATAATATCTTGTATTATACAACGGTATACGCGCTGTAATAGTAAGGCTGGCCTTGTATTCGTTCCCGCACGCCATGAACGAATTTTGAAGTCAGAAAAAAAGAGACACAAAAAGGGTGCAAAAGGGAGTACGTAGACCCAGGCGAAGCAAACCCATCTATCTATTTATTACCAATAATTCTTTTTGTTAATTAAAAAAAAAAAAAAGAAAAAGAAAAAAGTAGAAGAAGAAGAGGAGGAGGGGGAATAAAGAGCAATTCAAAGTGGCCGTAAAATCATCTGGTGTCGTTATGCTGTGTTGCAGGTGGTGGGGTCGGAGTGAGAGGCAAGCAGAAGCAGGGAAGAAAAGGGAGATTAAGTTAAAAAATAATAACAGTAAATGAAAAAGATGTATCTAAACGGGTGACGTTGTTAAGCAGAAGATCGGGCGGCGATGTGTGATTTCTCGCTATCTCTCTATCCTCATTATATCAAGACAAGATTTTTGAGAAAAAAGTCCGGGAGATTCTTTTGAAGAGTACAAAAGGGGAAGCAAAAGGCAGGGGGTGAGGCGCTTCACTTATAGCACTTCAGTATTATGGCTGACATTGCAATGATACAAGCTTGAGGATCGAGTTTAAAAAAGGGGGGTTGGTTAGCTGTGGTGGAGTTGGCGAATTGCATGGCGTGGATGAGGAGCGGGAATATATTTATTTAGTTCCAGGCGTAGTAGATATTAACGATCGGGCCTCTTGGGGATCGAGGCCAAGAATGCGAACGAGGTAGTCGATACTATACAATAACTGTTAATATCCCTGCTTCTCATCTTCTACCAGGCCAACCCTTTTGAATTGGAAAAAAAAAAGGAGAATCAAAGATAACAGGAGAAATAAAAGAAAAGAGGAGAATTACATACCTAGCATCCGTCGCCAACCTCCGCTTCTCCTTCCGAAACTCCTCCTGACACGCTACCCACACATTCGTCCGTTTATCTGGGGAGATAGTTTTGATGCGCATCTTAAACAGGCCGCTGACGGGGCGATGATCTGATACCTTGACTTCATGCCGGCGGTACTCCAGCTGTTTGATTCTCCCAACGCCCCGATAAAGTAGCCGATCACACCAAGCCGGCGACCGCTTCTTCTCACTAGAATCATATTGGTCGGTGCCAACGTCGTATTTATACGTCGGTGCAAAAGTGATGGGTGCCTCGTTGAAGGCGCGGAGGCGGAAACCGGGGTTTTTGCGGCGGGAGGCAAGAAGTTGGTCGCGGTCGAGGAGTTTGGGAAGATTGCGAGCCTTAACGGCTTCGATGACGGTGTTGCGGGGCATAGAATCGATACGGTAGTTTAGATCGCCATTTAGGATGCAGATTTCGTGGTCAAGGATCATAGTGCCATCGCCACCACCGACGAAGAGGTCGATGCGTGACGAGTAGCTTGATTCGGGTGGCAGGGAACTGCTTTCAAGAATTGCTGCAATGTCATTGTTGCGGTGGGTAGTTTGGGATTGGCCGGCTGCTAGATGGCAGTTTATGAAGCAGAGAGAGCTATCGTCGAGGATGAAGCGGAAAACAAGAGCACCCTATTGGCCCATGTTAAATTTAGTTTGGTGTTTTATCAGGAAAGTGGAGCCTTTATCGCAGAGAGAGACAAACCTTATTGCCGTGCAGTCCGCCCATGCCGCGCTTCACCTCCGTTGCACTGACGCCTCTGATTCTTTGACGCTCTTCTTGTTTGATGAACACGCATGTGAATAGACCGATGAGGTTTGAAGTGTGGAGGAGGACGTAGGGCTGATCAAGAGGCATTATATCATGTATACAAGAAGCAAGATAATCTTTCCAAACACGATACTGCCGGCTCATGTGTTCCTTATCTGCACTGTCTTTCTTCTTGCTGCTCATGAGGATACTCTCTATTTAAAGTTTGTCAGCTCAAATACATAACGAGAGAGAGAAAAAAAAAAAAAAAAAGCTCTGAATATTCATTACGGGGTTAAGGTTCTAACTTACTAGCAGTAATTTTTTTGTTTTCCAGGTCCACAAGCTCCTGAAACCCAAAAACCAAAATATCCGGAGGACTTTCAGGGTGGACAACGTCTCGGATGAACTTTCTATCCCGCAAATTGCCCGGGACGGTTGCTCCTGCATTCCACGTAAGAACGGCCGCGGTTATTTCACGGAAATGACAGTACTCGACGTCCCTGTCATGCATTCGGGCTTCTGAAAAGTCAAAGCAAAAATGTCAATACGCTGCCTCTGCCATGTTAGGACAAGAATGATACAAAGGACACAAACCAAGCCAGTCGTCCTCAAGCATAGCGTCCCATAGCCGAATATAATTATCCGTCCCAAGCGAAACAGCTTGCAGTCGATTAACAGTCCAAACGCTACTGGAATCCAGCAACAGCCCACAGACAGCTTGGTCATGCGCCTGCCAGTCCTTCTTCACGGTCCATGGTGAAGTAGAAACATCGTAGACATAGATCATGCCTGTCTTATAGCCCGCCCAGAGGTAATCACCAACCATCGCCAGGCAATTGATTTTATATAAGCTCACGTTCAACGTTGCTCGACATGAGTAATCCTGCGCAGAGTAAATCGAAACTTTCCCATCAGCATGTCCAAGGTATACGAGGCCACCGTCTTTGGGACTAGTGGTGCCCGACGTGATTTCGCCAGCATCTGATTTCCCGAACGGTCCCTTGAGGACTTGGAAATCCGCATCTTTAGAATTGGGACGATAAACCCGCACTTCCTTGCCGGATGCGAGCCACAACAGGTCTCCAACAACCATCGAGAAAGTGTGGCCCTTCGCAACTCGATCGTATGGGTGGCTGTAGCTGTATTGAAGATTAGGCGAACCCGATTCATCTGGAGGCCAGAGGAGTAGTTTGCCCTCATCGTCAAGCGTCCAAAGTTCCTTTTTATGCCGATAGATCTTGATAATTTCTCTCCGTGACGGTAACGTCCGCGACGAAACGATCGATTGTGTTTGAATATCAACCTCATGGATCTCCCCCGCATTCGTTCCCAGCCAAAGTAGTTTTCCCTCATCGTCCATTGTATTTCCTGGTTTAAATGCAATACATAAACCTTTGACAGTTTCCCCATGATTCAATCCTAAAATTTGCTCCCCACTTACCAGGTCCCAGACTCGAGTAAAGTACCCCGTCGTGCATGCATAGTTCCCACAAACGTCAAAAACTCGCACATCATGCTTGGTATGAATACCCCTTGTTCCGCTTTTGAATATCGGTGGGCGACGATTGGTGTTAGAAAAATCAGGGTAGTCTGTACGAGGGATTGGCGCATCGTCGAAGGGCGGCTCTGATTCCTCTGACTCAATGCGAGTGGATCTACTGGTCTGACGTTGGTTGGAAGCAGGGGGTGTCGAAAGGCATTCCACTGAGCGCATAGGTGATCGTGCAAACTGTGTCGGGGTAGGGGGTGGTTGGGTCTTGCTGTTAGCATGTATTCGGCCACCAAGCACAGCTGTGTCTCTTTGCGGTGGCGGAGGGAAATATGGATCGGTTTGCTCGCTTCCAACACGGACGGAGAAATTTGATGTGATAGTTGGTCTGGAGAGGATATCAAAGGAGCGTCTGGGTGCGAGGTCAGAAGACTGTTGCATTCCAGTCTGCGAGGGAGCACCTCGACGAGATATTCGCGCTTGGGTGCGGGGTGGCAGGCCCGGTCGATCCTCTAGATTATCGCTGGTAAATTGTTTGTCCCGGGGGTCCCTGGCGCTCCTTCGTCCCGAAAGATCGGTCTCACTCCGTTTCATTGGAATCGGCGGAGGGGGGTGTTTAATGTCGCGTGTTAATACCGGCGTTGCGCTTCTCGGGCCGGATGAACCGTCATGCTCAGCCTCGAAAGTCGCGGATCGATGAGGATATCGAAACGGGGTAGGGTCGGGGAAAGCTCTGCGAGGTCCGCGCTCAGCAGTGGAGTAGAGCGGGGGAATGCGATTCGAGGAATCACCGTTTGTCGCTATGGTACTCGGGGGAGCTTTTTCTGGACTACTTGGAGGGGTACTGAATGGTGAGGCTTCAACACCGACTGAGATCCTTTCCGACGCTGGCGCAAGAGATTTCGCGTTCTCCCAACGAGGAACAGCGGCGGTGTTTTTGGTAGTGGCGGGGATTTTGGGCTTTTCCGCTCTATTGACAGGTGGTGGGAGAGACGCAGCTTTGAGGCCGTTTTTGGCATCACGAGCTCTGCCCTCTGCCCAAATTACCACGCCTGAGGAATCGGTTACGGGGGTACATGGTCTGCTCGACGGACGACTCTGACTGCTAGGTGGCCTACGCGGCGGGGGAGGTTCCGGGACCGTTCGTATTTCCCTGTTGCGATTCTCGGTGGCGGGAATGACACAGGTCTGGGAAGCAGTGCGGGGAGTATCTATAGTGAGGACTGGAGCTTTCCACTGTGCGGATGAGACATTCATGGACACTGGCCTAGCCGGCATCCGTCTTCCTGGAAACCCATCTGCGTTCGTAGCCGTAACACTAGCATGATTGTGCCTGGCAGTGTGAAGCCATCTGGACGACGAAGGGGAGTGAGCAGCGGAGCGCGCATGGGAAGAAGAAGAAGATGACGACCAGTTTGAGGGATCCGGGCGTGGGAGATCTAAGGAAGCACGACTAGTGACGACGTTTGGGGTTTCTAGGAAGGCGGAGCGGGATTCATGAGTTGAAGCCGCAGTGGGATGCGACTTGGGGTTAAGGTGAGCAAGGTTTTCGAAGTGGGAGAGGAGGGAAGAAACAGGTTTCTATCAATATATAGCAGAGGATGACAGTCAGCATGATGGTAGATAAAGGAAACAGCAGCAGGTAACAGTTCTGTCATACAATAGAGTCCTCGTCGGTGCCATTCCCATCAGGGCGCTCGTTGTGCTTTGCCTCCATAGCAGAAATGACAGTAGCAAGCAGCAGCCGTTAGTTGCGAATGGAAAAGCCCGACCGTGTTCCGCAAACCATCTGCGTGGAGTGTGGTCGGTAATGGATAGAGACGGAGGAATGATTTGAGTGACGTCGTGAGGGCAATGCTAAGCGCATATGTTCAAGCTCCTTACTCTGTGGAGCAGGAAAAAAGCGGCTAGATGACCTAAGATTTGACAGGGCAGGCCAGCAACGGAGCTAGGAATGACGCGGCCTGTACGGAGTAGACGAGCTAAAACCCCCCAAACCAGCGAGGGATGATTGCCTGCGACAGAACAGTCGGCTATCCTCGTGATTGAGAAGTGGAGACGGGAGGCGGTTGAGGACGAGAGGACGAGGACAACGGGTCTGAGGAGGTGTGGTGTGATGTTCAACCTTGGAACCAGGTGTTTGAGCTGCGGCGCTTTGTCTGTCCCCGTGATCTAATGTAAGTCGCTGATCATCTCTCATAGATTGTGCCCTGTTTACATCTGTGTGCTGTCCTGTGGCTTGCTACACCTTTTTGCAGCATGAATTACTTCCTACGAACTGGTCTGCCACATCTGCAATCTCTTTGTGACGCTTTATTGTACCAGTTAGTTATTAGACGACTGCTGAATGTTGAAGAAGTTTTGGATTATGCTAGCATGACCTCTGCAGTTAGTTATTGTAAACAGTAGAATCTTTGATGCGAATTTGTTCTGTATATTGCCATATTTAAATAGCAAAAACACCAAGCTACTCTGCCGGAGTGTGCCCAGCACACACTTCACTGCTACCACTGTATGGGGCTGCTGTAAATTATCATCGAAGATGGTTTTTTCGTCTTCGGTATCGAAAGCAATTCTAAAATACATCTTTTCAGGTTTTAATATCAATTTAATATTAATGAATGGAGGGCGGAAGAGGTAGAGAAAGAAAGAACTTCACAGAAAACAACCATATTCGTAACTATCTGATTTTTCTAGGTATGAAAAGTTGAGAAAAACTTTCGTCTTCTTATTCCTGTGCAGTCTTCAATCCATTTGAAATGACCAATTCATTATCTTGCTATAACACATAAATGAGCCCGGCCATTTCTAAGACGCCCATTTTGTACCCTGTAGCGTGATAGAATTTTGAATCCCGGATTCGGCACATCAATTCCTCAGGGAGCGATACTAGAAGCTGTTGGATTAAATATTTGTATTCCCGTCTCTCCAATATCAATGGCTGAGCGATATACTCAACCCAAGATATTCCTATTCCAGTACAGTTCCTGTGCGTATACCGTCATTAACATTTCCTATGACACCAACGGTAGCAGGAGAGTATAGCTATTTAACGTGTCATTTTTGAGGTTTTTCTCCGTCATTTATTGATTTACTTATTTACCCAGGGGTGAGGTGGTCTGTGATTAACTCATATCTTTCTGTTAACTGGCTTTGGTATGCTGGTATTTCGTCGAATGGGATGGCACAAACAGAACAAAACTAAAAGGACAATGAGAAGAGAGGATATTGTAAGATTGCAAATAAATATACATGAAGGGACTGTTGATGTGAAAACTGAAGCAGACGCAGCAAGAGAGGGTCGATTAGGCAAATGCTCCAGTAATGCGTCATTCCAAAGTTAAAAATTGATCCGCCATCGATATCATCTATATACATACATACAACATAACCCTCCTGGAGTTCTGCCTCTTTCAGACCTAAAAAAACAAAAAAGGGTTCCACCTTCGACTTATTCTTACACCTACTAGTCATAACGTCCAAGAAATATATACCATAATTTAAAACGTCGTTAATATGTTTGAATGCACTCTTCCCCAGTTATATGACAATCCCCCTAATTGCCCAGTGCGTCTAGCCAAAATCAACAGAATCCCCATCATTGAGCCCTGGGTCCCCGGCAAAGAGCCTGATAGGTTTCTATTGCCACGGTACATAAGCAAAGATGACGACCTTGGCTTCAAGCTCATGGAATTTGCGGCTTCCTATCTAAATGATGATGATGATGATGATGATGATGATGATGATGATGATGATGATGATGATGATGATGTTAATAAAGAAACATGTGAAGATTCAGAGGATGACGGACCGCTCTCACCACCAAACAACGTGATGTATCACGTCCATACCACGACACAGCGGGCTCTGATCGCATCTCACATTGGTGACGAGGTCTCCAATATAGACACCTTTACGCATATCATTAGTTATGTGCGTGAGTTTATCAGTGCGGCCGATCAGGTTGATGTTGGCTGTATTGAGTCTGTTCCCTGTGAGAACAAGTACGGCGGGCCGCAGGATAGAAAAATCCAACGTGGGGGGGCGAACAGGGTTTTGATTCAGAATATAAGTGCTACTACATTCGGGCAGTATGAACTCCATATGCACCGTTTTGTAGATAATGTTGCTACAAACAGCCCGTTGGGATACAGGGGATCGGCAGAGAGGGCCCGACATATAATTCTCGAGGTGAGCTAGTCTTTTTTTTAATTATTATTATTAATTCTATACCGTGGCTTGATAAATGTAGCTAAAAGGTATTGCTGTTGTATTGCTGTTAGCTTGCACAACGTATGGTCAGGTCAGGATGCAAGAAGGCGATTCTGCTAGGAGGGCACGCCTACTTAGTTTTTCACCTAGAATCAACCCGCAGCTATGGTCAAGATCATCTCTTCGTCTCTAGCAGCTACCCCGTGTTTGCCGTGCCTCCAATGCCGAGTCTAATTTCGGTTCTAATCGCGCTGCTGCTCTCGGATGATTCGGATATGGCTTACAAGCCCCCGACAACAATCGACCGGGTGAGAGATTTAAGCACCATAGAGACTAGCCCGACGGCATTAGACCCTGCCAACACCAGCTTGTTGGAAACGGCTGGCAAAAGGAAACGCACGACAACAGACTCCGGTTCATCAACACCGACGGTAGTTGGCATGCCAGCCGAGTTTGAACATATCGACGTACGTTCCCTCCCTCGATTTTAATAAATCGTATAAACTGACGTGGTGCCAAAAGTATTGCACGCTATCCTTTCCCAACTCTTGTGATCCTGGTTTAGAGCATAACTTTGCTAGAGTGGTAAGATTATCTGACACTCGAACCCGCTCTGTTCTCCTTGTCCGAATTCGTCAGGCTAAAACGAAGAGAAACGCAGACATCAGATTCTGCAGTTGACGGGGCACTAAATGCGGTCCATATAGTGGCACGTCTCTCTGATTCTCTCGCCAAAAAGGGAGCTGAAGGCGGAGAAGAGTTTCGGCATTGCCATGTATTTGCACTAGAGCGATTGGCCTCTAGGTTAAGCTGCAATGTTATGGACGCCTTCCTCGCAGCAGATGGTCAACATGACCAACAGCGGTGCGCAGTCAAAACGTTCTTCAGCTGCGAAGAAAACAGATTTTATCAATTCCAAAACGAGGTTAGGATATACGATAAATTCCAAGGGTGCTCATTCATTCCGTATTATTATGGTGCATTTGCAGGAATGACGTTCACGGGCCCAGCGGGCTTCCTTGTGACGGAGCTGATGGAGAGGACGTTCAACTCATTCGATGAAATGAGCGGAGATGAGAAGTAAGTTTAGAACCGAGGATGGCCCACGATCCACGTATTCATTCCGTTGATCCATATCAAACTGATAAACGGGTTAGGAACGAGGCCGTAAAATACATCGAACGACTTCACCGGGCGGGATACCACTATTGTGATTTGTATCCGTATAAGTTTGGAACGCGTCCGAATGGCGAGATGGTAATTATGGGATTTTCTGAAGTCACGCCCATCAGCCCCGATAGTACATGCAAATCTGGCAATCCAGATAAGTGCAGCTCCTTCCAAAGCAACAGAGATGATATTTTGGGGGGGGATGCTAAATAGGCATCACAATCAATGTGCTCTTTCTCTTGTTTTTGTTTGTTTGCTTTTTTTTCTTTTCTTCTTTTCTTCTTCTTTTTTCTTTTTCTTTTTTGGGTTGGTTATTGGTTATTGTCTATGGGAACGTTCGTTTTGTCAAGCTTGTGGAGTGAATTGGAGGATTGGGGAGGGCGTAGATATTCACTTGTCACAAATGCTGGGTTCTGAAGACAAAGTGAAAGATCATGTATGGGACTGGTAACTGAAGGAGTCTGATTCACAAAGCAAGAAGGGAGACGCCATGACACAAGAAAGAAAACGTTTGTATATACCAGCTAATTCTAGCTGGGAAAAGAAAGAATGAAGGAAAAAGATCCACTGCTTGACTCTTTGATGCAGCTGTTCCATTCAAAGATGAGTTTGCCAGCAGGTGATAGAAACATCCACCATTCACTGCACATCCATAGTATAAAAGTCGAAATCCGCCTCTCTTGACTTCCATTCATCAATACAAGGTTCTTATTTCCCTGAGAAACTGCTCATAAGTTAGTCAACATATCTCATACTTCGGGGTACTGCTCCTACGACCTTTCCCATGGCGACACAAATTTCTCGGCTCAACCTGCCTGGATATGGGACTTTGGCAGAATTTTATGATAACCCTCCAGTTGGGCAAATCGTAACTGACAATCCTGGCAGCGAATCCACTGCGCCGTTGGCATCAAAAGTTCCTGCAGATGAACGTCGACTGCCTCAGCTCATCGTCCAGGATACCCGAATGTGCCAGGATATCACAGAAAAGACACGTACAAGCCTGGGCACCGTGACAACCCCGGTACATAATCTTGGTGCTGCGCACGCTGTTGCAGAGATGTTGCTGCACACAAGGACAGGAGATGAGACAATGAACATTGATGTGTTCACCCATGCCATAGGCTATGTACGGGCATTTGTGCAGATAGCGGATGACTTAGGGCCGGCCGATATCCAATCAGTGCCGTGTCAAGAAGAAGGGGGCGTTCGTCCGAACCGGAAAATTCAACGCGACGGGAGGGATATAATTATCATTGAGCATAAGAGTGTCGCAGCTTTCAATGGACATGCCAGCAAAATTGTGGGAATGGCACAAGAGAACAATGGTCAAGGAACGAAGTTGGAACTTAAATCCTATGAAACCGGCGAAAGGTCAATTGTCTTCAAGGTGAGCGAGCTCGCGTCTGGAGAGTGTCCTGCATGCATGAGGATTCAGAAGAGAGAGATCAGTTCTGACAAGATGTGTCATAGCTGGGAAAGCATATGATCGACTGTGATTGTTCATGGGGGTTCTTGATCGGTGGAAATGAGTTTCTGGTCCTCTACCTGAAAAAGATCTTCGAAAACCAGGAGACATATTACCACCTTGTGCTTTCTGACCTGCATCTTGCGTATCCGCCAGCAGCGCCTCGAGGTGCCCCGTCACTAATACAGGTCCTAATTGCCTTGCTTCTGAAAAAGCCCTCTGCAATCGTATACAAGCCGCCAACAACAGAAATTGTTATCAGATACCCGACACGTACTCGATCAAGGGAAGAGCATCCAATCCAAAGACCACCAAAGACACAAGAAAAACGGAACGCGGGGAAACCGGCGGCGAAATCCAGGGCGGCGAAATCCAGGGCCAGTCGGTGATCTAAGTCGTAAATCGGGAGCACAGGACGGCCATTGTTCCTCCCCCCTTCTCTTCGAGTTCGCCTGGGACGACATTGAAACCAGAGTAAATATTCCTCGCTGAGGAGGATTAGCTAGTGCATCCTAAGTGATGAGTCCAGGAGATAAAAGATGGTTCCACATCGAGCATAGAGCAAACATGTTTATTTTTTGCGCCGCTTTTCTCTGATGGCCAAGTCTTGATGATTGATTTCTTATCCATTTATAGTGGGAACGTGCAGCAGAGTTGCTAGCCGGGTTGGAAAATGGAGCATGAAGACATGGTTAGGAAATGGTAAGGGTGTTGGGTTCAGTTAGAGGATTGAAGTATCATAGAAAAAGAACGCTCCATAGAAGTTCTCAAAACAGAGTTCATTAGAAGATTGGCACGCCACCAAAAGTTTTTCCGGCCGAAATTTGAGTTCCTGTTCAACTGGACTGTATGTTTGATCGACGCTGTCGTGGATACTTCATTGCCCTTCTACCTCAGTCGGGCTTTCTTGGATTGTTTGGAGATTGTTTTCTTTTATGCTGTTGTTTCGCCTTGTATCGTCTCGAATTTCTTTTGGGAGTCAGTCCACGCAAATAGTGCGTGTTATTCAAAACAAAAGAATATAGCCCGACCCTAGCTAGAACTATGTGGTAAGTGCGCGTCTCCTCCTCCGCCCCTCCACCATATGTCCAACCCATAAATATACACATGTGTATTCCTCTTGCCTCTATTTTAATCACGACTCTCTGCTTATGCAGCACTTTCGCCCAGTAAGCACGTTTTGAATGCCCAGGTCTCCATCCGCTCGCCATGCTGTGAGTTACAGATTGTCCAGTGCCCTCCCCTACAAGGCGCCGTCTGGAGTACTCCGATCCTATATAGATAACCTGGGTTAATTGTGATATCCTAGGCCGGCGATGGTTCGACTGCGCGCAATGCCACCAGGAACAGGAAAACCATGAGTTGTTGCAGTCGTTTGACATGGTTGTTAATTCCCTAACATCCCCCATCACCGTCAGTTTGGAGGAGAATACTTTTCTGACTTGACATATTTCCTCTGCTATAGACATTCGCCTGCAAGAAATGCAAAAAATGTTTCCGGAAGGATGCGCGAGAATTCGAGGAGAGGTATGCCTATATTTCTGACATTTAACTGCCATTTTTCATATATTTCTCAGCGCGTATATATTTGCCATTTTTCATTGCCAACTCCATTCATTAACTATTTAACTTTATCTATTGATGTACAGTGACGAATACTGCCCGCACTGCGATAACCATTTTGTCCTCGACGCGGTCACGCCCAAACCAGCCTTGAAGATCGAGGGAGAGGATGCCCGGATTGATTCTAGGTGGGGATTTATTCGTCTTACTTGTATCACATAGATGTGGCTAACGGCTTCGTTTCATTAATTAATTAATAGGATGTTGAAGGATGAACGAGTGCGGCAGGAGGAGGAGCGGACAATTTTCAATGTTAAGGATGCGCCCAACCGGCTTGGATAAGATAAGGACATGATGTGGTGTTGTTGTGGTAGTTGTTTGGCGAAGTTTCATGACGATGTGACGATATAATGTTTTCAATTTTGCATCGCTTCTTTCCTTCTTCTCATCTTTGCTTCGTGTAAATGCGATTATATGATACGACGTCAAAGATAGCATTGCCACAGGCATATTGGCAGGCCCAGAAACATAGAGGGTTCAGATCACGCAAAATCCATATCCGGTAAGAAGTGAAAACACAATACATGCATTACGGTCAATAAATAACTTAATAAACGGACTGAAACATCCCGCTCAGCTGTCTGACCCCTCCCCTCCGCCTCGCGTTAATATGGCCGCGGTTCCTGTCCCGGGAGTCCGTCCCGTCTTCTTCTTAGCAGCCTCCTCCTGCTTCTCCGTCTCTATGCTCTTGACATATGCCTCAATCTGATCGCCCGGGAGCAGTTCCATAGTCTTCCCAGGCGCCATTATGGCGATTTCGATATTCTTAGCCCCCGTCTGTACAACCTCCAGAAGCGACTTGATGGTCAGCTGGATCGTTGCCTCCCTGTCCATATCGTCTTTATGATGCCGTTCTAAGAATTCTCGCACAGTCTTGCTCGAGCGGCCGATTGCGTTTGCTTTCCTGTATCCCCGTAGCCGTACATTAGCTAGATATTCAGACATACATGTAGCACTCCAAAATGCCCATTATCCTCATATTGATAGACTTACCAAGCCGAATAAATTCCCGAAGGCTCTGTCTGGTACAGACGCGGGACATCATCGCCATGGTCAAAACCCACAATCAGCGTGCTAATGCCAAACGGCCGTACGCCACCACTCTGCGTATATCGCTGCTGCACCCCAGCAACATATTTGGTGATATATTCGATGGTGACGGGATCCTCCACGGTGAGACGGTGTGACTGGGCTTCTAGTCTGGCTTTGTCGACTAGGATTCTGGCATCGGCATTGAGGCCTGCGAAAGCGAGGCAGACGTGGTTATCGAGCAGGCAGAGCTTGGAGGGTGTGATGCGTGTATCCTGCAGTTTCATGGCGGAGCGTTTCTCACAGCCTAGGACGACGATGTCCTTGCCCTTTACGCCGACAGCACATGTTCCTGTATAACATGCATGACTGGGTTAGTATGCATATATTCGTAGAATCCTTGATTGGGCATGGATATGGATATGATTATGTTGGGCATACCTCTCTTGACAGCTTCGAGAGCATATTCTACCTGGAAAACGTGGCCATCAGGGCTTTCAATGGTGTCAGGTAGGGGCAACAACGTAAGTATATATCTTCCTGGACGCAAACATACCTAAAGACTTGTAGTATGTTAGAAGATTATCAGGTTATAGTGTACGTATCACGCAATGAAATAGCTATTGGATCAGCGACTTACCTGAAAGCGCTCGGTCATATCCAGAAGCCATATCTGAGAAGCGAGCGGCCGTGATATGTTAAGGGAGCGTGTGGCTTTAAGGATGGACAACCATGCACTGGGACAGACGACGGATGATATTTGCTGCTGGAGACTTTAGCTTAGAGATGTCTAAGAGTTCGGAGGTTGAAAGGCGTTGCCCAATTCGGGTGGGACGCAATCGCGGCTGCCTCCAGCTCGGGACAGGCGCCAAGCGCGCGTCTAATCCAGACAGCCTGGTTCTCGTAAACCCATCGGGGCGGTCTTATCACTAAGGAAGAATAACTGAAAATTAAAGCTCCCTCAACCATGAGGAGGGATTGATAGCTAGTAACTATTATGGGTGTTATCGCCTTTCGGATTTGGAATACACACTGTTTAGTGGTGATACTGTACATCCGCTTCCAATAATCATATACAAATCCTGCAGTACCTATATATACTACAATAGTGCTCCGTACACATAATTATTTTCAGTACCCCGCTCAGTAAGATCCTTTTTAACACTAAATTTCATATTCTGGGCAGAGGTGTAACAACCTCGGGATAAACAAACTTGTGTCATATTAGCGCGGTGTTGGTAGATTGACCCTTATATCCCCCTCCCTTCATTTGCTCCTGTGCTAGGTATTGCATCTCCTAGCTGAGGTACAACCATCCAGATTCGGTGACACTCCCATAGACATCATGGTTTTCCAATCCCCATCATGGGCGTCTAGCATGCCATCAAGCTCAATACCAGATTCAACGCCGATCTGTGACTTCATTTTTGACGAGAAGTACAGAAGGCCTTCACTAGCCAGCTCTCGAAACCCTTTTGTGTGGGGCATATCGGGTGAGGGGTATTCGGCGGTGCAAGTACGGCAACGCGTGGATTATCTCGCCAGAAGCCTTGCGCAGGAGTTTGGATGGCATCCGAATCGGGGTTCCGAGTGGGATAAAATTATAGGCATCTTTTCGCTGAATACGGTATGAAAAATTTATTCTAATGTATTCTCTGGGCGAGATGAGGACGCGAAATTACAACCTCTCTGAAGAGAAAAAAGCACGTGGGGATAACTATGCCAGTAATATTTTTTTATGAAGCATAAGCTGAGATGTATATACACAGATTGACTATATTCCACTTGGATGGGCTATCCATAAACTATCAGGTATAGCAACACTCATCAATGCCTCTTCCACAGTAGATGAGTTGGCATATCAACTCCGCGCCTCTAAATCGTCAGTGCTATTTACTTGCATCCCGTTACTAGCCACAGCACTCGAAGCAGCTTCCAAATGCGGAATGCCACGCTCGCGAGTGTATATTTTGGAAATGCCGCAGGAGCTGCTGAATGGCTTAAGTACTCCGGCTGAGTTTACCACCATGAGCCGACTGATCGAGAAAGGTTCGAAGCTTTGCGACCTGGATGCTTTGAAGTGGCAGAAGGGGCAAGGAGCAAGTCAATGCGCCTACTTATGCTTTTCGAGTGGGACGAGTGGATTGCCGGTATATCATAAACTACCCCAAGAAATTATACATTTTCCGCTGCGGCACGTGCAATATTTATATGGGACGCTGCTAACGTGCTCCAGTAGAAAGGAGTACTGATTTCGCATCGGAATATGATTTCAGAGGTGCTTTTATTAACGAGTTTTGAGAATCACACCCGTACACCAGACCAGAAGAACGTTGTCCTGGGACTTTTGCCCCAGGGTCACATATTTGGCCTCTCTGTTTTTCACGCTGCGGTTTTCAGAGGTGAATGTGTGGTCGTGCTGCATAAATTTGAACTCGAGACACTTTTGGCTGTTATACAGAGGTCTAGGATAAATGTTTTATATCTGGTAAGTTCTCTGTTCTTGTGCATTGAGATGCTCTGATGCACTTTCGGCCCATTGTGCCTGCAGCGTGTATTGACAGAAAGAAGGTTCCTCCCGTAATTGTTTCCATGGTGAAGAATGAGGAACTCATGAAAAAATATGATCTGGGTAGTGTGCACTCAATAATCACTGGTGCAGCTCCTCTCGGCCTGGAAACTGCTGAGCAACTGGGCAAGCTGCAGCCATCGTGGTCTATCCTTCAAGCCTACGGTATGATTCCCTTTCGCATATATTTGTTCATATAACCTAAGGCAGAAAATCAAATGCATTATAGGCCTTACAGAAACCACAGCCGTTGCAACAGCCACCAGCCCGCATGACATCTTCTTCGGATCATCAGGTTCCTTACTTCCCTCAATTGAAGCGCGCCTCGTGTCGGCTGATGGAGACGATATTGAAGAGTACGATACACCAGGAGAACTTCTCCTACGGGGCCCGACGATTGTGCTTGGATACCTCAATAACGAGGCAGCAAATAAGGCGACTTTCCAGAACGGGTGGTTGCGGACCGGAGACGAGGCTGTTTTAAGGAAGAGCGCCAAAGGAGAGGATCATGTTTTCATAGTCGATAGGATTAAGGAGCTGATAAAAGTGAAGGTAAGCACTACGTACATGTAAATGGACGTTGTAAGGAACGAGAATAGTTGGGGTTTAATTATTTGACAATTTGGTACAGGGATTCCAAGTTGCTCCCGCTGAGCTGGAAGCGCATCTGCTTACCCATCCATACGTTGCGGACACCGCTGTTATTGCCGCTATCGATGATGATGCTGGGGAGGTCCCAAAGGCATACGTGGTCAAGGCTATTAATGCACCGGTTGATGACCACATTTTCATTCGCGATATTAAGAAGCATGTCTCGGACCATAAGGCGCGTTATAAGTGGTTGAGGGGCGGCGTGGAGGTCATTGATGTTATACCAAAGACTGCAAGCGGGAAGATATTGCGGCGTCACTTGAGAGACAGGGACCGTGGGGCGAAGGCGAAGGCGAAGGCGAAGACGAAGACAAAGGCGCGCCCGAAGTTATAATGTTATTTTAATATGCTGGACATCCATAAATCCATACGAACATTTCGGGAGCCAGCGGCATCTGATGGGGTCGCGTCAAGAAGCATTCATTGTCGATGTGGCCAGAGCTTAACCCCATGTATTGTAGCATGTCATAGCACCCCCATTCTATATTCCCTCGACTTGTTGGGCTTTTATCCCCTCGTCTGGCCGCGAGGACACAATTAGTGTATTTTTTAGTGTGTACATTAGTGTATTAAATATATGAAAGTTACTGGGCCATATGAGAGATCAGCTGTATTGATGTGTTTTAGTGTAATTTATGTAATCTATTTGATCTAGTCAACTAACTAGTCCTAATTAATATGATCAGAATGGAACTTCTTTCAATATCCTCTCTTCAAGCAGAGAGCAATATTACTACATGCTGCACAACTATATCTTTGCAATAAGATAGCACTATAACCATTAGATTATCCAAAAAGCTAACATAATCATTTGTTAAATGGTTGTGCTCATAGTATCTGTGGGCGTGGTGGTGTGGCCACTCAACCCACCATCTATCTATACACTGACAGATTGCTTTCACTTTGCATCTATTTTTGTACTATCTAATAAAAAAAATTAGTCAATCTGATTAAAAGAAGCATTAAGAAATTGAAGATTATCTATAGAAGTCATATTTCTTTCTCAAAGCAGAGTGATCAGAGTGATAAGAAGATCATGAATATGAATGAATCAAGATAAGAAGATAGCAGATTACTAAAATAGTGAAGCAGTATCAACAAATCAGATTACATAGAATTTAGTATGAAGAATTATTGGTTGGTACATCAGAACTAACAGCTTAGTTGTTACACTAATTGTATTGCACTAATTGTGTCCTCGCGGCCAGACGAGGGGATAGTGTTGAAGCCACCCAGAATCCATGAATGGGGGTGTCCGTTTTGCCGCCCAGCGCCAACGAGCTGCTGTTTCTTGGCATCATCGTCATCCCCCCAAACTAAAAAGTCACGAACAATGTTCTGAATTTTCCTCTGGTTTTTCCTCTCTTTTGCATCGTAGCTCTATCCGCAATGTCTGGTGCCCGAGGTGTTTCACTCGCCATCCGGCGCGGGGGATCTTCAAGGATAAGAACAGGCAGTTTCCGTCCGAATTTCTGCGATGCACGTTCAATGCGATTCAGCACGTCCGCATCGCCTCTCGGAGCCCAGGAAATATCAGTCACCGCAACTCCTCCCAAGAGCCAATCTAAATACACCACAGACGTATATCCGAATCTAAGGAGGAACCCGAATTTCTCCGAACTTACCAACACTCATGTCCAGCACTTTAAAACCCTCCTCAAATCCCCATCCGCCGTCATAGATGGCTTCACAACGGACGCCACCGACGATATCGAACCGTTCAACTGCGATTGGATGCGCAAGTATCGAGGACATGGGAAGCTGGTGTTGAAACCACAGAATACAAAGCAGATGAGTGATGTTCTCAAGTACTGCAATGAAAATAGATTGGCGGTCGTGCCCCAGGGTGGTAATACGGGACTGGTTGGAGGAGGCGTGCCCGTATTCGATGAGGTTATCATTAACACGGCGCGGATGAATAATATTCGCTCCTTCGATGAAAACTCAGGCGTGCTGGTCGTTGACGCTGGTGTGATTCTCGAAGTTGCTGATAAATACCTGGCGGAGCGGAATCATATTTTCCCTCTTGATCTGGGGGCGAAAGGGTCGTGTCATATCGGAGGAAATGTTGCTACTAATGCTGGAGGTCTGCGACTACTACGTTATGGGAGTTTACATGGCAATGTACTGGGTATAGAAGCTGTTCTTCCAGATGGGACAATTATCGATGATCTGTCCACGTTACGGAAGAACAATACGGGTTATGATCTCAAGCAGCTCTTCATTGGTGGGGAGGGAACCATCGGCATTATTACTGGCGTTTCTATTATTTGTCCACAACGACCAAAGGCTGTTAATGTAGCTTTCTTCGGCATTGAAAGCTATGAACAAGCCCTAGCAGCCTTTCTGGAAGCCAAGGGCCATCTGTCAGAAATCCTATCTGCCTTTGAGTTGATGGATGGGCGGAGTCAGGACATGGTGCACAAGGTAACAGGGTTGAAGAAGCCGCTGGATGGTTCGTATCCGTTCTACTGCCTTGTAGAAACGAGTGGTTCGAACGGTGAGCACGATAACGAGAAACTGGAAGGCTTTTTGGAACATGTCATGAGCGAATCTATCGTGGCAGATGGCGTGTTGGCTCAGGACGAAACACAAGCACAAACGTTATGGCGATGGCGGGAAGGCATTACAGAAGCGCTGAGCCACCTGGGCGGAACATATAAATATGATGTCTCCATTCCGTTAGCGGAGCTCTATCAACTCGTCGATGACACGAGAGACCGATTGACAAGCGCTGGTCTAGTTGGAGATGACGAGAACTATCCAGTCCGTGAAGTGTTGGGATATGGACATATGGGGGATTCAAATCTGCATCTCAACATCGCCGTTCGGCAGTACAACAAGCAGGTCGAGAAGCTTATTGAGCCGTGGGTGTACGAGTGGATTGCCAAGAGGAATGGCAGTATTAGTGCAGAACATGGTTTGGGAATTGCGAAGAAAGAATTCATCGGCTACAGCAAAAGCGAGACGATGATTAAGCTGATGGCCCAACTTAAGAAACTTTACGATCCTGTAAGTTTTTGTGCTTCAATCTCATTTTTTTCGCCTGATTACCCCTAACAAATCATCTCTATTTTCTAGAACGGCATCATGAACCCCTATAAATATGTGTAGCTGGTTGAGCGAATTCCACTACAGATTTTCGGATCAGTATACCTATATAGAGGACCAGGCGTTCTAGAGATTTGATTCTGGAGTTGTAGCAGTCATATTACAGAATGCGGGTGGATGTTTCAAAAATCTTGGATTATTATTAATTTTGAGTAGATTTGGATTTGGATGTTGCTGAATATCCGGGTTTTAATCTTTGGTTCTGGACGGAGTTATTGTTACATAAACTGTTAAGCTTGATAGTGACCTCGGGATGCTCCGAACCCGAAACTTTAAATGCCGTGGCACATGTATATCCGGTCCAACCCCAAAAGACACTAGCGTCGGGTGTTGCCATAGACAACCGATGTTTATCCCGACTGAGCAACTTTCCCCACTCCAACAGCTGAGGATCTGACAGAGCTTGAATCTTGCATGAAAAACCGGATATTTGAGTTAGTTTCAAGTTTCAACAACGGATATCGTTATTTACAGTTTTTTTTATTCATCCTCCAAATGTATTTCTCCACCAGTATCATCCTCCATTGACCGAATCGCGGACTCTGTCGCTTGCTGGGCCACAGTTGATTCATTGGGATCCCAGTTGCCGTGTCGTAAGCCATCTGCAAACAACTGGGGTCGATTTTGCAAACGAAAACAGAGAGCTCCATCTCCGTCTCCAGGGATACTGTTGGCGTTCCATAAGGCACAACGTGAGGCATGGCCGACGAGGGAGCTTTGGCCAATGGCTATCAAATGCTTGAGGAGCTTGGGAGTGAGTTGAGTTCGGGATACAGCTGCCGTTATGCGCTCCAGATAACTAATTTTCGTTCTGTGCCGATCCAGGTGGGAGTTTTGGAACAGTGTACAAAGCCATCGACAAGGATACGGGCGAAATCGTGGCGATAAAACATGTATGATTCCTGTGGAGTCGGGAAGATATGGAGTCGAACAGCTGATCTAATCCACTCTCCTTGTTTCAGATTGACCTCGAATCTAGCGAAGATGATATCCAAGAAATTCAGCAGGAGATTGCGGTGCTAGCAACTTGTGCAAGCCCCTACGTGACGCAGTACAAGACAAGCTTTCTCAAAGGCTACAAGTTGTGGATCGTCATGGAATACTTGGGTGGTGGATCTTGTTTAGATCTGGTAATTAGCACCTTTCGACTCCGTGATAATATTTACTAATAATAGGATTACAGCTTAAACCCGGAGTGTTTAACGAAGCCCATATCGCCATTGTCTGTCAGCAACTGTTATTGGGCCTGGATTATCTACATCAAGAGGGGAAAATACATCGAGATGTTAAAGCTGCCAATGTCCTTCTGTCCCAGTCCGGAAAGGTTAAACTGGCAGATTTCGGTGTCGCAGCCCAACTCACGAACATCAAATCGCAGCGCAATACCTTTGTTGGAACGCCATTTTGGATGGCTCCAGAAGTTATCCAACAAGCGGGATACGATTTCAAAGCCGATATCTGGTCGTTGGGTATTACGGCAATGGAGATGGCTAATGGGGAGCCACCAAACGCTAGCACGCATCCAATGAAAGTCCTCTTTCTGATTCCGAAAGCACCGGCTCCCAGGTTGGAAGGAACTCACTTCACTCAAAATTTCAAAGATTTTGTAGCTCAATGTCTGATAAAAGACCCCGACCGACGACCAACAGCTAAAGAGCTGTTACGACACAAGTTCATTCGCAATGCTGGTAAGACAGAGGCATTGCAGGAGCTAATTCAACGCAGGCAAGAGTGGGAAGCAAGCAGAGGCCTGTCAGATAATATAAAATATTATGAGGAATCTATGTACGCCCCCCCCCCTCTTGGGATTGAAGATTCTGAGAGAATCTGCTAATTTGATATAGGGCAACCATTGATCATAAGGAAGATGAAGATGGGTGGGTGTTCGACACTTTGAAACCGGGTACTGTAGCCATGTCACACAATACGCAAAAACGAATGAAGATATCCGGCCCACCAATAGAGGAGATCGAGCCAGAAGAGGACACTTCGGAAATGCTAAAGCAATTGGAACTTATAGACACGTCAAGCATACAGAGTTCCAGCAAACCAGTGTCAAATTCCACGGTAAGACGTTCAGCCCTCTCGGCAGAGCGATCTCCATCCGTGAGACGATCGAATACCAAACGGCGGTCAAGTGGGGTAAAACAACCCCTTGGGCTAAACTTAAGTTTCGGAAATAGCCCTTCAACGGTTAGACAATTTCGCCGGGTATCAGATAAACAAGCTGATATGACAAACGAGTCCACAGGCTATCCTCTGCCGATGGATGAGAACTGCGCACCAAAGACGCTGTTTTCGGAACCAAGTAGCAAAGAAGCTATACTAGGCAGAAGGATATATAATAAATCCATTGGACTTTCCTGCCAGGAAGTGCTCTCGACGACGTGGGATCAACAAAAACGGGAGGCTATATCCCGACTTGCCGAAGCATGGAGCGATCTTGAAATGATCGACCCAGAAGGGCTTTACCAGATCATGAAGTCGACTTGCGATAAGTTACAAGCGTGAGTTTCGTGTCTCTTTCTAGCTTTTATCTTCTGATTAACCCTAACTTTTTTGTCTAGAGACCCCAAACTTTCCTCGATGTTACCCAAACAAACGACGGTGGAATCCCCATCAAGACCGAAACTCGTTCTTGCCCAGAACAATCCCCATCTCAAGAGCCATCGGCGGCGACAATCCGAGCAAACTCATGCCGATGACCATTGGCAGGGAGCGGGTTTAAATCTTCCAGGACAACAAGTCCTTGGAATGGAACATACGAAGCAACTTGCGGATGTCCTTTATGATCGATGGACAGCAGGACTTCGCAGCCGATGGCGTGCTGTGTAAGGCGCAATTGTATATTATGTGTACAGGTTGTGTTGCAATTCTGTTTCTTGGGAGCTAAAATCTTTTTGGTGCCATAGCATTTTCGATTTTGAGCTCTCATCTCACTCTCTTACTTGCTGACAGGACTTGAGACTCTAATTTGGCAGACGGAAACTGCCTGGAGTCCCAACGTTCCTTGAAAAGATGGGGAAAACTTCCAGCGCCAGTTTTGTTATTTATAAATCATGTCCTCAGTTCATATTTCCATCAATCCCTTTTATACCCAATGATCTTGCCAGCATGCATCATGTGCAACGCATGGAACTGGAGAATGCAGCGCTGGCGTGATTTTATATTACCTCGATTTGTGGTGTCGTTTTCCATTTCGCTTGGCAATTTATCCATGAATATCCATCTGCAAATGTTCATCGCGGCGCATTGCCCGCCGGAATCGATGTTTTCGATCACAAACATCGGCGGGATTATCACCATCCCACATGGTTTAATGGTTTTGGTTTAAATCAATCGTTGTCCAAACGACCTCTGCAACACCTCTCCCAACCCTTTTTCTTCCCCACCTGTCCTCTTTCTCTGATGATATCTAGGTCTGTGGGCGTGACATGTTTGGATCTATGTATGAATGAGAAGAAAGCACAACTGGTTGTGACTATGTATAATAACTATTTTACTTACAAATTTCTGTACTTCTTCATTTTTATCCATTCTTCAACTTTTGCTCCTTTGAGATGGTTTTTACCTCGCATTATAGGTAACATTTGGATAGGAAAAGCGTTAATTAAATGGCGTCTTTTCCAAGTAATGCCAAATCCCTTTGCTGATGCAATTCGGGGTGAATGTATAGAAAATGTACCTGGGCAGGAATGAACGCTCTCTGGGCAGCTCATCATTCTTCTCCGGTGCTGGCCGCTCCCGTCAGTAGTATACTCCGGAGCAGCTTTCACGCTCAGCAAGGGCGACACTGGGTAGTTCAGTTGACTCGATAAACACAGACCGTATCGCGATATCCAGGTTTTCGTGTTTTGGGTGGTTCGAACAAGTATTCCATTGGCTCTCTCGAACGATGGGTGGACCTGAGGAGTCGGTTTTTTTTTTTTTTTTTTTTTGATACAGTGCGTGCTTCCGTGATGATGTGTTGCTGATAATGACTGCATGTGCCCGGCTGTCATGCAACTAACCACTGGTATTCATCACAATCGGGTCATTTGCTAAGTTCCCTGAGAGCGGCGGGTGGAAATCGTCAGGTTCTAGCAGAAGCAGCATCAGCGCAAATTCGTCCAACCGGACGCACCAACAAATGACAAAAATTTCCATCGGCTCACAGGCACCCAAAACTGCCACCCTACCACAAAAATGAGGGAAGCTGTACAAGAGATGTTGCCCGTGCGCAGGAAAGTGGAACATCCCCCTACATCCCCTACATCCCTATCGGGGATTGCCATGTATTTATGAAGCGCGGGAAGCTTTGCGGAACTTTGTTGCATCACAACGTTTGCTGTAAAAAAAAACGGCAGTTATCAAAGGTAATATGCAAGAGATGATTTATATACATATATTTTATATTTTATTTAATTTTTTTGTGATGCTGTATGTGTCAGGTGTGTGCTTGATTCGTTCTTTGATTCTCTAGCAGCATGTTTCTCAACATGGGGTTTCTGGCCCCTTTGGAAGGCATCCTCCCAGAAACGATGCTTTTGTGATTCAATTCGACGAGAATTCGTTTGATGTAAAAACGAATTGGACGTGACAGACACCCTCCGGTCAGAGGCTCGGGGAAATACTACTGCAGAATCAGCGAACATTTTCTCTTTATGCCCCTGCAGCAAGAGTTGCTTCGGAATGGGGGAAACGATAGCTTTCCAACACGCAGCACATTAAGTCTAGAGCTCCACTTCTTCCTTGCTGGAGTTAGTTGGCTAAATGGATTTACGAAAAGTTACTTCATGTGGACCGTGGTAGGTGCTGTGTAGGAGGATGCATTTTCTCTTTCAGCAGGTACTTTTCACGTATCACTAACAATCCAACTACAAAGGAAAGAAAGAAAGAGAGCAAAGGATAAGAGAGATACAGAATGAGAGAACAAAAGAACACCGAAAATTTTCTTCAAGTCTATTCAGATAAAGCACCTCCAACTAGATCAATCTTCGAACTTAGGATTGATAGCACTCTTTGTTGTCAAGATCATCCCGCCCTTTTCATAAAATTTTCCTTGATCTTCGTCACTGCCGTCTGCGCTTCTACGGCCCCTGTGTCCGTGCTGAAATCAATCGCCGGAACAGATTCGACTTCGGTCTCACCGTCAAGTCCAGTGAGATTCCCATTGCGGTCTTGGAAAAACTTAATCCAACTACCAACAACCGTCGCTAGAAATTGCCTCTCCCCAGACCCAGTCGCTCTCTGCAAGAGGATGTTCGACGCGTTTTCGAACGCAGCTTCGAGATTTTCCGATTCTTTTATGCACTCTGTTCGTAGGACAACGCTGCAATTGAGGCGGGTAATGATTGTGCGTTGGGGATTACCTGTCGGCTGGCCATCGACGAAGCAGGACACGTCATATTCGTGGAAATAGTTTTGAGTCTTGGGAAACCACTGATCGAGTTTCCTGCGGATGAATTTGTACTCGGCGCCCTGGGACGGGCTTTGGTGGGTTTGTTGCGAGATGATCGTCTTGTGTTCAGGTATTCTCAGTTCTGCGGTATAGTTTGCCGCGGCTGCGATGCGTGATGCCATGGTTATGGATGTCGTGGGTGATGACATTTCCGATTCTAGCAGGCTTGTTTAGGGATATGTCAAGACCAGGGAAATTGCGGCAGGAGTTCGCGGAGGGCAATTTCTAGTATAAAAAAGAAGGGAAACGAGAGGATCTTCAGCCACTTTTATATGTTGATGGTGGATGCATAAAATACGTGATGGAATCTGTAGCACATGGGTGGAATGTTCCTACTATTTAATTCATCGATTTATGTGACCCACGGATATTGGCAGGTGGCTAAGATCGGGATAGGAACGTACCATACTTTTGGTCATTGAATTGACCCTCTGAAGTATCTTTGGGGAAGGATATGCGGAGCGTCCACTTCCGCGGCATCACAATGCCTTTGAAACTGATCCACTCAAAGCATCATGTTTGTTTACGAAGCTATTTCATTATCTTCATCGATCTTTAAGAGATTGTGGGGGGCTTTGTGCCAATGAACAAAGAACTGTCCTATAGAACCCTATTCGAGATGGATTCGTTCACGGGTAGTTTCGTAAAAGCCCAAGTACTTCTTCATGATATTCATTGCATACCAGAGGTACTTTCCTCCCAAAGTTAGAGGGTTATACCGTATGTTGGATGCGTGCAGCTTGCGGCTATGTAGGGGGCAAGATCTGGGGCATTCACAGGTAGCATGCATGTAGAATCAAATTTGAACAACAACAAGGAAAATTCCGGCACAATTTGGATGTAAATTGGAGAGGAAATGAACGTAAATTAGAAAATGACTGGATGTAGCCGAAGAGAATGAAATACGTGAATAGCTGCAAACAAGACTTCCTGCAGCGATCGTGTTTATAAAAAAATATTCGAGTGACCGAAAGTTTCCCATGTTTTTCGTCCCTCTTTGTTCAGGGGGGGACAAACAAGAATATAGTCCCACATGCTTTCGATAGAAAGTGGGAACCAATAGAAAGTAAATAACCAGTTGAATTTGCAGAGCCCTTGGCCGTCCTTCACCTATTCACACCTAGGCCTAAACTCCAACAAAGGCCCATCCCTCATCACCAGGAAATAGTCTTCAAACTGATACTCATCAGGCCGCCGCCTCCCTTCATGTTCGTGGTTAGGGTTGCCCGCACCCAAAGTCTCATTCACCGGGGAAACGCGCATGTCATAAGAAAATAGTAAACGCGTAAAAGCATGGCCGAGTTCGAGATACGCAAGACGTTTTCCCGCACAGCCACGTGGCCCGAGACCGAACGTGGTGAAGGCTGATCGAGCGATAGCGACCTGACTCTCGGATCCTATGTCACCGTCTAAGGCGTATGGGTCGACAATCCAGCGCTCCGGTCGGTATGAGAATGGATCTGGATAGTATTCTTCGTTATGGTTGATGGTGTAAGGAGGGGTATTTACGACAGTCCCAGCAGGGAAGTGGTGCTTTTCAATGGTGAGACCTCCCGCGAGAACTTGCCGGGGTAGATGAGAAGGGACAACAGGAGAGAGTCGCATACCCTCATCGAGGCATGCGCGGAGATAAGGTAGGTTGTTGAGTGCCTTGGCTTGGATTTCATCCAGGGAAGAAAATGTGGAACGAATGATGGATGTCAATTTGCCAAGAATTTCTGGGTGGTGGGAGAGGTGGAACATGATGGCAGAAATGGCAATGGAGGTAGTATCTGAACCTGCCGCAATGAGTAGAGAGCTTTCAGAATAAAGTTCTTCGGTTGTGAGCCCCTTTCCTGTCTGGGAATCCCTGGCATTTAGTAGATAATGGGCCAGATCCTTTCTAGTTGGTTTAGAATCGTCTGTTTCGGCTTCAATACGCTGTTTCATTTGGGAAGCGGAGTAGCGTTTGTATTTCAAGTGGTCCCGAGCCATTTGACCGCCAACTACATTCATTATAGGAGAGCCGAGAAAAGGCCTCAAAAGTGGCGCCAAAGGCGACAGGCCAATCTGGGAAGAAGTGCGTATTAGGTGATGGGAAATTCATCCCGAGCAAGAAAAGTAGGACTGCAACATGAGCAGGCAGGAGAGATAAATACGTACGAAATAAACCATTTTTGTTGCATTCAGCATAAGTAGAGGAACAAATCGATGCTCATCACTGTCCATGCAGTGAAACTTCTTACCAAACGTGAGGTCACCCATAATATCATAGCTCAAATATGTGGCCCAGTCAGCCATATTCTTGGGGGAAGACCAGTCGCCTGGTTTCGAAATGCCTTCCGCGAGATGTGCACACCATGACTGAACATTTTCAATAATCATATGCTCGACTGATTTCAGAGCAGTCTCTGAGAGGGCAACGTCTAAGACGCGGCGATGAAAAGCGTGTGTTTGGCGGTCAAGTATAGTTTGGGTCATAGGAGTGCCGACTGCCCCTTCGACAGTTAGATACCAGTCGGATTTGCGAACATTGGAGAGGCGTGACCCATGTATGGCTTTGAAACCAGCGACTGAGTTTATAGAGACAGTGTTCGGACCAGTCCGGACGATAGGACCTACTTCTCGGTTAGCCGGTTTAAAACAGAGCACCTAGGTGCGGGGGACAAAATGATGTCAAATAGTAGAAATTTAGTTCACCATATTTTTGATGAGCTTTCCATTCCCGCAAGTGTCGGTCGCCACTGGATGCGTTGAACAAAGTGGCCCAGTCGGATAGTTTACACGAGAACGGACCCGGGTATTTGGCGAGGGGATGGAGTGTAAGTCGATAGACGCCGACAATAGAGCACTGATAATATGCAGTATATGGATTAGACGATATTCATTCTTCATTGGCTGTTGCTCAGTTCTTCAGACGTGTTTGGTGTATGGATGCTCACATAGCAAAAAGTGAGGATCAATACCACGGCGAAAACTGCCAACAGGCCGTTTACCCCGTCTTGAGAAGCCAATGAAAACAGAGTATCCATTGCAATATTTGTGGTGGCTAAGATCTGCTATGTAGTGTAGAAACCAGGAAATGGATCTTGGATTCTCCTCAGACACTGCGCTCTCTTCACGCGACACAGACAGTATTCGAGCAGTATGCGGGGACAAAAGAGTATATTTGGGAGATGGCGGGACTTGCTAATCGCAGACAACTCCTTTGTTGAATAAGAAAAGGGTGTGTCACGAGGGAAAAAGCAATATTGTTCTTTGTTCAAAGGGATGCCCGACAGATAGCGCATTAAGAACTCCAGGGAATTGAACACTCCCATCCTCACACAGCCAACGAATATTGCTGGATTCAAGTCCAGGACAGAGCAAACATGCCCAAGCATCCCCATCTGGGTGCTTAATGGCATGTAGAGACAAAAACGTCTGCATCCTTAAGGAGCTTGGATAGATTTCTGGGTTGAACGGTGGTGTGCTTGAGGAAGCATCCCTGCGAGACATAAGTTAGTTCAAGCAGCAAGGAGTTTTCGCGATGCAGCTCCTTGTCCATTTTTTGTAGCTGCATTTGCCCCAGCATCATTGAATCTTCAAACCAATCCCCGTTCTGCCCTGAACAGCATGGGTATCAATGACAAGGTTTTCTCCTTTGGGATCCGATTCAAACCTGTGAGTGGCAATATATTAGTAACTAGCACATTTTGGTGAGACCATCAAGTCGGAGACATGGTCCTCTGAAATCAATGGCTATTTAAGCTGTGCAACAATTAGCTGGTTCACACTGGATGAGAACTGGGTCGCCAATAGTGGCCTGGGATAAACCGCTGAGAACACGTCTGGGGTGATCGATGTCGTTAGAATAAAGTTAAGCGGCGCCAAATACACCAGGCGAACTTAAACTGATGCTTTCTCGTCAACGAGCTAGATGAGTTGATCGACGAATGACCTTGTAAGTAGGTAGCTCCTCCAGAAGCAGATAAAATGACGCTGAAATATTAGAAAGTATATAAAAAAAAATTCTCCTTTGCTTCATCTGTTCGAATTTTCCCATATTAAATATATGCCTTAGCTACAAGAAACTAATTAAGTTATCACTAAGATTTAGCCCCAGCACCCACTCGGAAGATAGTAATCTGTCGGAACGATGGGATGTCCAAATATTGACCCAAATCCTGAATATCAAAAGAATGTTTAATTGACTCTGATAAGTCTGATAATTACATGATAAAATGCAGTATTTATAAGGAAAGGAATGCTCGATTATAAAGCGAGACAGTGCTCAGGTTTCAAGAATCAAGAGCAGATAATATAAAATCTCCGATATACGAGATATTACGAGATACTACGAGATATTATCTCCGACAGTATCCTCTTGGAGACGCAGAGCCCGTGGTTTTCTTTATGCTCCTTCAGGTTCGTACCATGCGCTGGCTCATTTTTATCCTTCCCAAACCTTACTCAACCTACCTCTGACATGCAGGCGAAAGAATGGAAAGCAATGATAGGCTGACTTAACGAAGACCGTTAAGTCTTCCAAATTTCGGACAATTACGTGGTCAACCAACGGCACGAGCTTACACAAGCAGCAGAGCCTGCTACTTTAAGGTGCACCTTCAACATCTTAACAACCATGTTGTCCGTGGCTTACTTTCGGAACCAATCCGACCCTGCATGAGGCATAGGATACCTCTTTACGGCATACATCCGAGGCCACGCCAACATAGCCTTCACCTAGCTCCAGCCGGCAACCGGGTGATATCTTGAACGGCTGGCAAATACTACTACTGGGCCACAACAATCACTGATAAATGTGCCACATACGACTCGTGGGAAATAGCACGATTGAGATTATTTGTGGGGGGAGACATGACAAGGGAGAAGTTTGGTTTGATCAAGGATGGGAACCGATGGCTAGACAGGCGATTCAAGCCCATAAACAAAGGCAATAGACCTGCGGCCGTGTCCGCTTATGGTGTACCATCTCGACCTCTGCCGCCGAAACACACAAAGGTCATGGAAGACAACCCGATATATGTTTACTTGATTGAGGGCTACGAGCCCTCTATTATCTTCGATGGGGCGCTGCTGGGCTAACATTTGCTTTTTCAGGGCCCACATCCAAGTATCCATTAATTTGATTCCCGCGACCAGCAGGCGGAGCGTGCAGTCAGTGGAGAATTTTCCGAGTAAATAAATATGACAAACTCTAGTAGAGGCAAATGCAACCGCAGGCAGTTGAGCATTCTAGGTCTTGGACCTCAGTAATGTCCACATTGAGCAATGAGGGAACACAGGTTTAATAAGTAGATTTATTCCTGAGGACCAACGCATTGTAGTCAACAGACGGTGGAGGGACCTGTAGAGTTATCTGGTGTTTCACGTTTGGGCAGCAGTGCAAATCTCTTCCCAGCTGGCAAAATTTTGAAGGTAAATTTCCATCCGCAGAAACTGTCCTGAAAATGGCGGCTTCTACATAGTACATACATACATTTAAACGAGTAAACCAAAATGGTGGATAGCGTGGTTGAGCGCTGTGTAGAAGAACCTGGTAAACAAACACCAGACGAGACGGGCGTAAACCATAAATCAAGAAAACCATTAATCAATAATTCACACGAGAACTAATATCATTGGATGGAGAGAAACGAGAAAATAAAGAGAAAAAATATGATCGCCAGCCTCCATTTATCGAAAATTGTCGGAGTTTAATTTTGAACGCTCAATACTCTACCACCTCTCCTCCTCCAAATTCCTCCACCACGAGAGGGACCAGGTGCACGGGGATCGCCACCTGTAAGGACTAAGCTACCGTACGTTAGTGCTCCATTTGCTGACTCCGTGGAAGTCAACCTGGAGTGTTTCTCTACTTCCTCCGTCTCCAGTTGGGCTAGTGGAGCATCCCCTGCAAGGTCCGAGTCAGGGCCTGCAGGGTCGCGAACCCTGAATCAATACTGAACTGGCAACTTTGCAGCACGATTAGTGTCCCCACGCCATCATCTCGACGGAGAATTTAAATTACAGCGGCCCACAGAAGCTGGGTTTGAGAGGTGAGAGATGTCGGAAGACAACTGCTCCAGTTGAAAATAGAAAAGTCTCTCTGAAGTTTGTTGCCGTTGGAGTAAATGTTTGTATCGTGGATTCGGAACCCCGGATGTGCTCCAAAGATGGAAAGTTGGAACTGCACTTGGGCTGAATTTATACCCACGACTCCGTTACGACCGTGACATTGACACCAACCAACAGGAATGAAGATTCTGGCAACATGCTTCGTGTCGGGGAGTAACGACGGTAACTACATTCATCAACACCTTATTCTAGAGGATTGATAATACTTACATGTTAGGCCACCGGGGCAAAAGAGCTCGATCACCACCAGCGCCATGCTGGTAGTCAAGGGGACGAACCAATCCAAACCTTCGGCAGTACAGCCATATCGGGAAACAGTGGGGATAATCTTGGCTCCAAGGCCCGCGGCATGGTGTTTCAGCTCGGTTGTTGGAGACCGAAGCTGACCAATGAGCCCAATAGAAAATGCGAATAAATCCCCCCGCATTTTCTAGATTTGGAGTGACTATTGACATCGAACTAGGCATACGATTCACACAAAACTACATGATTAAGAAAAGAAAGGACAAGAAAGGACAAAAAAAATATGGCGTCGTATAAAGTTGAGCTCCTGACGTCTCCAGATGACGCACCAATAATCGGCAGGATCAAAACCGAAGCTTTCGAAAACAGCACGGTCTCTCGCTACTGTCTTTTATGGGAAGGCAAAGGGAAATCCGTGGTCGAGAAATGGTATATAGATCGCGAGGTGCAAGATCTACAATCCCCGAACCAATACACCATCATTTCAGTTTCTGTGACCGAGGGCACTGTCGTAAACGGTGACTCCACCAACACCAGTGCGGGAAGCCCGGAGAAGAGCGACAACAAGAGCGATCATAATCGCAATGCTACGGGCAACAATCGGACAGTCGCCGCATGGGCGAGGTTTGCAATTCCACGTCCTATGCCGAAGGGAGTTGATGGCATGCAGGAGGAACCGGAGTATAAGAAGCGGAAGCAATATCTCATGGACAATCCGCCATCAGGAAACCATCCCGAGTTATTCAATGAGTTTCGAAAACAGATGCAAGCGGCAAGGCAGAAATATTTAGATGAGACTAAGGATTATGGTATGTAGTATCCATTGAACATCGTAATATATCTCTATATTTGTGTGTATATATAGATGCAGAGTTCGAGGTATATGCTAACACAAGTCCTCCAATCCGCTATACCAGTTCTTGAGCTTCTCGCTACAAGGCCCACATGTGAGCGGCAGGGCCACGCTTCTCGACTGCTAAAGTGGGGTATCGAGAGAGCGGAGGCTGAGAACGCAAGAATCTTCGTTGAAGCCTCGCCGGTGGCACTGCCTCTGTATGAGCGATTGGGATGGAAGCTAGTGGACACATTCCGAATAAAGCTGGCCGACTATGGGATTGATGCGGAAGGTGATGGAGATGGGTATGCGGTTATGTATATTATGATTAGGGATCCACAGGGGAATACTGGAAGTGGAGATGTGATGAGTTGATTTTTTTTTTTTTTTTTTTTTTTTTTTAGGTAAATATAATAGCCATGCGGGCGGGTACATAGATAATGGCCTAGGATGCTCTTTATTGTATATAAATCAGATGATCAGTCTGCTGAATAGAAATATGGTGAGTACGGCCCAGATAAAGCGAAGAGAAGAAAACCAGAGAGCAAACTCTATGCGATTTTTCTCAGTTGAAAAGGTTCTATCAGCGGAAAGGCCATATGGATAGATGGCCCTTGGTGGCGCGTATGGACTGAAGTACGAAAGAGCTTAAGATGACACATCCGATATATCAATAATGCGTTCACCAAGTCGAACTCGAGGATTCGTTGACTGTTTCCACTTCGGAGCGTTTGCTTGTATCAAAGCGATAATGGAAATTCTTCGACTACGGAGATTTCAACTGGGTAATATGGTTGCGCATGGGATGACAAACGTGTCAATTAGTTAGTTAGCTAGACTCTAGATTACTAGATTTGAAAAAAAAAGTAAGAAAACAAAAGGAGGATTCCTGCCCGTGGGCCCTTCAAGCTACAATCATAGCCAAAGCACCAGATGGCAACAAACGAAATACGTTCTAATTCGACAGCATTAGTATAGGCGGGCCATTTTGGAGCTCCTGTGTTTTTGCTAAGCGCAGCAGGAGCGGCAACATCCATGGCCATTTTTATGAGTGAATCGGCGATATTTCCCTTCATGCCTCAAGCTCAACGAGGAGATGGTAAGAGAGTTCGCGGGAGGTTATGTGGAATGGAACTGCCTCGCCAGCCGTACGGATCGCTTCGGTGAATCGAGAGCCAGATTAAGGTAGCATGTAGGGGAATGACAACATCTTCCACTGTTGAAATCTTGATGCAGGCAGACAGTTGAATGTGGTGCCGGAAAGGCACATCGTGGTGCAATCCGGGGCTGGAAAAACAGCTCGGTGTGGTCCTAATCTTGCACCATGCCATGATGCAATAGTTCATTGTGATGCAATTGATGGTGGTTGGGCACCGCAAGTAAGTTAAACTTCTGGCCAAAGCTCCTTCTTTAAATACACTCCATGTTTCACCGCTGCCGAGGCCCAAGCCGCTAGTCCTGAAACGATGGAACCGGCCCGTGTCACGGGACTTAGCGGCTCTTCCTCATTCGTCACCTTTGTCTCCTGAACTCCTGAACAACATTCAAATCTCCTTTTCAATATTATTATCACAGCGAGCTGATATTTGTTTTCGTTCGTTTTTTTGTTTTGATTGTTTGTCTCTGTAATTGTTCTATGTGTGAGGTGTTTGGCTTGAGGTAATGTCATTCTTTGTTTACTACTCTTACCTCTACATCTACATCCTCGATTTTAAGAAACCGGGAAACGGCCATGGACGAGGCCTCGACTACCACGGCTCCCGACTTACCATACCACGCTCCCAATGACGAATCCGGAGAAAACACCCGACTGGAAAAAAGGGCATCTCTCCCTGTACGTCCTAATGTCGCTGCTCGTCACTCAAAGCGCCTGACTTTAAATTTCCCAATTACCGTTTCACAGTCCATTGGGCACTCCCAAACACAACCCGATCAATTATCCCCTGCCTCGAGTTCCATGTGCTCGGCGACCCAGCCTTCCCACGTTATTGCCTCCCCTAACGACTCATCTACGTCAACTCCAACGCTGTTCTCGGAGACAAACAACGATGATTATGGCTTTCTTACCACTTTGGCAGCCCAGGAGCGAAAAGTGCTTGAACTAAAAGAAGAACTACAAAAGGCGGAGGCAGAGCTGGTGACACTCAAACGCCAATGGGCTCTGGTGGAGAAAGACAGAAAACGAATCGACATATACCACCACGTGGAGCCCTTAAAACCCCTGAAACTTGCCGACTCGAATTCTCTTGATGTTTCAAATTCTCCCCAGACCGACAAGGCTACGACAGTGGTAACGAACCAGAATCATGCGAGAATGAGCCATGAGCTCAAGCGACAGAGCTGGAGAAACTCACAGTCTTCATCCCCTGGAGACTCCCAGCTTACTATGGTATCAGTGAAAGGCCGGACAGTTTTCCAAAGCTCCAAACACACTAGGACTCTTTCCTTACTCTCTCCCAGCACGAGCAATTCCGAATTCAAACCGTCGTTTCCCCAACCAAAAAACATAGATGGGCAAGACAAAGCTGCTAGTTCACGGCCATCGAGCTATCCGAGATCTGCAACATTACCCTCCGTCGACCGCTGCGATATTATAAGACCAACAAATGGTGGTAACTCTATCCCTACCACAGCGGAACAAAAAGCCCAGTGGCGCCGCACTTTGCCACCAATTGCTCAAGATGTTACTGCAGAGGCACTAATGAGAACCGGTCGACAGATGGCCTCAGATTTCAGGGAGGGCTTGTGGACGTTTATTGAAGATATCAGACAGGCGACAGTCGGAGAGGAGGGAATCAATGGCACAGAGTCCAGGTCAACAGCACACAATGCACAGTCTGGCCAACGGGGAATGTCAAAACGGGATGTTGGATCAGGGGCGTCGACAAGGACGGGAAGATCCACAACCCCGCGGGGCATAATGGCAGATTCGCATTCAGCATCCGGTAATGATTCAACATCAAAAGCTCAAGAGATATCCTTTTGGAGTGAATTCGGCATTGATACTCCTGACCAGAGGACAAAAAGCTCCCCCCAAGACGCCGAAAACCCCACCCCCGACGAAATGAGACAGCAGAAACAGCAGGAGCAAGATCCAGAAGACCCGAGCCTTCAGGACGTAGATGATAATTGGGATATGTGGGATACCCCCAACAAACCGAAGGCTTCGCACACCCCGTCTTCCAGTAGCTCAACGTTCCATTCCAACCGAGACTGTTCTCCTTCTACTGATTCCAGCAGTCCACGAACTAGTGCAAGGTCAGTCAACCAAACCATGATCCTACCTAACCTTGCCTAATTTACATTCCCCATCCTCCGCTGCCGTAAAACAAAAAACAAGAGAGGAGAATAAAAAAGAAATAATCTATACAAAAGTTAACTTCCTACCAGTTTCACAAACCCCACATCTCCGGCCTCTAAAGACGATCAAAGCACGCACACCAACAAGAAATCAGACAGCATCCCCTGGCCAGTACTCAGCAGTTTGCACCCATCCAAACTTACGCGAACAGCATCCCACCTGATGGCGGAGTGGGAGCGGAGTCTTACTCCACCAGAAGAGCGGCAAAAGTTGGCAGCAGAAACTAACAGCGATATCAATACCAGGGGAACGGAAAAATTTTAATGGTTGATGGTTAACGCGTCTCCTTTGTCTGTTTGGGTTTCGGTTTGCTATGTCACCCTGGTAACGACCAACCTGCCAATCTCCTTAATTTTCCGGCCGGGAAGCCCTCGTTACTCCGCAAAGTCACCTTGACTCTCAGTTTATGTAGCCCATAGTGGCTAACGTACATCCCGACGTTCTTTGCACAGTCTTGCGTATGAAATAACCATACGCACGAAGGTTCCTCTCCACCTTAACCTCTTTTCAGCAAATTAGAAAAAATTTTTTCTATAGATTATTCACGATCCCCTTTACATGAAACATACTATGCTGCGCAGAAACATGGGTCTAGGGGATGTGACCTTCCTTTATTTGTTATTATTTTCTGTATATATCCTCGGTCCACGGATCCGGATTTTCTCTTCACTATTTATTTTCATCTGCTGCCTTTGAGAATCCGCTGCGCTTCTCCTTTCCTTTCTTCATGCTCCCTGCCCTCCCCCCTTTTCTTTCTTCCTTGAATTGTATATCGCCATTGGCTATCTTGTGCCCAGGTCATATGTATATGTATGTTCGTATGAATCTCGACATTGGGCAATGTTGGTATATGACTTTTGACAAATATTTGCTATGTCTCTAAATACATGAGAGCGTCTACCCGGGGCCAGTTTTCCCCCTTGATGATCGTCATGATTATGGTGTAAACCGTTATATTTTAGGTTGCCTGATATAGATATTACATTCTTTCGCTTTCTTATATATAATGTATTAGTTATTGGCTACCGCAACGAGCTTGTATTGAATATTTTGCTTCAAATCACAGTTCGACTGTTAACATCACGTGATTAACCACTAGAGCAACCCGGAATTCTTCAAGGCTTGGCATCTGAACTTTTTTTTTTTTAGGAGCTCGATGGATATAACTATCTTAACTGCGCCTGGGTTCGGAAAAAGAAGAGAAATATACTATAGATATATTCCCTTTGCGATCCCTCCATATTCCACACATCTGGTACTTATATTATTATAAACCCCCCAATCGCAGCCGTTCCTCATTCCAGCTATTCCGCGAGGAAGCTACATACAGCGACAAAAACACAAGAAGGAAAAGCAAGAAATCCGAGGAACCCACCTGTCTCGTGCCCTGAAACTCTCTACCCAAGGATACTACCTGCGCGCTGCTACCAAAATATTCGATACGCCTGCCACGGTGGGAGGACACCTCAGTCCGAACCCGGTACATATACACAGATAGGCCACGCAAGATGAGTTTCCCAGGCCTCGGCGGGGGAACCTCCGCAGCTGCGTCATCAGTGGCAGCAGGGATGGGAATTGGAGGAGCCAGTACAGCGGGAATGAGTGATCAGGAGGCGGCGATGGTGAAGACTGTGAGTGGCGAACCACCGTGTCCCTCCGTTTGCGCCTGGGTTACCTTACTTTGGCCCTTGTGTTGGCTGGTTGCTCTACGGCAGATGTAACGTGGAACGCTACTAACTGAGTGAGTGGTTATGATATGAATAGATCCAAGCAGCAATGGAATCCTGTCCCGTCAAATCCGTCATGGCGGGCGGAATGGGCTTCGCGCTCGGGGGTGCCTTTGGTTTATTCATGAGCAGTGTACGTCATACCCACCCCTATCTATACCGACCTTACTCCATACCACAAGAGACCGCATATCTATCCAATCCATTCTCCTATATACACCCCCTAAAAGAGAAGAAGGAACCGTCCGCCCACTAACCAAACCGCGCAAATCCCCGTCTCAACCCCAACAGATGTCCTACGACACTCCCTTGACCCCTCAAGGCCGTGAACTCTCATCGCTCCCCGTCCGCGAACAGCTCCGCCGCGGCTTCAAAGACATGGGCAGCCGCTCGTACAGCTCCGCAAAGAATTTTGCCCTTGTTGGCGCCATGTTCAGCGGGACGGAATGCTGCATTGAAGGGTTGCGTGCGAAGAATGACCTGGCGAATGGCATTGCGGCCGGGTGTATTACGGGGGGAGTATTAGGGGCCAAAGCAGGCCCTCAGGCGGCGATGTTGGGGTGTGCTGGGTTCGCGGCGTTCAGTGCGGCGATTGATGCGTGGATGAGGCAGCCGTCGGATTGAGGGAAGAGGCGGGTATGCAGGGGAGACATTGATATTTCATTTATTTTCGTTCTCTCTTTCGGGCGTTTTGTTTGGGCGGGATATAGAGATACGGCTTTTTTTTCCTTCTCTTGCTTTGCGTTGATAGATAATTTTTGCTGGCTACTGGTGGGCGCATTTACTGGCGTTCTTTTTTAGTTTGCTTTTCCGCGATTTTTGGTAGGATTTCCTGGGTCCATGGTTCTTGAATGATCGGGGGAACCTTGGAAAGATGGAGAGATCCCGAGATCCAGTTTGTGGCACTGACATGAGAAAGATCTCGACTCCCAGATATTGATGGATGTCCGGAGATGGAGATGGAGGAAGGTGGCTTCTAGCTGTATCTACGTACGCGTGTATGATAGGAGAGTCGAACGATTCGCAAAATACAAGAGAGGAAGCATATTGGAACATCGAGCAATGAATGACCTTTAATGATAGTTCACTACGCTAATGGACATGCGTCCAAATGGTAATAATTGTCTCAGGCTCATCCAAGGGTTCTGGGCATCGTGCTACCGGAGGAGAGCAGGTGCACAGTGTGAGGGGCAACAGCAGCCTCCGCCCATAACCGGGCAATCCGACCTAGTTATGGGTCACGCTGAACCTCACCAACAACCAATGCCCGCTGGAAATTGTGGAAAGTGTGGAAATTGCATTGCCTTAGCAAAGTCCTGAGGTTTTCGGCCGAAATCGCCACCTGCAGGGCTCATACGCTGGTTGTTTGCCGTTGGTTGGTGCAGTTGAGAGCGACCATTAAAACCCCCAAGTTTCCAAGTTGCATGCTGCGAGAAGGGCAACGAAAACAAGAGAGGGTGGAAGGCATAGCAAATGCAAAAAAAAATACGATCATCTCGCAACGATGATTTCAGTGAGTAGACAGCTCTGACTTGATTTGACCCTTGGTTGCGGGTGGGCCTTTGTACCGAACAACACCGCAGCAGCACGGACATCCTCAGCCCTATCAAGCCCGAGCTCTTCTTCTAACAGCCATCTAGAAGCTCGATCCTGAACCTGTGCGTCCCTTGAACCGGGAAGCTCCACTGCACGAGCTGGTGTCGAGGTAAGGGCTTCCTTGCGCTCTGTGCCCTTATGTTTGCCTTGGGGTTCCGTTGCCCTGCTAGCCCCGATTGCGTGCTTTGTGTGGCGCATCACCTCACTCGCTACGAGGTATCAGCTACATGGGCATTGCGCATGCTGCACGTATATACTCAAGCCAGCTAACAACTGCTCGTTGACATGATCAACCACTTAGCTTCATCACCCAGGCCCCGGATGCCTATAACCGCAACCACAGTGCCATCCCGGAGATCGACGCGGCCACCCATGTTGTCTCTGTTGGTGGAGACGTCCCCAACCCGCTCCAGCTATCCATTGAGCAACTGCGCCATGACTTCCCGCAGCACGAGGTATTGGCGGCCCTGCAGTGTGCTGGGAACCGCCGCCATACCATGCGAACCAAACTCAAAGAGGTGGTGGGGCTGGATTGGATGGATGGCGCCGTTATGAATTGCACCTGGCGGGGGCCTAGGTTACGCGATATTCTGATCAAGGCTGGTGTGAAGGGGTGTAATAATTATAATGATGATCACGAAACGGATGCAATGGCCAGTGGAGCGGTTAATGGGACTTCTAATGGCCACACTGCTGCAGGTGAGAAGGGGCCGCAGATGCATGTTGCCTTTACCTGCGACCAGCTGCGTTGCCAGGATGACAGCAACTATGGCGTCAGCATTGAGTTGTGGAGGGCCATGGCTGTTGATAGGGAGGTGATTCTAGCCCTGGAGGTAAGAAATTCTTTCTCAAATTCTCTAAATATCATATAATGTAATTTGAACAAACTAATCACAACCCCCTTAGATGAACAACAAGCCCCTCCAACCCGCCTACGGCTACCCCGTCCGCGTTGTTGTTCCCGGTGTCGCCGGTGCACGCTGGGTAAAATGGCTCGACACCATCTCTGTCGTCCCCAATGAATCACCCAACTTCTACCAGCAGCACGATTACAAGATCTTGCCCCCCGAAGCCCTCACCTGGGAAATCGCGGAGGAGTACTGGCCCAAGGTGCCCGCCATGCAATGCATGCCCGTCAACTCCGTCGTCGCCGTGCCTAATGACGACTCGACGATATACCTTCCGCCATCAGGGGAGCTGGAAATTAAAGGCTTTGCGGTCCCCTTTGGCGCGGACGGGCCTGTGACACGTGTAGAGGTTTCGGTCGATGGGGGGAAGACGTGGGTCGATGCCGAGTTGGATTATGGGCCGCATGAGTCAAATAAGTCGAAGAATAAATGGGCTTGGGTGCTGTGGCGGGCCGCAGTGAAGGTGGAGAAAGGACGCAATAAAACGATTTACAGTCGCGCAACGGATGCGGGAGGGAATACACAACAAGAGATGTCGCCGTGGAATTTGCGCGGGGTGGGGTACAATGGGTATGGCGCGTCGTGGAACGTCTCTGTGGTTTGAGAGTTTATGCTTGCGATTCCCCCCCCCCCCCCCCTCCCTTGCTTATGACCATGATAGTTGTAGTTGCTTGGCGTGTATCGGATGATGTTTATGGGTTTATATTTAGACTTGCGCGCTCTCGCCTCCCGCTTTCGATATGACCTTCGACAGGCGTTTCTCCACGATTTTCATTTCTTTTTCCTATAATTGACGATACTGGCTCATTCATTTCACAGACCTGGGACTAGAGAGAGTTGCTTCACTTTGCTCGGGAATAGTTTGCGGTGCAAGTCAAAGAATATACATTATTCATTAACATTTCATGTTCCGGCTGCATTACGGTCTATTCAGTCACACCTCGTTTGGATGGTGTCTGGACGGATCATACCATATTCACACGCTCATTTTGATTCTCTCTATATCTCTTCCCGTTCCCCGTTCGCCACAAAAAGCCTTCTAGTAAGGGAATGTTTCCTGAATAAATTCCCTTCCTCAAACGTGGTAGTTGACGTCAGGCTTGCAACCATCACCGAATTCGCTTGTTACCTGCCTATGCTCGTTTCATCATATCGATATCGGAGGCTAAGTAGTGATATGGGAAGTAATTCAATCCCAGCACTAGGACGTCGCAATGTGAGTGACTGCGAATCCTGGATGGAGTGGCGTGGAGCGGTGACTTGACCAGAGACGCGGTGATCGCAAGATCGTCCTATGGAGGTATATATACGGCGCCCATATCTCCCCTCGGTTCGCTTCTCTCTCTTCTCGGAGTTCTTGTCATTTATACCTTCGTTATTCTTAAATTGAGAAGAGGGGTGGGAGATATTTACCCATCCTCCCGGTCCTCCCGCCTTACGTCTATCTATTTGCCTACTTAGGTATCGAATAACTATCCCCCTAGGTGTTCCCGATCCTAGTGCAGTCTTCCTAGAAATATTTGAACGCGTTATTCTGCAATAAGAACGGGAAGTGGTCTTATATGCCAGAAATAATCACGGCTTAAACCAGTTTCGGCGAAACCAACCGGATATTTTTCCATCGAGCTTCAGAGACGAAGACGCGATGGAGATTGTGCAAAGGCGGCTAGCAAGGTCCTGATGATGAAATACGATGCAATCATTCAGACTGGCATGGAGACTCGAAGACGTGTGGCTGAATACTGGCTACACCGTGAATGCCATTCTGGAAAAGAATATTACAGTTCCTTTCCTATAAAGAAGAGATGAAAACAAGAGCGGGCGCCAATATGGAAATATATCCACTTATTCCCCTTAAAATGCTGCTTGAAGGCTATTTCTGGGTGGCGTTGAGCGAGAACAGTGCCGTCTCTATACCTGAATATTTAACGTCCCTCCCCGCTACGGCTAGATGAAATCTGCTGGAGAATTAATTGAAAACAATAATAACATCGATATGGGCCGTAACCTCTTGGATTTGAGGTTATCTGCAACAACCGTTTTACATCCTGAAGGACTCTATCTACCCTTCGCTATCTACAGGAGGGGACAGTTTTGCAAATGCATCTACTGGAAAAAAGATGATTGAATATAAAAAGCTCTCCCCTCACATCTGCTTTATGAAGGGCTTGATATTACAATTCGTGGTTGAAAGCACTTAATATTTATTAACTCCGTTTGGCGCCCTGCCAAATGATACATACAAGCTAGATTTTCCGATCTTCGTTTGGCGTATATAGCAGGCGTCAAACGTCTTCCCAATTCACGGCCTTTATTCGCTCCGTTCAGTCTCCAGATCTTGGTTGATCCAATCTGCGTTGTCTCGCGCGGAAATCTTGGAAAGGTCTGGGTTGTCATCTGCCGATTTTGGCGGAAGTGGACATTCTTGACCAAACAAAACATTTAGTGAAGCAATGGATCCGCAGAGATGTATTTGCGGTAAATGCAAACAGTCATTATCTCCTTGTTGTTCTTCCACGCGTTACACAGAAGATGCTTGGTTCCGGTGTGGGATGGACGTGATTGACTGGGCTGCCAGTCAGATGAATCTCCCGTTCCGCGAGCTGGCGAGCAGCTGGTGGCTTCGATACTTCATACTCGAGGGTGAGATTTCACAAGGGAGTGAACATTTTCTATGCCATACAACTCCCATTCCAGAAATACTTCAATTCGCGCCTTTAGTGAGTGATATAGGTATGCTGATAGTTATACTGGGTGCCCGATTCGCCACTGGTGAGGCGCATCATGCGCACTCGTGCTTTCGTTTTTTGTGGGGTGGCCGCTAGGGAAGATCTGGCGGGCTACAAAGAACGCCTTCGCCATTTGGTAAAGCGGCTTGATGCTCCCCAGCTTGCTCGGTTGTCTGCCTGCGGCAGGGTGAGGTTGAATGCCCTCTGGTCCCGCTGTCGGGCTGCTACCGTGCCTGCGAGGATGCAGGAAATGGAGGCAGTGGTCGTGCCTATGGCCGGGGCGGTGGTCGAGGAAGAGGAGGAGGTGATGGGGGAGGATTTCAGGATTCTTGGGGGGTGGAGTTCGGGGGGGTTCGGTCGGTCCTGCTAGGCCTATTGTGGAGGTTGCTGGCGCCGCAACGCCAGAGGTGTCGTTTGTCCAGCATCCTATCCACCATTTTCTCGCTGGATACAGGAAACAAGTCCTTTCTTCAGGTCACTGCAGACAAAATCAACAAAGCTCCCAGTGGGGACATTCTAATGGCAACATTTACTTACCCCTAGAGGCACTGATATAACTGTCGACTTTTTACACCCAGTTTTGGCAAATTATTGGAATCACCCTATCTGCCCACCCAATCAGATAGGCCCGAAGTTTGTTCTCGTCGCCCTCATAACACTTACATTATGGAGCTGTTGCAGAGCAACAGAACAACTCCAGGAAAGCGTGGATTCTATCATGTTCCGAGATTACAGGGAGGTAGGATGCGTGCAACAGATTCAACCACATGGATTCACATTGGCTGAGTCTGAGCCAAGGCTTACTAGCAATAAGTTGGATCCTCAGGAGAGCCGTTCGAGGACCCACGAATTCCCACTGTTTATAACCCGCCATCATCCCCCTTGCTATCGCTCTCTTTCGGTTTCCTGTTCTCCGTTATTGAGTCGCATTTGTTATTCCAGCCCCAAGGACGTTACTATTCCCAGAATGGATGCGTGTGTTGAGTGGATGTGCCACGATCCCCAGTCGCTAAGAGGAATTGAAATTATGCTGCATGGAGGTGCTTGCGAATTCCCCTGGATATCAAAAGAGCACTTCACGCATGCATTACCATTTATTTAGCCCGCAGAAATGTGGCATTCTCCTCTGCCTCATTCATGAAGATAAAGATTATCATGCAGGGAAGATGAAGAAACTGAAACTGATCATATACAAGAGGTCTTGTTCTGTACGACCCCACTGCCGCTCAGTGAAACCTGGCCCAGGCTGGATTGATTGACTTATACTCCCCAGCTGCTAGACAACAAGATGGATGGCAGGAATGGCCAGAATGTGGCACTATATATGCCAATGACATGAAACTATTATGATCGGATTCAAAACCCTGGCATATTCCTGTTAAATAGATGCCGTTCGATGGATACGACACTGGAACTGTTGGAGTTGTCTTCAAAACGCCGCTACGATACATCTGTTTTCCCCGGCTCTGATTAGGCCATTCCCTATGATACAAGCAAGCGGATTTGGAGCCTTCAGCTCCAGAATAAGATGTTGTATTGCCCCTGGACTACACTTCATGCTTCGTGCTTCTATTTGGCTAGTTGCAGTGAGGTACATGTACATGTGGCAGGAGAGCTGATGCAGCGTGAAACGTTTATGGTCGAAGACGTTTCAAAGGCGTATACCGGTTCAGCTGCAATTCTCAGCTACTTGCGGCCAATCCTTCTTCGAGAGCTTTACTCACCTAAGAGACCCTACGACCGTCTTGCAGTCTTCCGCACTAAGACCTGGACCCCAGAGACTGCTAATGACTTTTGGATTGAGATTTTCGAACACTTAGACTCCAATAACGATCGCAAAGGAGCTGACAAAACCTCTTTCGAAGATGAGGTTGGCTTGACAATTCTCCCAGGGGATACCTTTACCTTCCTCGAACTACTCGATCACTGGAACAGACAAGGGTGGAACTTTGAAGAAGTTAGTTTAGGGGCGGCAATTCTGGAGTGGGCGGTCTATAAGTATTTAGTATGATTTTCCGGCACGGACTCTGTCGGTCTTTCGAAAATGAGAAACATGAATGGGTTGCAGTTGGGGGCTTCTCAAACGTTTGAATGACACCGCCAGCCTCCGAAATATATTGCTTCATTTTGATCATGTTGTGCTATTAAACGAATACAACAAGAGCGACACTTCGAACGCCGTCCGCAGGTGGATCAGCTAAGCACGCAGAAAATCCATGCTGAGTTATTTAACTTTCTCCACCTAATATTCATATGTATGGAAGGTAAGCTGCTGTAACTCCATGAGAGGCCAGCTATCCGGATCCTTCTTCCGCTGGTCTGTGATAATCGCCGGAACAGCTCTATAGGATACTCCCAGCATTTCTCGTAGCAAAAACTACGAAGGAATATCATTTAACTTGTTTGTTCTCATAAGGAACCCATATCACCTAGGGAAATAATAAATATCATTCATGAATCACCACGCTGGACAGGGGTTAATCGCGCCTGGGATAATCTACAGCTACCACGAATAGGCTCTGGAGAGCGCCTGCACATCAATTCAACTGGCAGCCTAACTGAAAAATTCAACCTCGTCAAAAATAAGCATGTTGGGTTTGAAAAAAATATTTGCACATGGCTGGCCAACCTTAGCTACTCATATTCCGTGTCACAACATTTTCAGTTGGAAGCCGCATGGTTTTGATTTTATTGTGTACAGAAGTGAAAATCGAATATTGAGATTTTTATTTACTCGCGCGTGTGATTCCGTCTGGGAATCGTGAAGACAGCGAAGTCAGGCATGGGTCTTTCTAGTATCTTGGACTATCCTTTGCCAAAGGCATTCCACTTTCCTAGACTGCAAGTCCAGGGATAGACAGTCCTCTCACTCAATGAATCCAGATCTTCTCTGGATAAGATTGGCTACTCCTGGATACACAACTTCTGCACAAATCTTTAGCTTCACGAAAGTCAGAGTTTGCTCTCTCAATTGTCATAGATAGTTATCCATTTGACACTAAGCTGAAGAAAATATCGACTGTGGGCTTTCTCCAGCGCCGCACTCCCCCCTCCCCTTGCGAGGTGTTATGTGAAACTAGGCATTGAGGACGATTTCGAATTGATGCAATTCTTATCCCTCCGCGCCAGCAGTAATCAACTCTATCTGGCACCCAGGTCAATTCTTATATGACTTGGTTTTGCTGGTCAATTCCCCACTAACTGTGACGGGTCACAAAAATATAGCAGAAAGAGACGGCCTAAAAACTTTCCATCCACTTAGACTTTGAGTAAGTAGCTCCCTTCCTTTTTATTCCTTATCGCGCCTGTAAAACAGGTGGTTCTTGTGATTCCCGGGCCGCATGGCCTCCGGGAGTTGTGAGAATGGGGTTACCAGGAGGCCCAAATTGGGGTTTGAATGATATGTATGTGTCGCTGAGGAGCTCAGATCCGAGGATCCACAGTTGATATGACAGGGGTTTCCCGGAGGATCGCCCTTGCTCGAGGAGTTGGAGAATAGAGTGTGAGTTTGGAGAGAGTTTCAAAGGGGCTGTCTACGCAAGAGTGCTTTATTGAAGCCCGCCAGGATAATGAACACTATCATTCGCACCCTCTTCTGCGTCCCATGGGATAGCATCAGGTCGTCGTAGTTCCTGTCGTGCGAGTCGTGCTCGACAAGTCGAAAAACTCTTGACTACCAATAACATCAGCGAGGATACCAAGTCTACACCAAGAGACCGTAAGTACCGGTGAAGGATACTAATAACGATACCAAGGGAGAAAGCTACAATGGGGATCGCGGTTTAAATGCATGCAATGCTACAGTGCTTTTTGGTATCCCAGACTTGCTACCCATTCTCCATGTCGATCTCCAAGCCAACCCAAAAAATTCCTTGCATGCGTTCATCTTATGCCTGTCTCCAAGCTTTTCTGTCTAAATTTATTCCTTATTTATTTCCAGGAGCATCATCTTCAAGGGAATTGCTTTTACAGAGGGGGTTACTGTAGGTTCTTCATCCGGCTCCGCTCCTCTCGTTTGCTTCTCCCGTGGCCCATCCTCCTTAGCTTAATGGGTAGTTAAGGAGAGAACTGAACGCAGGCACTTGAATTGAAGCTGAACAAGATAGGCAAGAAAATCCCCCCTAAAAATACACCAATGCTCAGGCAACAATCCACTCCTTTCACACCATAGATTTCTTATTCCCGCTTGAGTTCGGACCCTATGTACCGTACAGAGTGCAGATAATTTGAATAAGGCTAGAAGCTGAAATTTCAATTTCTATTGTATTCACCCTGTCAGACAAGGATGTTGCGGTTAGGAAGAAGAATAATAATAATAATTGTATTCCTGTCAACTCCTTATACTAACTACCAGCGAAGAAGAGCTTCAGCCCGCTACACCACATTTCAATACACAGAAGTTGTTGTTAAACTAGATATGCACTTTTACAACTACACTACAAGGAGAATTCCCCTAAAATTAGCAGGCTTTAAGGGAATCTATTTGATTAGGAACCTAACGTGATTCGTAGGATTATTTTTTGGGATCATCCCCTAACGAACACCACTAGTGCACTCTGCACATATTAGTTACTATTATGCCCTGGTCTGCCCAATGGGATGGGATGGGATGGATGAGTGTTTGGTTGGAATGAGCTGCCTACGGCAGCCTATAGTGACAAATGTGTCAAATGGGTTTTTTATACTAGTGTTACAATGTACACACACCTATCATATTCATTCTATTTGTAATTGAATAGAGCTTATTGATTATTAGAAAGCAATGCACTGCTAGATATCATCTGCAATATATATCATCACTGTGATAAGATAGCACTGATAGTCACTAGATTATCCACAGTGAAAAGCCAATATAACCATTTGTTAAATGGTTGTGCTTATAGTGATATATATACCCATGGGTGTGGTGGTGTGGCCCGGCCCACAGTGGGCATGACCACTGAACCCACCACTGATACACTGTGACCGCCAGCTGTAGCATAGTGGGGAACCACATCACTAGATATTATCACTAGATACCATCACTAGATACCATCGCTAGATACCATCACTAGATATCATCGCTAGATATCATCACTAGATATAGATATCATCGCGAGATATCATCATGAATATCATCACTAAATATAATAAGCTAGTACTATGATAACTAGATTATTCATAGCAAAAAGTCAACATAATCATTTGTTGAATCATTGTGCTCATAGTGATATATATATATATATATATATATATATATATACATCCTGGCCCACAGTGGATGTGGCCACTGAACCCATTATCTATACACTACAACCACCAGCCCATAGTGTGGAAACCACAGTATATATATATACTAGCAGTGATATCTCACGATGATATCTAGCGATGGTATCTAGTGATAATATCTAGCGATGATATCTAGCGATGATATCTAGCGATGATATCTAGCGATGATATCTAGCGATGATATCTAGCGATGATATCTAGCGATGATATCTAGCGATGATATCTAGCGATGATATCTAGCGATGATATCTTGCGATGGTATCTAGCGATGGTATCTAGCGATGGTATCTAGCAATGGTATCTAGCGATGGTATCTAGCGATGGTATCTAGCAATGATATCTAGTGATGATATCTAGATATCTAGCGATAATATCTACAATGACATAAATTCACTGTTTTAAAATGTGTTTATAGCATTCAAGGTGCATTGCTTTCTAGTATAAATTTCTATCAATGAGTGTCTGTAAGTGGAATTAAGTAATTACAGTGGAAAACATCAAAAAAACCCATTTGACACATTTGTCACTATAGGCTGCCGTGCTGCCCTCTTGTTACCGTTTACGGTTTGCCACTAAAGTAAGCTGCTGTGTGGCTTGGGTCTGAGACTACTAGTGCCGGTGACGTTTTCCATCGATACCTAAACGGTGACTCTCGAGAGAACACGGTAAACTCGTTGTTAGATTATATATAGTGCGATTCCTCGAATTTCCATCCCCCTCTTCTCCTCTCGGAATACACAGAGTCCAGACATCGAGGTACACTGGAGATCGAGAAAGCTCTCTCAATCTCTGCTAGCCATACACAAAACCTAGCAACCACAATCCACAAGATCCGGAATTCCTAGCCATGACAACAGCAGTAGTGTTCGGCTGCACTGGAGCCGTGGGCTCTCAAATCCTCGCGACAATCCTCTCCACGGATACATTCTCAGCCGTCAAGACTATCTCAAGGAGGCTCCCGAATGCTCAGTCTCCGAAGCTCCAGGCCATCGAAGAAGGCGACAGCTCAAAATGGGCCAGCATGCTCCCTTCCCTCTCCCCCAAGCCGTCAGTGTTCTTCAATGCAATCGGTACCACTAGAGTGGCAGCCGGCGGAATCCAGAATCAGTGGAAGATCGACCATGACCTGTGCATAGAGAACGCGAAGGCAGCCAAGGCGGCCGGGGCGACGACGTACGTGTACATCTCCAGCGCCGGGACCAGAGGCTTCCCAACTCGCTACCTGCCCTATTCGAAAATGAAGAATGGCGTTGAGGATGCCATCCGGGACCTCGATTTCGAACACGCCATCATCGTGAAGCCTGGAACGATCATCCACAGGGAGCAGAGCAAGGTTCTCTTCTTTGAGCGCGCCGTTGAATGCGTCAGTATGTTTGGGCAGGGCCTCCAGGATATGATAGGTATGGCTTATGACCCCCTTCCCACCAGATAAATTTCTTTGAATGGTTTTTTGTGATTCTGGGATATTCTTGTATGCTGATAAACCTACAGGCCAGGATCAAGCCATAATCGGTAGAGCAGCTGTGGCAGCCGCTCGGATGGCTGAAGAGGGCAAAGCACCGTCAAAATTCTGGGTTGTGAACATGTCTGATATCGTCAAGTATGGCAGGGACGAGTGGAAGGAATAAAATCACTTGGTGGAGACCATAGGCTGCGGCGCATTGATCATATCGCACTGAGACATACTTAAATATTTTTCAAACAAACAGATAATATGAAAAAAAAAAATTGTTCTACATATTTGAGCGCAAATAATAAAGAAGTGAAGATTAAGATGGAGAAGGTAGAGCAATTTTAAGCTGAGCTCGATTTTTTTTTTTTTTTTTTTTTTTCCCTTCGAAATTTTTCTCCACCTGCTTTCAAGCAACAGGTTAAATCCCATACGTGCCGCCTCATAATCGGCATGTCGAATTTCAGAGCCCTCACTGCTTTCAATTATCACAGGGTTTACGCCCTCTCCGTCATCCAGACCATCACTATGAGGTTCAGCTGCACCATTGAGCGTCATGAGGCGCTGCAACACGTACTGGACGTCCATCAGCCTTATGTCGGGTAATGACATATTATCCAGCTCAGGCGTTTCAAGAATCACTCCATCACTCCATCCCCAGAGCGAAGCCGCTGTCCAGTGATGGATTGGACAAGTTTAGGTGTCTGAGCAGTTCTACCAGATTATCGTCAATATATGCCTGTTCTCGAAGTGATCTTAACGTGGGGAGCCAAAAGAATCAACTTATTGTCATCACCCCACAACTTTGCTGATTGGAGGGTAAGGTAAATTAGATTTGAGAACACCTCACAAACAACTCCACACGACTGCGGGTAGAGCACCCCGAGACGTCGTCTAGCTGGCAGAGAAGCAATTGACGCATCTCCATGTTTATCTCCACGTTGGGACCAGTATCCGCAAGGGATAAACTCATCGTGCCAAACAGTGTGACAGGCAGTGTGACAGGTGGTATTAAAAGAACAATGCCAAGTAAAAGAAATAACACGATCACCGTCTTCTCATGAGCAACGTGCGTTTGAATGCATGAATAAGATGCCAGTTGAAGTTATGTAGCGTTCGCATAGCCTGTGGACTGTTCATATGATTTCTACGTTTCTTATAAATAGTTATGCCAACAGTCTAAACCAACAAAGTTAATGTATACATGAAATAAATAATGAATAAATCATTCCAAGACAATGTACTTCTCTAAATGCTTTGGTATCGCTTCACGTAGGTTCTTGCTCTGTAGCCACTTGTTAGAGAATAGGCGATCGGCATATCTGTAAGCGCCATCACATAATACGGTAACGACGGTGTGGCCCTTGCCCAACTTTTCAGCAACTTCCTTGGCCGCAACGACGTTGAGTGCCGAACTGGCGCCAAGATAGAGACCCTCCTCATCCAGACATCGGTAGACCATCTCGATGCTCTTTTCGTCACTGATGCTCAAAGCTCCATCTACTAGGTCAATATCCGGTTGCAGATTGTCCGTAACACGACCCTGGCCAATTCCTTCGGTTATACTACTCCCCGTCCTTTCAATAAGCTTTCCGCCGCTTGATATAAAATTGTACAGCACACTTCCTGGTGGATCTGCGAGGAAGCTCTTAACACGCCCGTCGCTGACGGTCTTCAGATATCTCGTAACGCCAGCGAGAGTGCCACCAGTGCCAGTTGCGCAGGTAAAAGCGTCAACTTTGCATCCAGTTTGTGCCCATATTTCTGGGCCTGTGGTCTCAATATGTGCGCGGCGGTTGGCTGTATTATCAAACTGGTTTGTCCAGACAGCGTTGTCCAGAGACTCGGCATGTCTTCTGGCTTGATGGTTATAGTTTTGTGGGTTTTCGAAGGCAACAGCGGGAACCGGGTACACCTCTGCACCTAGAAGTCGTAGGAGATCGATCTTGCCCTGAGACTGCGTGTTGGGCATATATATGATGAGTTTGTAGCCCTTTGATCGGCACACATGGGCAAGGCCGATTCCAGTATTTCCGGCTGTGCCTTCAACAACCGTTCCACCAGGTTTTAGAAGCCCTCGCTCCTCCGCGTCCTTGACAACATATAGTGCCGCGCGATCCTTGACGCTGCTCCCGGGTTTTGGAATTCCGCTTTGCCAAGAACTTCGCAACCAGTCTCCGCTGAGAGCCGGTTCAATCGTATGAGTGGTGTATTTCCAATTGCTGTCAAAAGAGTCAGTAAATTGAGGCTGTGGTTTGACATAAGTGAAAGGTTAGAAAATAGCTAGGGGTGAGGAGTTACCTCCGGTGAGGCCCTTAACGACACCTTGGGCCTTCGAAACCTGGATGCCGTAAGCGTTTTTGGACTCAATATGCGCAATACTCTGCGTTGCCCTGCAAGCTGTGGTGGAAAAGAGTCTGACACTGCTGCGTAACATGATTGACGGGTAAATTGACGGGCTAATCTGATCACAGAATGAGTCAAGATCAATTACATAGCCAGAGCTTCAAGCTGGAGATGGCCATGTTCGATTGCGTGATTACTGAGTGCATGGTCACGTGTCACTCATATCAACTGCTGAGTTGATCCTGGTTTCACCAGCTTAGTTAGTCAGGCCGGGAAGGACGATAATGTAATAATTCTGAGTATGAGAAATGGGAAACAGGCGAGATGATCTTATGTGACTTTCAGCAAAGTACTCTGTATTATGGAAGGATAGATCTTGTCACCGCCTCGACTTTCCAAGGTTATCTTTTATGCCAAGTATATACACGTGATAAAGGAGCCCTTATCTTAACGCGATCGATGTGCATTAGCTTTGTTTACGCTTCCCAAAGGGGCAATTCGACGTCAACGTAAACAACGTCGGAGAAGATGAGCAAGCAGCAACTCCACGACAGCATCCGATCCCGACATAGGACAATTGTGTTGGTTTAATCCTGAATAACCTATTGCTTTCTCTTGTTATTGATATATATCTTATTGTTCATCTGATTCCGTTTTCCCACAAAAGCAGCTGTGGCCTGTCACCATCGGATACAAATGCCCCCACCTCCCTCTGGGGATAAATGAAAACGACATTGACAATTGATCGCGCTTCGGTATATCCAACATGCCATCTCGAGTTTCTGCTCGGACCTCGTCAGCAACCGCTGTCCGCAAGTCGTCTGCCCCACCCGCTGAAAAGAACGCGCCGACTGTATTCATCCCCGCGGAGCCCTCACTCCCGACCTCCTCCCCGCATCTCCGGAAAGCCATTATCGAGATTTTCTCAGATGCTCAACGTTCAACATCTGGTCACAGGAAGCTTGTCGTGCGGTTAAGGAAAATACAAGAAGGATGTTGTGGATTGCGACAGGAGAAGGCGAAAGGGAAGGGAAACAGAGCGCATGAAGAGTCCATAAACGATAGCTTCACTGACGGCGACGGAGTGGCGGAAAATGAGTTTAATATTGAGGTTTCCAGGTGCATACTGAGAGTTCTTGGAGTGAAAAAGGCAGAGGGAGCGGGCGATCGGGTCATCAAATTCCTTGGAACTTTCTTAAGAGTAGCTACCGAGAAAGGTAAGATGGTCGATGCATGCAACTCTGCTATGTTGGCTCTCCTAACGGATTATACAGATTTTGAGCTGTTCCTTCAGGGCGATCCAGATGAGACGCAGTCTCTACCGGAGACCCCTACCTCCAGGTTAATTTTCAACATCGTGTCAACAATGACTCCACTGCTAGCGGCCAAAGAAAGGATTGTTCGGTATCGTGTAACGCAGATCATTACTCACATTGTCAATTCGTTAGATTCAGTGGATGATGAGTTATATCGCCTCATCCGACAGGGTTTAGTCAAACGAATCAGAGATAAAGAACCCTCCGTTCGTGTCCAGGCCGTAATGGGGCTTGGGCGACTCGCCGGAAATGAAGACGAGGACGATGACTCGAACAAAAACGATGGAGCAGCAGCGCTCCTGGACAAGCTACTGGACGTCCTTCAAAATGACACTAGTGCTGAAGTGCGACGGACATTGCTTCTTAACCTTCCATTAACGCCAGCTACCTTGCCTTACCTCCTAGAACGGGCTCGAGACCTGGATGCATCCACCCGAAGAGCATTGTACTCACGTCTACTTCCGCAATTAGGCGACTTTAGACATCTGTCTTTGTCAATGAGAGAAAAGCTACTGCGATGGGGTATACGGGATCGCGATGATAATGTCAAGAAAGCGGCTGGTAGGTTATTCTACGAGCGTTGGATTGAGGATTGCGCCGGGAGGTCCGAAACGGGGGAGGATGGCGAACGACGCACGGACAAAACTGCGCCACCTAGCATGCCCGCGCTGGTGGAGCTTCTCGAACGGATAGACGTCGTGAACTCTGGAATCGAAGGTGGAATTGCTCATGAAGCAATGAAGAACTTCTGGGAAGGACGTCCTGACTACCGTGAAACAGTTGATTTCAATGAGCAATTTTGGGAATCTCTCACGCCGGAAACAGTGTTCATGGCTCGAAGCTTCAACCAGTTCTGCAAGGAAGAAGGTGATGGCAAATATGATAATTTAGCGGACGAAAAGATTCCTGAAGTTACTGCCTTGGCGTACTACCTCCATAAATACACGACTGCTCTCTTAGACAGGTTAAGTCGACCAGCAGGGGATGATCGTGCAGAAGAGGAAACTGTCGAATGTGAATTTGTTGTTGAACAACTCTTGCACATCTGTCTTACTCTTGATTATAGTGATGAAGTTGGCAGAAGAAAGATGTTTTCTCTTCTAAGAGAGACGTTGGCAGTTCCTAACTTGCCAGAGGAGGTAACAAAGCTTGTCGTGGAGGCTCTGCGAGCGGTTTGCGGCCCTGACGCCGCCGGTGAGAGCGAATTTTGTGGTGTCGTTCTCGAAGCTGTTGCAGAAGTCCATGATACCATCGTATCAGAGGATAGCTTTGTTTCAGCTAAGTCGGAACAAAGCGAGGAAAGTGGATCAAAATCTAAACGAAATCGATCTGAGACACCTGAGGATGAGGATGAAGAAGATGAGGGTGACAGTGAGGAGGTTCCCTTTAACAAAGAGGAGGCCAAAGCTAAGATCCTTCGCGAGATTATGGTGAACATGAAATGCCTCTATATCGCGCAATGTATGCTTCAGAATGTTGAAGGAAACTTGCAGGATAATATGCACCTAGTGACCATGCTGAACAACCTGGTGGTTCCAGCGGTCAGGAGCCATGAGGCCCCCATTAGAGAGCGTGGGCTTGAGTGCTTGGGGCTGTGTTGTCTGCTAGATAAGGTAGGTGAATTGAAAATCAATGTCATAATTCCTATGGTGATTGTCTCTGCTAACTGCTTCTCAGACACTCGCTGAAGAGAACATGAGTTTGTTCATCCATTGCTACACGAAAGGCCACGAGGCTCTACAGGAAACAGCGATACGAATTCTTGCTGATATCCTCACAACTCATACTTCAATACTTCTGCCAGTCCAATCGCCAAATGAAAGCAATTCTGTGGTTCCTCCCCCATTCCAAAAGCCATTGCTCAGGGTGTTCGCCAAGTCATTGAAAGCCAGCTCCCCGCCAATTGTCCAAACGGCAGCTGTCACTTCATTGGCAAAACTGCTTCTTACTGGCACCTTATCGCCGTCCGGCCCTAATATCCCCTCATCGATCAAAGAGTTAAATGAGAACTCCATTGACACTCTCCTACAAGCTCTCGTTCTCTCATTCTTCAATCCCCGGACGCAGGATAACCTGGCTCTCAGGCAGGCACTTACCTACTTCCTCCCTGTCTACTGTCACTCTCGTCCTGCAAACGCTCAACATATGCGCAAAATCGCTGTATCGGTAGTGCACTCAGTTTTATCTGCAGCCGATGATTTCTACTCCTTAGAAGCCGATGAAGACAGCGACGGAGAGATCGATGACAGCGTAGGGGAAAAGGAAATCAAATCGCTCATGTCAAATGTTGTAGGCATGCTTGCGGAATGGACAGATGACCGGCGAATCGTTGGATTGGGTGGTGAAGCGCAACTGCCCGGGCTCTCTGTAGCTCCCAATGTCACCCCATTCCGTCCCAGCGACAGTCTCCACCTAGCCTTGATGCGGGATATTCTCCAACGCCTTCTCGGAGTTGGCTCCACAAGTGCTTCCACCAAAGAAGAGAAAAAACATCTACTCTCCTTGCTGGGCAAACTGCATGTTCCATCCCCACCTGCACCTCCAACAGCACCTTCGCGATCGGGGTCGCGCGTGCCCGATGGTGTAGATGATCATGAAAGTCTTGGCTCCAGCATGCGCTCCCATAACACCAACACTCAAGTTCAGTTCGCTTCCGATGATGATGGGGAGTTGCCACTGCTTGTGAAAGATCTGTTAGACCAGGCAATCTCCTCCGGTGTTGCGAGTGATGCGACGAGCAGAAATGCGCTAGTTAAGGCGAAGAACGCGGTCTTGAAGCTTGTCGCTGCGGTGGTAGCGGCATCCAAGACCAATGAGAAGATAAGAGATACAAGCCGTGCTGTTTCTGTGAGTAGTATTGCAAGTAACAGTAGCAGCGGCAGACGGGAGAGTGGGATCAGCCAAGCAACTAAACGAAGATCGAGGGAGGTTTCCGCCACCCCTTCAGCGGCTTCCATGGCATCCATGGCGTCTGTGGCTATCAAAAGGGAGCGGGGGAATGATGGGGAGAGCGTTTTAAGCGCTGTGCAGAGTGAGGCTGAGAGTGCGAGTGCGGATATGGATGGTAGTGGGACGGAAGCTGGGGAAGGAGATGATGGTGATGATACCGTCATTGCTACAAACCTTGGTGGTGGCGGGAGGAAACGGGAAAGCACTGCTGACACAGGGACGGATGTATTTACTGATGCCGAGGAGTAAGGATGGAGGACCTCATGATAATAGGTACAAGCTATTGTAATCCCGTTGTTTTTACTGGAATTCAAAACGAATTTGCCATTGGGATCAGGATTCTTCGTTGGATGGAGGAGTGAGGTTTTATACATATGGCTTTTGTGGTTTTTATTTCCTTGTCCTTCCCTCCTGTCTCCGTTGGTTTAAATTTTTGTTGACGTTGGTTCTGGTTTTTTGACTTTCATAATACCTATCTGGTTTACGCGGTATATATAACGAATGGGGACTTTTTTTTGCAATCTTATCGATCCATTGAAATTCTGAACCTCAGCTCGATATTGCGCCAGTTTATCCGCGGTGACATTTCTGTCTTGCTCTCAGTATATAGAGCCTTGGAGAGCAACCCCATTGATGGGTTTGGGGGTGTGGCAATCCATTTTTAAAATCTTGCAATTCTGAATATGTATATAGATAGATATATATATATATGTATAAATTCGACGTGAGTTCACACAGTAGCTACGGATCAATTCTAGAATCCAGTTTTATCTGCCGCCATGTTTATTCTCCATTGGGCGAAAGGGAGGGGTAGGTTCACGTGCATCTATTATTACCTTGTAAGAACCTTAATGAACGATTCAGACATTGGATATCAATTTCGCTACAGTAAGAGATGGGTATACGTAGAAACAGATAGTGGAAAGTGGTGGGGGGGGGGCAAGGAAAAAGAGGGAGAAGAGCGCAGGGTAGGATAATACAACTAGCTATTAAACAGTTTTGATTTGGCATCGTTCCGCGGAATAGGAAGAGCGGAGGGATGAGGTTTCGAAAAAGCCGGATTTGATGGTTGAGGAGAAAGGGGAAACTGAAATAAAATCATGAAGAGGAAGGTAGGGGAAAAAAAGGGGGAGTTTGATGTCGAGTTGAATGGGGGAAACAAGTGAGGGGCGAACGTGGTTCTAGTCAATGTTCTCTAGAGACAATTAGCGGAAGGGAAAATAAATGCGGGATAGAGAATTGTGGGGACGTAAAGGCTTAGGAAGGGAGAGGGAGGACATGCGTAGCACACAGACGCAGAAAAAAGATGTAGGTGAGCGCTCTAACTCACAGCAAACGAAAACGGAGGGATCAAGGGTTGTCATGAATATCAAGATAGATCATAAGGAGCGGTTAATCAATCACTCAAGCGAAATGTTGCAGGAGAGGAAGGATGGGGGGGAGTGAAGTATTTATATAGTTCATCAAAAGAAGATATGGATGATATAGGAAAAAATATGGAGGGAAAAAAAAACACCAAACCACGCTCCTCACTCTAGAAGTTTCCACCTGCCAGTGTTTTTTTGTTTGCTTTCCCCATATTTGAAAAAAAAAAAAAAAAAAAGGTGCAAAGAGAAGAAGTAAAAATAAAAAAGTTCAATCCATGCAATTTGCCATTTGCCTGCGTTTTGCCATTTTGTCATGCCCAACCAACCAGCCAACCGGCCAACCAACGAGGGAAAAGAAGCCCTCAGACGACAGACATATAAAGAAAGCAGCTCCGTTCCGGTTTCTCCAGCCCCAACAGCCGAAAAAAGTGTCCCCGCTTGCTTCGCTTAGCGATATAATAATTCCGGCAAAAAACACGGCCAAATAATAATGGTAACAGTGGTAATATCAACAATAGATCTGGTTCCTCCAAAAAAGGGGAAGAAAAGAAGGGGAAAGGAAAGAAGGAAAACAGAAAAGAAAAAGAATTACCCGAATCAAGCTCATAAAACAGAAAGCCGGGAAGAAGAGAAAAAAAAGGGATGGGGATGGTTTTTTAGAAAGTCAAGGCTGTTCATGACTTTCCCCCTTTTGCCCCTTTGCCCAATTCGTCCTCTTTCCCCTTTCTTTTGACTTTTCCATCTCTTTTACTTTGTTCCGATGCTAGCGAGTCCCTTTTGCCGTAGATCACCGTGCCGTATCCACCCATCCCAATTCTTTTGTGTTCACCCATATAAAATCCAATTTTTGATAAATTTTCTCCGATCCTTTTGTTTTGTCCATTTTCCGCCATTTTCCCTTCCAGCTTTTGTAAAAATAGGGCTATACCAAAAATCCAGACACCGGCTTGCTTTTTTTCCATTGATAACGGTTGACAATACCCCCATTTCCCCTAAGTGCCGTGGGGTATTTTGAGGAAAAACTTTCTCATACTATACCATCCCGTCCCATCCCAAATCAACCCAAGAAAAAGAAAAGAAGAAAGAAGAAAGAAAAGGAGTAATCAAAAAGTAGAAAACCAACAAAGGGAAAACAAATATTTTGTTTCCAACGTCGCCATGCTGGCGACTTGGAAACGAAGTTGATATCTCCGCCAAAACAGCATCTATACATGTCCCAATCATGCCATGCCATGCCATACTGAACAGTCCTCGTTCGCCCACTAATGCTAACCCGTGCAATCCTCAAATTTACCGCTATCCGCTGTTCTCCGCTCGAAAATGATATAGAAGCAAAGGAGCCATGGAAACTGGTGAATACAAAGAAACAATAAAAAGAACAGAAAAAGGGGGCGCGGGGGGGAAACGAAATATAGGAATAAAATAGGAAGACGCAGTAAATCAAACAAAAGTGGAAATAGTAAAAATAACACGGGGGTAGCCAAAGTGTAGAAAAAACAAACAAGAAAGTAATGAAAATAAGAAGCCCCCGATCAAAAATTGCTTGAACAAAAAATTCCCAGGGACACAGAAGCGGGATATAATCTTATGCTTAGGGTCAAAGATCGGTCATTGACCGATACGTTACTGCAGATGTAAACAAATCGCTGCTTTCCGAAAAAGAACTTCTGTTTCCGCCCAATGCACCAAATATCGCAGGAAACAGACATCTCTATATATAGAGCAGTAGCAATACACCAACGGATGTAACTTGAGGGAATAAAATGTAAAGTAAAAAAAAAAAAAAAAAGGAAGAAAAACGTACGGGCGCTTCCAATCCAAAATCGACCAAAAGACCCAATATGGTAGGTCACCGGGTATGTTCTTAGGAGACCAAAGGTGAATGCAAAAATTTATGCTGGAGATTTGTTATTGGACGCACCATTCCTGCGGGAGTCATCCACACCGAGGGCACCTAATCCAGTGCTCAAGAAGGCGAAGGGATCTGCAGAAGCGTCGTTACCATAGAAGTTGCCGTTGGACGCGCCAACCGGTTGAGGGACGTGGTCCGCACCAGTGAAGGCCGCCTGCGTGGCCGGGTTGCCGAACGAGGCCGCAGAATGGGACGCGTTGCCAGACCCGTAGGGAGCATTCATTTGGTTCATTTGGTTCATTTGGCCCATTGGTGGGTAGGGACCGGAGGCAGCCCCCAGACCAGAAGGGGGCGCGTAGGTGCTTGCAGGACCCCCAAACTGCTGCCCAAAGGCACCGAAGCCACCTGCACTAGAGGCGAATGGGCCCGGGCCTGGAGTACTTGAAATAGATGCCAGGCCCATTCCGAAGCCAGATGGAGGCTCCATTGGGGAGGGGAAAGCAGAGTCCGCGACCACTGCAGCGCCAGAGCGAGGACCACCACAGCGAAGACAATTGATATTCTTTGCGAAATTGTGGTAGCCGCAGCCCTCAGCGCCGCACTTCCAGTCCCCAGCTCGGAACGGAACAACGCCACCATTTCCGCCCATACCTCGCGTGTGCCCATGGCCTCCGTGGTGTCCCATATGGTGCGGCGGGGGCATCATCGACGGGGGACCGTAGCCATAGCCTCCATAACCCATTGGGTCTGGACCAGTACCAACAGCAGGGAAAGAGCAGCGGAAGCAGGCTGTACGACGCTGGAAGTTAGAAAATCCGCAGGATGGGCAGGTCCAATCACCTGGGCGAGGACGATTCTTGCTAGGAGGGAACGGAGTAAGAATTTCCGCAGCGTGATCGAGAACGCGGCTAGAGGAAGGGGATACCTCGATGGCCTTGTCGTTCAGAGCACGCCCATTCATGCAAAGGCTTTCCGCGGCCTAGGTACAACGAATGAATGTTAAAAAATCGTACAAACTAGATCAACAAATAAAAAATTGACGACAAACACGTACTTCTTCATGAGATGAGAAAACAGCAAATCCCGTGCCGGTAGGTTTGTGCTGATCCGGGGTTCTCAGGGTCCAAAACGCAATTGGACGGCCTCCGAACTGGGTATACCAACTCTCCAGCTCGGACTGGGTGGTGTCGTGCGGAAGGCCACTCATGTGAAGAACTTTGCTGCGTTCGGCCAAGAAAGCACGGACATCAGCTCGAGCGTCCATTGGGCGAGTGAGAATCTCAGGATGTTCATGGGGGGGTTGCGATTTTCGGATCAATCCATGGAGGACTCGGGCTAGGGTAATGGCCTCCTCCATAGCACGCCTTGGAGACGCCGGAGCTAGAGCCTGCAGATGGAAGGGAAGATTATGTTTGATGGGAGCGGATGACTGCATGGGCTCGACCTCGAGAGCAGCACATATGTTTGCTAGATCACTGGGCCCGAACGGGAGCGATTCCGGGTGGTGTTGCTGCCATCGCTGGTATTCCGTCCGCAGATCAAAGGTACGTGAGTGCTGGAGGTATGGGGGTAGAACAACCGCCTTGTCCCGGGCTTCACGAGGTAGCTGGACACGCATGTCCCAAGAATCCAATGTGACGAAGGAGAACTCGAGGTTCTTGGAGAGGAGATGCTCCTGCGTGAAGGCATCGAACTGGTTGATGGCGTCTCGGAATGTTCCAGCTGAGCGAACATGTTCCCAGGTAAGGGTAGTCAAGCTCGCTGAGCAACCCCCATCAGCCAAGTGTTCACAACAATGCAGGTTGAGGGACCTCGAGTCTCCGGGGTGAGATCAAGGGCTTCACTTACTGCAGAGGGGTGTAATGGGAGTATTTACGGGCTTCACCAAGACACTCTCGCGATGCAACTAATTTAAAGGGGGAAGGTTAGCCAGCAAGCACAATCATCATCTAAGCGATCCCCGGTTCCCGGGATAGGTGTAATGATATAAAGCTTAAAAGAACAAAGGGATAAAAAAAAACCCAACACTGATTCTCCTGTTTATTTTCTTTCGTGGTTTATCCCCGAATACCAACCAACAGGACTCACCTCCTTGCAGTTTTCAGCATCCAGCAATATCCAGCCCAATTCGATGACCTCTGCGGAGTCCTTGGTGACATAAACACCGTGTTCATCACAGGTGGTAGCAACATGGATAACGACATAGCGGTCCAGTTTCGGGGAGGGCGCGTGAATAGCAGCCATCTCTGATAGTCGAATTGACAGAGTGATTGAGGAGGAGCAGCGGTGGTGGAGGCCGTGGTGAGAGGAATTGGTGGAAATTTCCGGCTGAGCGAGGGAGACAAGCCGAGTAAATTGCTCTTGGCAAGGAGACAGCCAGGAGAGAAATTATTGCCCGTCCACCACGCACATACACGCACTCGGGCACAGAGTCACAAGCGGGAGGGGAGGAGAGGAAGAACGAGAAGGGAGAAGGGAGAAGGGAGAGACGAGGATGAGCAGCGAGCAGACACAGGACAAAGTGGTGGAGATGTTGCTGTGGAGGTTTGGAGGTTTGGAGGTTTGAGGTGGTGCTGGATCTCAGGGCCCGGTCTTTGCCGTTTTGGGCCACAGTCTGTGTGTTTTTTTCTTTTTCTTTTTCTTTTTTTTTGGATTTTTGGGATAACTTTTTTTATTTTATCTTTTTAACTTTCCTCTTGATCTGGGAAAAGATAAGGTACTTGATCAAACAATCCATTTTTTTCACTACATCTTTTACTGTTAAATACCTATGTCAACAGGATCTGCTTTTTTATTTCTTTTTCCTTATTTTGGGTGGAGCAGGATTTTAAGTTGACGAAAGCAACGTTAGCTGCCTCGATGCTGTTGCTCCCAGCTTAACAGCCTATTAACAACTTGTTTATCAATTTACTGGAATAGCTATCTGCCCACATGGACCTAACTAACGAGGTACATACATGAGTGTACATACATGCGGGCCTTAGCTTGATATGCAACAATCGCTCGCGTGGAAATCATCCTAACCATCCGCGGCGTGCATTTCTGGAATGAGAGCGAACAAATGTGAAAGCAGGGCAAGCCGGCAGCAAACGAGAAACACAGAAAGGCAGGGAGGGGAGGGGAAAAAAAGAAGAAGAAGAAGAAGCCGTATTGGTCTTTTTGCTCAAACACTATGCAGATTCTGGACTGGTACTGATGATGACTGCTCAGAATGATGGGACGCCGTGAGCGTTGAGAACGTATTGACGGCGGGGGTGGCCTGGGTACGACAATCAACTTCAGTCTTGCCATTTCGTTATTGGGGACGGAGAGGAAGAGGAGCAATGTTCAGACCAAGCCAAATTCTCTTGCTAGACACTCTGTGGTCATCCAAGCATGTGTATTCTGCAGCTGCACTACTGCGTACAGCGCGAATAACGGTTCTATGAACAACCAGGTACCAAGTACATATGCAGCACAAAAGCGAAATCACATATCAAACTGCTCCGTTCATATCCGACCTGTTCTGGCTAGTCTTGTGTTGCAAGGGGGGCAGACCAGGGTGAACGAGGTTTGACACCCGTCCTACCCCTGCGACCTTCACTTGCTGCAATGCAACAATTTCCGGCGCTTTCTTTTTCCAGGGTCAAAACACTGTTGCGCTGGGGAAAAAATATCTGATATCAGGAGCAGAGCCAGCAGGTTATTTTATAATACCACGGGGGATTTCAAGCCAATTGTCCCCTTAAAAAGAGAAAAGAAAAAAAAAAGAAAGAAGAAAACAAACGTCCTTTCCTACAAATAATGCGCTACAGCTCTCTTCAAGAATTGTTAGAGGAACATCAAATATCCAGCTTACAACCCTGTCAGACTACTTCTAACTAACCTGCACCAAGGATCGTTCTCGAAAAAAAAACGAGAAAAAGCTGGTTTATAGTCTCCAGCACACACACCCCCTATCGCCCCTAGTTTCCAAAAATACATAGTCACTTGCCGACCAGACAGGGAACCGAGGAAGAAGATGATCTCATTGCAGTCGCGCAGCAGAAGGATATTTTCTATTTCGTATTACCCCATCCCGATCCTCCTCCCTCCAACATGAAGTTTTTAACTTTCCATCATTCGTCCTTGTCCGATATCACAAGGGTCAACACCAGACCAGACCAGAGGCGAAAAGATACCGAGAGATATCACGAACATGTACATGTACATCTCTCCGGTAAAAAGGTATATTAGCGATAGGATATTTGCAAATTTCCCTCCTTTTCCCCATGGTGGTACATTTTTTGGTCGGTTTCAGGGCGTGGAGCTATTTTTATCCCCGCACGAAGCCAACGCAGGTCGGGAAACTGGCTTGGAAACTGGCTCAGAAACATGAAGAGAACTCATTCGCACCGCAAAAATTCTCTCCGCTTCCGAGTCAGTCGATAAATTCCATGCTGGAATCATATAATTCACTTTGAAAGAGGGGGCAGGTTTCAAAAAAAAGAAAAGAAAAGAAAAAAGAAATACTGAAAAATATATATCTTCCATCTTCCCGCCATTGTGGTAATATAGCTTTCCTATCCGGCATATCATCTCTTTTTTGCCTGAGAATCGTTAGATATATCCTAGTCGTGCTAATCAGGACACTAGAGGTGAATATGAACAATGAAATATGAAAATGAAAATGAAGAAATAAACAAGCCGTGCGAGAGAGGGGAATACATTTCAAAATCTTGAATTCTTCATGAATGTGAGAAAACGAGGGAAAATGCAAATGGTTACGCGTCGGAAAATGAACAGGAAATTTAAAAAATAGATAAAAAAGAGGGGGAGTAGTGCCGTTATAGCAAAAAGTCATCAAATGGCTTGTGAATGATTAAGCGTTGAAGAAATGCGGGGTTAGAAGGAATGAATAAAAGTGGGTATAAAACAAGACAACCAGGTCCCGAAATGAAGAGGTAAAAGTAGACAGTATGAAAACGGAGGGGGAATATAAAAAGCAAAAAAAAAAAGAAATCCCAGTTCCTCTGAAGGGTAACCTCCTTCCTGCCTTAGGCCAAAGTTTAAAGCTAATCAATAATTCAATTTCGCCCCGATGAGCCGTAATCCAACTTAAAGTGAAAAAAAAAAAGGAGAAGAAGAAGAAGAATAAATAATGAATAGAAATCTGAAACATAAGAGCCAATCCACCTCAGCCGAACTTCCCTGGGGCAATTACCTCCAGAGATCCCCCTTACTCCCCTCCCGCCGATGGTGATGACGCATCCACGCGCCGCCACTACTCTTGGGCCTTTCCTCTTCGCCAGGAATCGCTAAGAACCCACCAACCCCGTTCCCAACCAACACGCTCCTACGCGCCTCGTCGCCCCATGCCGGACTGAGCTGTGCACCATGGAAACTCACAGGGCGTGACGAGCTGCCCCGCCGTCGACCACCAATGCCCGCACCTGGAACATCGAGAGGCTCGTACGCAGTGAAGTTCCATTCCGCCTCGTTGGCACCCTTGCTGTATACAGACAGGGCCTGGTTGAGGCCGGCCGGGCTGCCACTGGCACCGCCGCGGGAGCCACCGAGCTGTGGGAGGGAGGCATACATGAGCATTTCCGGAAACTTGGCGTCGCGAACGTAGAGGTCTACGAGGCCTGGGAGAGAGCCGGAGAGGAGGGAGGACATGAGGTACTTGTAGTAGTAGGCGGCGTGGTGTTCGGTCCTTGCGGTGATTTCGTAGTGGAGGAGGCAGAGAGCGTGGGAGGCGAGTAGTGGGACGTTGTCCTGGACAAAGCCTTCGGAGATGTATTGGGTGACGGAGAGGCTATGGATTTTGGGGGAGTTATTGAGGACGTGGTGGAGGGCGCCCGGGGTGATACCGGTGTTGGAAAGGGTGAGGTGTTTGAGAGCGCGTTTGTTTCGGTTGGTGCTGAAGTAGTCCATGAATGTGCGGTCGGTGACTCCCGGAGTATTGTTTAGTGTGAGGCGCTCAATGGGGGGGAAGGGGCTTAAGGAGGGAGAATTCTTGAATAGGACGGGTTCTATCTCGTTTAAATCCTCCAGCTTCAAATCCGTTAAACGGGGGAATTGAACCAGGACGCGGCGAAGTATGTCAATGGACGAGCTCAGGCCACATAGCTCTAACACTTCCAGGTTTTGCCAGACCTTGATCTGTGGCCGGGCTGGTTGACGCAGTTGGCGACCTTGCATAAACTGATCCACAGCATCTATCTCATCTTCTTGCTGAACTGCACTGAAGGTTTTCTCTGAGCCCCTGGAATACTTCATCCGCCGAATATCCGGGCACCGGGCGATCAAGGTCTGCTTGAGGATCATCGTCGACTCATCATCGCAGAAAACGCCCGCGGGCAAGTCCACATATCGTAGGTTTGGTAGCATCAATACCGTCTGAGCCAGCAATAGCTTACCAGCTTCTCGAGTCATGTAGGGCATCCGTAACGAGAAAACCAGATTCCCGATGCGCTGGGATTCACGCACCGTCCTGCTGAAGAGTGTCAACCGCGTCATGGGCGCATCCAGTGGTACTGAATTGTGGTCGAGGAACGAGTTTTTCTTTCGCTTGGCTGATAATTCATACTCGAGATCACAGTAATGAACCGCATCGATACGGACATTCTGATATCTACAGCACCGTGTCAGGGATAATTAGTACCGTGCTGTATATATATAGAATGCGTTTTATATATATTGGTATAGATGTATAGATAGGGGGAGGAAAACCAAAAAGGGTGGGGGGGAGGGGTGGGAAGTAAGCACATACAAGAGCTTATGGGCGGGAGAATACCATTTCCTACACACCAACGCACAGTGTGCAAGGTCCCGCATGTCACAGAGCATGCAACCATCATCTGTCATGGACTCTTCAGAGGAGTTATAAGTATCGTCCAGAACATGAAGGCAAACATAGGAAAATATCCTAGAGAGGACCTCGAGGGGAAGGTTTTGAGTGAAGTCTCTGGAGGGACCAGAGCGGTAGCTGGAGTACTGAGGGTTTTGACGATTGTAGTTACGATTATTGTACTTCTCATGTTGCTCATAACCGTAGTGGTCGACACTTTTGCTCTTCCCCTTGGAACGGAAGTGCTTGAACAGCTTCATAGTTTTGAACTATCCCCTTCGTTTGTGCTTGTGGTGTTGGGGGTTGTAATGAGGTCAAGGAGGAGACGGAAGAAAAGAACGGGGAGAAGCCGCTGGTAACCAATGTTATACCTAGGCGTAGGGGCGTGCCAATGCTAGTAGTACCAATGTCGATACTATTATCATTACTCAATAGCCTACATCGGGCAGGATGGTGTGAAACGGAGGTCTCGGAGGAGACTGATGATATGGACTGCGACGAGGTGGAGTTGGGAGATCGTCGGGATGTGACGCTGGGCCAAGCCTAGGGATGTACTGGACCAGCTGAAAATGCTCGATTGTGGAAGTTTGATGCAAGTTGGCAGGAGTTTGTTGGCCGCAGGATTGACGGCGATGGATATGAGGGCGAGGCGAAGATACTGAGGGTTGAGGAGTTGGAGTTGGATGTGGATGGATGTTGGCCGTCCATCAGTCAGCATGTGGCTGACATCAAATGCTCTTTATCGCCGCCTCGATCGATCAGGTCAGAACCATAACAACAACGACGAATAACACAGAGCGCATGCTTCTTTGGCATCCCGTCAAGCTGCTCAGCTACTCTGATTCCCCCCTGAATCGAATATTTTACACCCTGCGCTAGCTACTGCACCTTGCTTGCCAAGTTGCCCTCGGCCCTTCCATGCCTGAGTAGCCCGACTCTTCCACCATGGGTCCTGGCCTCCTGGGCGATAATATTTCCCTCCGTCGCAGACAACGCGCCGCGCATTGCCTACACTAAGCATCACTTCACAAGCCTAACAGCCAGGCTAACGGCACTCTCTCCTCTTTTGTTCCGGCTCTCATTTGACCATGCGCTGTTTGTGTCCCCCTTCCCAGTCCTGGGCCTCTTCCCCCAATCCTCCACTGCCGATTTGCACCGTCTGACACCAATTGGGCATCCATGGCTCCAGGACGCCCAGAAAATGACCACCCAGCTTGTTTCAGATCAACGCGATGCAGCAAGACCCGCTCCTGACCTGCAGGCTGCTTTTCCATTTCGGAATGTGAAAAAAAAAAAAAAAAAAAAAAAAAAAAAAAAAAATCCTTGTGAATCCATGGTTCAGAGACTCAGAACCCGTAAAGGTTCCATGCGTCCACCTCTTGTGGCAGATCAAATAATTGGAGGATCCCGCTAAACGGTGTTGGCATTCCCAGGGTTACAAAATCTTTGAACTCCGCATTTTCCCCCTCTTAACTTGTTAGCCAACTAACTAATCACTAACGGCTGCCGGGGCCGTAGTCAAGATCTGCCATTGTGAGGACAAAGGAAAGACGAAACAACCCAAGACAGAAATTGAAAATGAAAATGGGGGGGAAAAAAAAAATAAAAATAAAAATAAGACTCGTCAACGCCCAAGACATCCTTATCCTGAAGCTCTCCCCCGAACACTGATGTGTCAAAGTGTAAACTGCAATGTTTCTTTGTCCTTTTATCTCCTACCGTCAAGCAGATATTTATGCCACAAGAAGTACATCCCCTCTACCCATCTTTCCCCAGTCAGCCCGAGCCAGTATCATCCATCACCTTGTCATGGCACATCGGCCACATAAACATAATCGCGTCATTCCCTACTGGGGTCTAGGAGAGATTCTTCCGATTCCGAGAAAACCGCTTTACTCGATAATACCAACCATTTCCACGATGTCTGACGAAGTTTTATTTCATATGCGGGCTTCGGCTGATATACAGCACTTTTCCACCCTGTCCTCTGTTTCGTATTGCAAAGTCTTGTATCTTATCCCCGGACTGGGGCTCAGACATGGTTCGACGTCAGAACCTTAAATAGATGTGGGAAGGAAGTGGAGGTGAATGTATAAGAAAAAACGTCGTTCTTCGCCCTCAATAGCCCAAGTCCAATTAACTCAGGTTAGTGGAGCAAGATCAAAAAGCAGCAAAGAATTAACCGGTTATATGCATCTATCAGTACATCTATATGATAATCGCACCACCCTGAATGGAAGGTTATGAAGGTTCGCGGCGCGTGCAACATCCTCCCATGACTATTTCGTGGTCTTAACTCAAGCGAAGGAAAAATTTCTCGTGACGCCGAGAGGGGAAGCGAGAAGAAGCAAAATAATAGAAACTAGGGGGATATGGCTGCGTTAAAATGTTCTTCTGTTTCCCTTGCCTATTTCTTTTTCTTTTCTTCTCTTCTCTGCTTTTTCCAGAAAGGAAGGGAAGTACAATAAATAATATATCTACGGAGTAAATAAAATCACATTGAACATCATACGCTAAAAAGCTTAAATAATGATTTTTTTAAAAAAAAAAAAAAATTAAAAAAAAGAAAAAGGTGGGGACTTTAATTCATAAGACCGCTTTCTGCCGCTTTACCTCAACAACTCAGCGTAAGCTATACTCCAGAAACCTCAATCTCAACGTGGCTGCAAATAAATCGCAATCATGATCAAGGCACTTCATGAACCTGGTGGCCTGTCTGCGTTACAGGGACGGCATCTGGTTTAAAGTAGCCATGTACCAGCGAGAATTCAGGACCATTCGCAGCGTGGTTCATGGGTATATCTCGTACTTCGGATGGTGAGGTATTTGCGAGCATAGGAATGCGGGATGTTGGCTACATACATTTATTAGTTCGGTTCGGACTTTGACGTCATGTACACGTATCGTACAACGCTTATAGATAATAGCTGCGTCTCGGCGAAGTGAGGGAGAAAAACAACCAAATGGAAGGTCGGGTATCGCAAAAACTTACATCTTCCTTACGCCACAGCTTATTGAAGAAGCCGGCGATACCGCCACCAGCATCACCACCAGATACAGAACTGTATCTAGAATTATGTCCCGAACGAGCAGCGTCGGCACCGGTATCAGCACCGGCACTCGCGGTAGCTCCCCTCATCCACACACGGTACACCAACGCACCAAGAAACACCGCAATGGCAGCTAACGGAATCCCCACGCCCAGCCCGATTTTCATACCGATATCATCATCTTTCGTCTTTTTCACAGGCGATTGCGGCGCGAGAGTGAATCCTGCAGCCCCATCTCCGGTTCTTGTAGGGTTTATCAACGATGACGGAGACCCAGAGCTTGATCCAGATCTGAACGTAGACGCAGGAGTAGCTGTGGATTGCGTGCCAGTATTTGCCGCAGCGGTTGATCCGGTCGATTTGATGGATGCAGTCGAATCAGTTGTTGGTGGCGGCCGGATCGCGCCTGATGGGGTGAATAGAGATGTAGTCTCTACGGCAGAGTTGAGGGGGACTGAGGAGCCGACGAGGGAGGAGTAGGGTGGGAGGAAGTCGAAGATCTTATGTGTGTTGTCTTGGGTGGTGCAGTTGCATTCTGGGCCGTCGAGGCAGCAGTAGGTGTCTTCCGCACAGCGAACGACGGAGTTGTGGACGTGGTCGCCTGTTATTATAGGTTAGCTTAGGAATATATAACTATATATATATATATATGAAAAGAAGAACAGACGGAAAAAACAATATCCAGGACACGCGGGATTGTTCCACGTTGGATCAGTGCAGCTTCCTATTACGTAGTAACCGCCATCGTAGTGGGCACACATGTTATTTGTGGCGCAGACATATTGGCTCCCGCCGCAGCAGGCGGATTCGGGGTTCTGCGGGAAGCATGGGGCGTCGTTTTCTTCGACTTCGCCGCTGGGGAGGTAGCATGTCCTGCTGGCCACGGCGGGAGGGGGGGTGGAGAGGAGGAGCAGAGAGAGACATGCGGCTAATGAGGTTTGGGAGTGGATGAATTTCATATCGATAATTCAAGGAGGAATGTATTGGAATTGGAATGTGTATCCGCTCCGGTGTCAGAGGGCAAGGAGGGTACCCAAAGATTAGAGATGCATGCGGAAGATAGTGGTGCGGATATCAGCACTGGAGAGGACCAAGGGAGGGTGGGAGTGATGTAGCCTCTCGTGCGACAATGGGCGTCGGAAGAAACAGCAGGTATGTAAATTACAAAAGGGGGAGGATTGAACAGAAGCAGACGAGAACACTGAGGGACCCGGGGTACCAGTGGAGCGAGATGGCCAGATGCAGCTAGAAACGGTTTAGAAACAATATCCACCAAGCATTTGGATACGAGCGGAAATGATCTCAAAAAGCAGAGGTGTTCCTCTTTGAGTCTAGAGACGGGATGAGAGCGAGGCCATAGTGGCTGGGTTTGGCGCAAAATAGTGCGTTGGAGGAAATGCCGAGATGATGTCGTTTGGTCCCAGTTTATTGACCAGTGTGGAGATTAACAATATCAAGCTAGATTGAATTCAGTAAGAGGTCAATCTGCACAGACAGTCGGGGAAGATAAAACATCGTCTGTTTGGACATTCTGTGACATTCTCGCAGCTGATATCTGGTATCTTTACAGCCCATACCAACTCAACCCGCCATTGCCCAATCGAGTACCAAGGATACAGCCATCGATCTCCGTTTTGAAGATGTTTCCTTGCGATGCGCCAGTTGTGGGGACTCGGGAGGGGATGCAGGAGAGCATGTGTGGAAAGTTTGCGAGCCGAGGACTTGGACAACGAACTTCGGAAATTTGGGGGCCAAAGTGTGCAGCGAGCATGCTGAAAAATGACTGATGGATGTGACAGGGCTGGGTACTACTGATTATAGCCTTCAACCAGTTCGTTGATTTTCTATTTTTATTTCTTCAGCGCATAAACCACTGCGCCCAGCAAACACAACCAGACGCCCGCAAGAGATTTCGGCGACTTTGTGCACCAGTCCGCCATGGCGTGTGATACATACACGGCGCACCTTTGTATGATTTCAATGCGGGATCTTTCGGTCAGAGTCACTCACCAGCGTGGTATCAATGTCTGCCGTGCGCACTCCATACTCACTATACCAGGAGTACTGAGCTTCCTTCGCTCCTTTCGTTGGAATAAACTTTTTGAGCCGCTGGGGTCGCCCGGATTTCCAGGCGTCTTATTGGCCCATATTGTCGCTGTTACCATGGTGAGGACCCTAACTTCCTTTCGGCTGCCCCACTTCTTCCCGGGGCACCTGACAGGGGCGCTGTTCCTCCAACAGCCAATCACCGGAAAGCACAAATCGGAGAATTCCATTCGCCATGGGTTGAGCCAATCAGATAAGTGCAGAAGACGCGAGTGACGGTGGACAGCAAAAGCAGAGGCTTCTGCTTCCTGTGCAGACGGGTTGGGATTGCCCTTTACTGGAGAGGGAGGAAATTGGGGCCGTAAATGATTATGAGCAACTGGTGGTGATCAGCGTGGGCCGACTTCCTGGGCGAAGAACCACATTTGCTGGGCATTCACATATGTTGGGTTGGCGTTGCTTGGCGCTGCATTGTGGACTGGGATCATAGGAGGCCGATGGGCGAGGTGGGAATTATCTAGATGTCAGATCCCAGGCTACATCCATGTGTCCCCTGCATTTCCCCAACTTATCGGCGGTTCTGTTGGTTCGCCGTCATCCATACAGGCGGTATATTTCCAACATCGAACACTGGGATGAGGTAACTATCCCGTGAACAACAGCAAAGAGTAGAATGCGTGCCAATTTCGAAGGAGGGACACGCAGTACTCTGTATATATCGAAATGTGTTGCTGGTGTGGTCTGCGATGCGCAATCCCGAAAAAAAGTCTCACATAACTGTTTATTGTTCATTCTCCGGCCTACCCGCCCCCTATTGTAAGCACCGCTGTGCAAAATATCACCGTTGTGCCAGTTCTCGCGTTTTTTCATCCCCAACCGGTATCATATTGATTGCCTTCTAAATGATCAGAGTTGATGGATTGTGAAACTTCTGGAGTTATCTAACATCTCATCAAAAACGATCTTCCTGCTCATCTGGCGAGAGCAGAGGCGATGATAGGGGACATTGAATTGATGAGCAAGAGTAGCACGGCTGAGGCCAGGACATCTTTCACCAAATCCTATAGCTGCTTCTACGCGTTTACCAACTTCTTGAGATCTTTCAACCACCTTGAGGTAGAGAGAATCGCGTGGTTGGGGATGGAAAACCGCGAGAACTGGCACAGCGGCGATATTTTGCACAGCAGTGCTTACATGTGGGTGGGGCCGTGTGTACCCCTTACATCGGAGTGAAAGCCAGGGACTTGTTCCTGATCAACAAACGGCATGCTAGTCAGACGCAGACAAAGCGATAAACAGGCCAAAACGGTGAGCGAAACACCAAACAAAGGAAGCAGGGTTCCCCCAACTGGTGCTAGCCTTATTTGGGACACATTAGCCTCAGCCTAGCTTGCACCATCCCAGGGTTAGTCGGGGAGAAGCTACTTGCGCTGTAAGGGTCGAGAGAGGTATTACTATGTACGGAGCACCAATCGCCTCAATACCCTCGCAGAGGTAAATGGCCACGGATATCCGCCAGAGCGCAGACATATACAGTCTCTTCTCCTCGTCGCTCTGTATTGATCCCGGCTATGACCTGACCACTTCCACCCCGCCGACATCCAGGAAGCGCACAATGAAATGCACACAACTCAACCGCCGCCAACGGATCAGCCTTGCACTGATCTCTGCCTTTCTCCTCCTGCTGGCCGTTTACTATCGCAGCCAGGGACGATTTTCCTTCCGCGTTGCAAAGACATCTCATCTTCCTGTGTCTCTACAACCTCCGAAACTCACCTCCCCTCCCCCAGCCCCGGCCCCTCCACCTCCAACATCAGACTTAGATTCTCAAAGCCTCAACGATGAACCTGCTATACCCCATCACACCATAACGCGTTCCCTAGTAATCGCCTCCATCCTCGACGAAAACACTACCTGGGCCTCCGAACTGTCCTCCACAGACCCCAACCTCACCACGGCAATCTACATCGTTGACGACCCTAACCCAAACAACACCACCAGCAAGCCCTCCCGCCTAACCGTCCCCGCAAACAAAGGCCATGAAGCCATGGTCTACCTGACCTACATAATAGACACCTACCACGCCCTCCCGGACATCGTCATCTTCATGCACGCCCACGACACAACATGGCACAACAACGATTTCCTCTCCTCCTCCTCCGCCCAAACCGTCCAACGCCTCCGCAGCGCCAAGGTCCTGCGCGACGGCTACATGAATCTGCGCTGCCACCACGAACCAGGCTGTCCAGATCACATCCACCCCACCAAGCCAACAACCACGGCCACCGCGGCCACCACAGCCGGCGAAGGCGACACCGACGAAACGCAGAGCCACGACGACGTCCTCAACATCCCCGAATCTGTCGTGATGGGCCTCGCTTGGACCGAGCTCTTCCCCACTACGCCCATCCCGCGCGTCCTCTCGCAACCCTGCTGTGGGCAATTCGCCGTGAGCGGCAGCCGGATCCGCGCCATGCCGCGCGAGCGCTACGTGCAGTTTCGGGAGTGGCTGCTGAAGACGACGCTGGACGATCGGCTCAGCGGGCGGGTGTGGGAGTATCTGTGGCAGTATGTGTTTGGAGGGGTAGAGGAGTACTGTCCGGACGAGTATAGCTGTTATTGTGAGGGGTATGGGGTATGTTTTGGCGGGGATGAGGGGAGGTATCGGCGGTATTTTGAGCTAAGGCAGAAGAGTCGTGAGATTCAAGGGGAGATTGAGAGGCTTAGGAAAGAGGGCAGCGGTGGCGATGCGGATGCGGGGAGAGTGAAGGCGTTGGAGAGAGAGAAGCAGGGATTGATGGAGGGGATGGAGGAGATTCGGGCGACGTCAGGGAGCGGGTGATGGGGATTTTGAGAGTCCCCTTTCATTTCTCCGTTTTTCATCATTTCCTGGGAATGGAGTTTATGGGATTTTTGGTCCTGTTTTTTCATTTCTTAGCGGGATATAAGATAGAAGATGGGATATGGGCTTATTTGGGATGGGCGCAGTGTTAGTTTCAAGTTATTATCCTGATCATGGGAAGGGAACCTGGGAAGTGAGGCTCTATTCCGTAGAATTCAACCCAGAACCTGATATAGTGGAGCAAAGAGCTCAATCACCACCAGCGTGGTGATATGGAGGGGACGAATCACCCAATCCAATTCCCTCCAATAGAATCAATAACATCATCACATGACATACATTCTTCGCCAATCAACGGCCATGAAATCTCGGCTATCACTAGCGTCACACGTGACCAACGCCACCCATATAAATACCTGCCACCACCCCCAATTCTTTTACTTTCTCTTTTTTTTCTCTTCTTTTCCTTCCCCATCCAAGTGCACGGGTTTTACGTTACCAGTGAAGGTTCGCCTGAGGCAACGTTTTTGCTAGTTGAAAACTACAACTACTGACCGCTCCACGTTGGTCTTCGGATCGGCTGGGAATTTTTGAACAAAAGCAATGCTACTATCGTGGTTTTTGTATGTATGACGGCTTGATGATGGGCTTTACACGCCGTCGTCGCCGTTGTATAATAACCGGTCTATCATGCAGGCTTGCGTTATATATACGGGGCTTGGATGGGGTTAAATTATTCTTTTCACTGTGAGTGTCCCCTTGTGGGATGCAACGGAGAAGAGATTGGTCCGCGAGAAAAAAAAACAATTAGCGAGGGTCCTGTGTTAGGTGGCACTCGATATCCATATCTACTTTCTTGCAAACAAGGTGGTTCTATCTTCTAGAATTCCTTCTGTATGTTGGCTGGTGTGGTACAGCATGTGCTAAACCATTACATGCATGTTACCCATCAGCGAGCCTGGCAATCCATCGTGGGCCACCGTATTGTTGGCTCTCTAGAATAGACACCTGTCATTTCGTTTCAATATAGCTCCTGAGAGATATCAGCGCAATGAATCTCTATAGCAAGCATGTCAGTGAGCAGCCTCATCAATCCACTATTGCACCAAAAACAAGAAGAGTTCATCAAACGGATGGAATTGGTGGATATAATTAATCACATCAATAAAATTGTAAAATAAGATATGAAAACTCAAATGTGCTTGGATGTACGGAGGACCATCTCAAAAGTTCTTTCTCATACTAAAAACGCCACAAAAGTCTAATTTGAATATAGTAAGTGTTCTCTATCATACAATCTATATACAAAATAATACAATTATACTTCTTTATATTCATTTTCATCTTCTAGCTCTATAATCTTTTGAATATGAGTATAAATCCATTCTATTCATGCTTGTATCATCTTCTGTGAAAGATTTTTTCAATACTGCTTTCATATCTTAATTTCTTCTGTCTGACTCTTTGATGCTGTGATAATCTATAAGCAAGCATCATGAATCCATGATCATCAGATTATTCATAGCAAAATATCAACATAATCATTTTTTAAATGATTGCACTTATAGTGATATCTATATCTGTGAGTACAGTGATGTGACTCAGCCCACAGCAGGTGTGATTATTCATCTCATCATCTATATATAGTACACTGCAACTGTCTGCTGCAATATAACACAATACATCTCTTGTGCAATTTTGTGCTTCATTCAGAGTCAGCAAGATTCTATAGAATTAAGGTCTGAAGAATTACTTGATCAGAGCATATATATCAGTATTAGAAGTCATCTTGACAAGTAATTTAATGAGAAATGAAAATATCATCTCTACTCCGGAGTGTGATGAAGCAGACTTGGGGGAAATTCAAGTTGGTGGCATTATATAGTGCCTTGGCGGGTGCCTTGGCGGGTAAGAACTTTTGAGATGAACCTCCGTAAGGAATTCAACATTCGCATTTATCTTATCTCTCGCTATTCATCATATTCTTTATATACTTTTCTATTCTGATAATCTGTCCACCTTCATTCCTTTCGTTATTCTGCGGAAGGGGTTAATTCAGAGATAATATCTCATGATATATCTTGTATTCTGGGATCTTTTGTATTATCTCTTGTATTTTGCAATCTGAACACTGTCTTGCTTGGATAAGTGTGCATCCCCTTCCTTATAAATACTGTCATTTTATCATGTAATTCTCAGAGTCATCATAGTTAATTCAATATTCTTTTGATATTCAGTATTTTGGGGCAATATTCGGACGTTCACGTTCTACCGTTCCGACAAACTCGATCTTGAGCGACTAGTCAGCAATTCTCGGGCGTATAGGTCGACGGGCGTAGGGATGGACGTCGTCACTTATTTACTCATTACTAAAAATTTATGTCAATTTACTCAATTCGTGCACACAATTCACCCAGAGAGCAACCTGAGTGTTGAATCAGATTTATATTTTATACTCGATGAATGACTTCATACATCTGAAATTGATGACTGCAAGCTTCCCTAGAATCCTGCTATTTCATGTTAGGCTTTTCCGTGCACAAAGGGTTCAGTCCTTGTCTGGCGTGAGTAACAAAGGGATACGTATGAATGAACAAAGGATATGCTCATTCTCCGTTACCCGCTTAACTACAAGTGCAGGAAACAAGCCACGACAAATAGTCAACGAGCGATGCCTGGGCTCAACTGTCAACAACGCATAACACTCTGCTGGCTTCATCAGATTCCTCCCACAATCACAGCAGCATCAAGAAAATCATATCCAGGGACAGGCTAGTTAGGAGGCGACTAGCATGGAGCTTCCACGATGTCTAAACACAGTTTTTCCTAGCCCATCGACAACCACTTCCCCAGAAACCACTGTTATTATCGGAGCTGGTGTAATAGGCTTGTCCACCGCCTATTATCTTGCACAAGCTCTGAACGAAACAACTTCGTATATGCCTCCATATGAACCTGATGTTGTGGTTATTGATTCTTCTCATGATATCTGCGCTGGGGCATCCGGTAAAGCTACCGGTGGTCTGGGCAATTTTGGCTTCAGGCCTGAGACTTCATCTCTTGGAAGTCTCTCTTACAAACTCCACAAGGAACTAGCATCAAAATACAACGGCAGAGAGAAATATAAATTCAGTGACTTGAGCATATACCGGGTATCTTCAAAGAATTTTGCTGGAAATCCCTCACCACCAGATTCCTGGAGTTCGTCGGCCCCAATTGATAAAAACATCTCAGACCTTCCACCCTGGATTAACCCCTCAAATGACTGGAAAGTCCAATTGCTTGCAGACGCACCTCACGCAGCTCATCTGTACGTTTTCTTTTATTTCCTTTTCATTTCTTTCTTTCTTTTATTTTGTACTGCGTCCTTCATTGAGTCATTGCTAACACTCTAAAAAAAACCAGTGACCCAGAACAATTCTGTCGATTTTTACGCCACCAGTGTGAAAATCTAGGTGTACGATTTCTGCTCAATTCAGAAGTCACATCAGTGCAAAGAGATCATGCTAGACAGAGCTTCACAAGTATTACTGTTCAAACAAGAGATACACAGGCTGCTCATATCGTTCCATGCAGAGCCATTGTAATTGCAGCTGGTCCATGGTCAACTCGAGTGTTCTCACAACTCTTCCCTGCCGGCCACTTGAATTTACGAATGGATACCATGAACTCTGCAGGAAATCATGTTCTTCTTCGAAATCCACGATGGGAACCTGCTCATGACAAGAATGGTGTCGGTCAAGTATTCCTCAACAATGTAGTCAACAGTTCAAATAATTTGGATATCACTGCCTTTCTGGGTGGCTATCTGTATATTGGAGGCTGGGGCGCAAAGCCAGAATGTTTGCCAGAGTTTGCAGAGGGCGTCCACAGCCAGCCTGATGAAATTGAGGAGATGTTAAAGGTGTCTCGCCAGTATTTTCACCTTGAGGACAATGAGGAGCTTGAAATAGTCAAACCTGGTCGTTGTTACCGCCCTTTGGCTATCCCTAACATACCAACTATCACCAAAGTCAGTTGGGAAATGCTAGGCAACCCTAAGTTTGGATCCGAAGCTCATTGTAGTAGTTTCAAGTTCAATAATTCTCCAGTGATCGGAGGCCTATACCTCAATACAGGCCACAACAGCGACGGTGTCACACTCGGACCAGGGAGCGGGAAGGTGATGAGTGAGTTGCTTTTGGGGCATACGCTGTCGGTTTCGATTTCGAACTTTGGTTTGAATAATGGCGAGAAGAGTCTGCCTTGGAAACTTCGCCTATAGGTATTTCAGACGCCTGCTGTCGTTTATATACTATTTCTTTCCACTTTCTCAATGGCTTCCTTTATTTAGCGGTGTTGGATTGACACCTGCTGGACTTTACACTTTACTACATTTAATTAACAACCCAAAGAGAACTGGAAGCGTGATAAATTTGATAACTATGAGATTTCAAGATCAAATTCGTTAGTATCCAATGTCCATATATCCAGTGTGATATGAACAAATAGATGTGGTATCTGGAGCTGCCTTATGTACAGTGGTTCCATTTCTTATTGTGTTTGACAATGCTGACGATCCGTGGATTTTGTCTCCTTACTGGCCAAATTCTGTTTACGGCTCCATCCTCATCACAGAAGGATTCGCGCAACACGGCTTGCATCCGAAAGACCCTAGTAGAGAGAGTGGCAATAATTCGTAAATTGATGATAACGATGATTTTTCTGGTTTGAATCCAGGCTACAAATAAATACACTGGCACCTTAGCAATGAAATGAGGATTTGACTCAAACATTCAACTCGTTGTCATTAAAGATATCCATCTCAAAGATGCTTCTCACTTCAGCTGATCTTCAAAGCAGATCTCTGAAGTTCAGCAGCAGGTTATTTGTACACAGTGCTTAGAGAGAGCTTTGAGTGTCTTGTCAACAAGAGAGGTGAATGTGAATCACGTGATTACGGAGGTCATGGATTGTGCCACCTTGTAGTTTGATTGGTGGTGTGGTTGATATGCCACAACTTTGCACGTTGAAGCTCCTGTCTTGTATAGATATATAGATAGATAGATAGATAGATGGATAGATCTGTGTGTGTCTGTGTGCGTTTGTTGTGGTATATAGCTGTATAGAAGGGATGTCAACAGGGGGTTATTTTGTCATGTTGAAAGTAGACAATAAAGATAAGACCTCACTTGGGACTTGCGTAGAGGACTCAAAGGGGGACAAAACGAAAAGCAAAAAAAAAAAAAAAAAAAAAGACACAAGGTCCAGATATAAGAAATCCCCAGAAGGGAGTTCAGCAGAAGGAAGATAGCCCCCGAAAAAAAAAACATTAAATGTTACTTGGGTGTGGACACAGCAGGAATAAATAAAAATAAACCAAAAACCCAAACCAGAATTGCAAAAATAAACCACCTCACGTATATATAGGGAGATATATATATATACCCGACCCAATATTAGAGAACAGAGAACTCCCAAGTCCAATTCAATCCACCCAGCCCATAACAGTATAAAGAAAAAAAAATAAAGAAAATCGATCAGCATAATACCTTGGCACAAAGGTAAAACACCCCTCCGCTCCCCAACCCAGTCTCCTCTCTCTCTCACCCCCGATCAATAACCGGCACAGCCACAGGAACCTTGGCCCCCTTCCCCACCTTGTCAACCTCCGCCCCTCTCAACAAACTCCCTTCTGCAAACTGGCTATCCTGCGATATATCCAGCATCGGCTTCTTGAAATTATTCCTATCCCCCGTTGCCACACCGCGGCCAGTGTCAGGCCGGGCACCGCCGCGCGCGGCGCTAATGGTAGCTGCGCGCGCCAGCAGGCCTGTGGGCGCGAAGGGGGATCCGTGAGCTTGCGCTTGGGGTGTTTCAGGTAGTGGCATTGGCGGCGTGTGCTCGTTGATATTGCTGTTGTGGAATGTGGCGGCTCGTTCGAGGGGTCCGATACTGGGAGTGTGGGATGATGTCGTCGGGCGATTCGGGTGGGCGCTTCCGCCGCCGCCACGGCTGGGGTTTGGGTGGGCAATGTCAGGTGATGTGGGCAGCTGTGATGGCTGTGCCTGTGGTTTGCGCCAGGTGGTTGCGCTGGGGACTATGATGGCGCCGGGAAGTACTTCAGGGCTTGTGGCAGCCTCGACTAGCGGTTTCCCGGGTCCTGCGGGTACACCTCGGCCTCTCCGCGCGTGCTGGGGCGGTTCTTGATATACGGGCGTGAGGTCGATGAGGGGTTTAGGTTTCTGCTTGATCGACTTGGATCGGCTGAAGGAGCTGCTGGCGCTACCGTTGGGGCTGGTGGGGCTGGTGGGGTTTGGCGGTGCTGCGCAGTCGCGACTGCTCCGACGGCTTGAGCGATTGCTGGAGGCGATTGCTGGGCGTGTTGAGTTTTCGGCTGCTACGTTGCGTAGAAGTCCAAGGCCGGTGAAGCCGTATTGGGGGGTGTCATTTTCGCGTTCTTCCAGAGCTTTTTTGCGTTCGCTATATGTTTTGCCAAGTAAGCCAGTAGAAGTAAACGGGTCGGGACTTGATGCATTGATAGGCTCCTTTTTGGGCTTTCCAGCGGATGTGAAGGGTCGTTTTTGAGTATGCATTGAGCGACCGGGGGAGGAAACCGTTTTTGATTTGGATGGCTCGTTACCCTCAGGAATGTTCCTCACAGGCTCGATTTTCCACGCCGACATATCCATGTCCAGAAGCGGTTTGAACGATCCGAGTTGATAGGGAGTGGAATCATCGGAATTCTGGCGACCATTTGACATGGTATTCTGACATCCCGTTCGCGTAGGTTTCGGATTTGAATTGACCGATGCTTTCTCCGTTTTATCGCTTTCGCACAGAGCGTTCACGAGATACCAGCTTCGCCATTGCTGAACAGCCTTATACCATTCCAACCCTGTTTGTTCGTCATTGGTAGCAAAATAATGCACGTAATTTTCCGTCGTTACGAACATGTTCAATTTCTGCTGGCTCTTAATGGCAAAAACTATGCCTTTCGGAGCCTTGACTCTTTTCGCCGTCTCCCGTGACGTAGGCGAGTAAATATCGAAGTCCGATAAATGGCAGATATTCGTGGACTCTCCGCCCTGTTTCTTCGCAACAGAGACCTGGCCATCTGACCGCAGGGTTACCCAACGCTTTTCCCACTTGCCGTGGCGTTGAGAGTGGTAAAGATGGAATTCGGATTCCGAGGGCTGCTTACGAGGAGCCAGCTTGATATCGAGGCCCTCCCTTTCGCGCATATCCGGCAGTCGCGATACGACTAAATGGTTCTGCGCATCGCAATCCCACGAATTCATGACATCACGCACATGTTCGTATCTTCGTAATGGTCGTTCTAAACCGAGCTGCTTGAAAGATTCCAAGAGAATTGAAGATTGTGGGTCGATGTTCTCCGACAAAGAGTACGCTGCAGAATTTAAGAGGTCCTGTGCCTGCGTGCTTGGGGTAATTGGGAGGGATATCAACGAGTCGTTGCAGGTTACGAGGACCTTTCTTGTTCCCGCGTTGACAGCGGAGATGGGCACTTCACTACCCACAGCCACCTTGACCTTGTCCTGGGCGATTGGCTGCGGAGAGGAGATAAGTGTCTTCAATTTTTCGCGATCGTTATGGTAATGGCTGTCGCCGTTGCCGTTGTTGTTCAGTTTCGAGCTCGAAGTAGGATTCAAGGCCTTCATCCGTGACAAGAACCCGCTGCTCTTCGGTTTCACTTTTAGTTGTCTCAGTTTTGAACCATTAAGCGCTGCAGTCGCTCTCTCATTTGCGGCGAGTTCTTCATTGGTGATGTTTTCCACTTGGTCCCGAATGTCTAGCATTCTTGGCTCCACAACGGTGCGTAGCTTTGAAGTAGTTGGTGTACTATGTGACTCGCTCGATGAGCTGTGGGCGTTTGCACGCGATCGACGGCTTCCAGATTCTTCCATGCTGGACGAACCGCTATCCGTCTCCAGTGGGGAATACCCAGGAGGCGATTTTGCATCTTCCGTGTCGTTATCCACAGGGACCACTCGCACACCCGATAAGCCATTTTCACTGTTACTTTGACCAGCTGACTGTGCAGCTCTCGGTACACTGGACGTGTAGGATGTCCGTGCCGTGCCTGGGTGGTCTTGGCGCGCGATACGTCTCGTGCGATGCTGCTTCATGGCAGCCTCGGATCGTTCTCCTTCATGAGGGTCTTGCATGCAGTCTCCCTGTGTGTGTGGGCGGGTGGGTAATGCCACTGCAGCAGGAAACGGCGGGGGAGGAGGGACAGAATGTACAGCCCTGGTTGCACCACCAGGCTTCGCGTGTCGATATCTCGACATGCTGCGCTTGATGGATTCATTCTGTGTCTCGGAGAACGAAGGAGAGCTCGACGGGAACTTAGCCGTGCGTGAGGTGGTCGGAAAGGGCTGTGCAGCCGCATCCCCATTCTGAATTGTCTTTGTCTCTGCGGCCTTCCGGACTGCTCGATATCTGGAATATTTCGGTGGTGCTTGCTGATGCGGAGATCGTATTGACGCGGACGACGTGGAGGACGAAGAGGGAAGAAGGGAACGACTGTCCATGGCGTCGTAACGTAGCTTCGAAAATTCTTCTTTGGTTTTTATTTTTTCCTTCACTTTTTATTTATTCTTCCGTTTCATACAATGTCCATCATATCGTTATCTTTGCATTTGCAAAAGGTAAGACAATCTTCCCCAGACAGCGATGGAGGTATATTTCCGTGAGTTTGTGTTGCTAGAAGGAAAGATTGTACGTAGCGCATCGGGTCGCACGTCAGTCGCCAATGCGACCTGCTTTCCAAGATAATTGTGGCGACAGGGGCGCACAAGAGATCAGACAGCAAGCGATACGAATTTGGACTGGAATTTGGACTGAACGACAACGACTGAATGCGGTGGCGGGAAGAAAGCAGGAAGTCTGCCAGCAGCGACAGGTCGCAGCGCGGGGGAATCGCCAATTGGGAAGAACGAAAAAGAAATCTCTGGCTGGCTGGAGGATCGGCCAGGCCCCTGTGAAGTTGTGATAGGGCTCAGCGAGCTCAGACGGGTCGAAGGGAGTGCAAAGAGAGCTCTGGTGGATGGCGATTGAGCTTGTTGGCGTGGATCCGAACTTGGCGATTGGGCAGGCGAGTGGCGGACAGCGGCGATCTGAACTATGGACAAAAGGAAAAGGCAGGAAAAAGAAAATACCAACACACAACACCAACACCAGCCTCCAACTCTGGCTCACGGCGGGTTATTATTGATAGATCGAGGATGAGAAGAATTTCCCTCGTCAAATTTCACAAAAGCACTCACACCCAACCCTGGCGCAAATGTGGAAACGAGTCGCGATCAGGGGTCCGTGTCGCCGAATGAGAGAACGACGAAGCGCGAACCGACAGGGCTTGGTGGGACGGCGTGGAGTGCAATTTAACTCCCTAATCAAACTCGATAGTAACTAACTGACGGACTAACAGACTAACTAGTTGGCTAACTAGCTGGCGGGATTATGCATTGAAGAATTAACTGGTTCACGAATTGAAGATGGAGCCCTTGAAACAAGTTCTGTGAGAATGGGCAGACGAACCATCGCAAAATTACTTCTACTTATATACTTCCAGCAACGCACATGGGATATTTGTAGACCCTCTGTCCTCCCGGACGGAGGCTACGGTCAAATGCTAAAATAAGGGCCAATTTCCACTGAAAATAGATCCAACCCTGTCAAAAACTGCCGGGTTGAGACATCAGTCTGACAGCGGAAGGGCTTGACATCAGAAACCCCAAAGCCCGTCACAGTGGATAGATTAAACATTAAACAGGGAATTTATTCAAGAAAAGGTCACGCATTCCGACTACCCCGCTGCTGGCCGGGGCTCTGGGGAGCTTGGTTTCCCTCATTTCCAAGGCTGAACCTGGTTGCATATATCCTGTTTTCCATCCCAACGTCCTGAAGATTTCCCCTCACGTCAACAATAGGTCATACAACTGCGCGCCCGGACCTCTTATAACTATTCTTTAGGCTCTTAGATGCACAAGGGGGTTCAACAAACAGCTCTCATTTTCGCCATGTTCCCTGCCAGAGCAGACCCTGAACATCCGAAACACCCGTTGCCGTCGTAAGAAAACACATCTATTGCTGGAACTGACGTCAGATAAATGTGAACTAGTTATATTTTCATATTTTTCCCTTTTTGAAAACTCGCCGCCTACTTGCTGAATTACTCACAGGCGGCAGGAAATTCAGAAAACCAGAATCAGCATCAGCCCGCCACCTCACTCAAAACTTGAGATCTCGCCTGCTCGATTTGAATATGCATCGCCCTAGTGGCGGAATGCATGCAGTTCTTTCCGCCTGATAAATATGTCGGTCAGCACTGCAATCTTATATATGGTCATAAGGTGCCAGAGAAGGGATAAACGATAAACCAAACAAAAATAATAAAAATAAATAAATAAAATAAACCACAAGAAAAATACTGCAGTGGCCAACTTACCACCATGCAACAAACGACTGCGTCTGAACGTCAATCCCAATTCGTCGCAACTCTTCCGTCGACAAGTGCGTATCGTACGGCCTCTGCACCTCACCCGGCTTCGGCCCATTCTTCACAGGCATCATGCCAGGCAACGGCAGCCCCAAGATCTCCGCCAGTGTCTGACAAATTTGATACTTGGTCATGGCATCCTCGGATGAAAACTGTAGAATCCTCGGCAGACTCTTGAAGGAGAAGCCACCGTCGTCTTCGCGATCCGCTGCCGCTCCCACAAAAAGAGACAGGTATCTGGCAGCGATGTCGCGGCAAACCCGCCCCACATCCGCCGTGTGTGTCGGATATCTAATCGCCCAATCGTCCATCTGAACCCCGGCGTTTGCATCCTGCGCCTTCCACACCGCGTCCACAAGCGTGTTGATGGCACTCTCGCTGTTCTGCCGCGCGGGCCCGTAGAGGACCGGGACGCGTAAAACCACCCCCAGCCCGCACCCACGTGTCTCCTCTAGCACGGCGACCTCGCCGTCCCGCTTCGTCTCGCCGTAGATATTTGGTGGCTCTGTTTTGGCGGAGGCTTCATAGGGAGCTTCACCCGGGCGCCCGGGGAATACATAATCTGTCGAGATGTAGATGAGCAGGATGGATCTGGACGAGGTGGCCCGTGCTAGGGATCTGGTGGCAGCGACGTTTATTTTACGTGCTGCATCTGGGTTTTGGTCGCATTTGTCGGGGAAACGGTTGGCGGCGCCTAGATATAGGATCGGATTTTTTTTTTCATGGTTAGCGAACTTGATTCTGTCCCGATTAATCATGTCGGAAGAAGATAGCATGGAAGTACATCATCATCATCATCATCATCATCATCATCATCATCATCATCATCATGCACTCTGGGGGAATTAAAAAAATATGAAAGAAACTCTTCTGGAAGTTCACACCACCCATTTATACAGAGTACTATCTCAGAAAACGTGCAATGAAGGACCAAAAGAGACGTAGAAAACGATGAAACTCACAATGCACAACAACATTGGGTCTTAGATAACCATCCATCCCATGATCCTCATCAGCAATCAGCATATCACAAACGTCGCAATATCAAAACATCAACTCCGTTCACCAACCTCTTACCCCCCGCGGCGTCCACCCCTCACTTCAGTCCGGTTATCATCACACCTATTACTCCGTACAAAACGACAAAAAATTAGAACTTACTTAGTCCGTTCCAGCAGCGCTACAGTCTCACCTTCATCCAACAGGTCTGCCTTGACGATTTCCGAATCCATGTCCGTCCGCGTCCCCGCTCTGGAGAAGCCTTGCCCAAACACATTCCAATTTGTGCTGTCCCGCTCGAAGGCATTGAGGACCTGGCGCCCGAGAAGACCCGTGGCGCCTGTGATAAGGGCGGTTCGTTGCATGTTTTTTAAATTTGTTTTTATTTTTATTTGTTTGTTGGTGTATGCCCTTGTGCTGAGCGATGTTGACGGGGGTTGGAAGTTTTTAATTGCAATGGGATGACGTCGGTGGAATATGGATATGGTGGGGGCTTGTATGCTTGGCTTGGGACTTGGAGGATCCGTTGAACCACCACATTCTCAGATATTGTCACTTCCCAACGCACACTTCTGACAGGTAGCAGTGGTAGGGAGAAGGATGCCTCAGCATCGAGAATGTCTGTCCATATTGGGCAGCTGACGTACAAGATAAAAGGCTATTGATGTAAGTAAGTAAACATGTAAGTGATGAGAATGCTCCTGAAGTGACCAGTTCACACAAGCTGATATCGAGCACAACTTTGTAGGGCCTTCGAAGAATTTTGATTCATGTCATATACGTACGCTAAACAAAGCAATATAAAATAAAATGAAATAAAAAAAACCAAATCATATTGCCATGCGACGCCGAATAACGAAATGATGGGTAGCAAAATATGTTTTCCACAGGATGCACCTTCACGCCACGTAGCAAGGTAAAAAGGATCGAGATCTATGGTATACGTTCTATATATTCTTCGTGGCACATTCCTCACAGTTTGAACTCCTGCCCCACAAACCTTTCTGTTAACTTCCACAGCTTCTCTGCGCTCTCTTCATTAACAGAATACGCGGCCGGGGCGGAGATTTGGCAATCCATCAAGAAAGAGCCGGAATGAGCTATGCAGACAGAATTATCAGCGTCTGGGGTTTTTCTTTTCCCACGTCTTGTGAGGAAAAAAGAAAGAAAGCAAGAAAGAAAGATAGATCAGTCAATCCCTGAGGACAGAGAACAATAGCGTACCTTGTAGCGCAGGATCAAACGCCGCAACCACCGACGTCGCAGCTCCCTCGTCCTGAGTTTTCCAGTTTGGCACAAGATCTTTCATCGCGCCCATCAATTCTGCAGGCATATACCGTCCCAGTTCCGTGTGGATCACTGCCCAACGGTTAGCACCTGCCCATATATCCAAGGCTCTGAAACAGGATTGGAAAAAATACCTCCTGGATGAAGCGTGAGAGAAGTGATCCCCTCGCTAGCGAGATGCTTCGCGAGATACGTCGTGAAGAGCAAATTCGCTGTTTTCGACTGTCCATATGCGATCATGGAGTCGTAAGACTTATAAGGCTCCGATGAATACCCATAGCCCTGCAGCCATGGTTCAACGCCCACCTCATCCGCCGCGACGGGATGGCCGTCGAAGTTATAGTCCTGGGACCGGAACGGGGAGAACTGGTAGCCCAGCGAAGTCACACTGACGATGCGGGTATAGCCAGGGCGCTGCGCGGCGGCCCGCCGGATCTTGTCCATGAGCAGGTTTGTGAGGAGGAAATGGCCGATGTGGTTCGTGGCGAGGTGCATCTCGAAGCCGTTCTCGCTGAGCTCGCGCTCCGGCAGAGCCATGATACCCGCATTGTTGAGGACAACGTCGATGGAGTCAACCTCGCCCTTGATTTTGGCGGCGGCTTTGCGGACGGAGCGCAGAGAAGCCAGGTCCACTGCTGCTGCTGTTACGGGTACTTTCGGGAAGCTGATGTCCAGGTCTTTGACTACCTCGTCGAGCTTCTCCTGCGATCTTCCTGTTATTATGATGCGAGCGGGCCGATATTGGGCAATTGCCGTGACAACGGCGCCCCCGAGGCCTTTGGGGTTGACTCCGGTTACGAGGACTTATGTGTAAGGAAAAGGAATCATTAGCTTCTGCGGAACTGCCTCAATGCAGGTGGTTCAGTCGCATGGAGTACCTGTCAATCCTTTAATCTGGGCAGCGAACACCTTGGCCGCCTCTGTGGCTGTGGTTTTCGCACCGAATTCCGCGTGAGTTGCCATGGTTTGTTGCTTTTTATTCTTCTTTTTCTATGGAGGTAGTGTCTCTGTAGGTAGGTGATGGGTATTTTGCGTATAGATATAGTTGTTTTCTTGGATATCCTTCTCCATCATGTTCTTTCGACCCTATATATATTTAAATATACACATATCTCCATATATACATGTGGAGAGATCTGTGAATCACATTTCGCCCGTTACCAATTCAAGAGCACGCTTGCGTTGATGTCGATATCGATAAGGCCGTATCGATTTATCTCCACCCAACTCCATGGACTTCGGCGAGCTACCAATATGTCATTGGGAGCTCATGGCTAGCTACTCCACGGCAAACTCAAATGTCCACGGAGTTTTCGAGATCGCTGTGGCGGAGAAATTCCTCGGCTCGCCGCATCTTATTCGCTGTTTCGGGTGTGCCCAAGCGCTTCCCTGTCCTTCCTTGCCTGCATCTGCGGGAGCTTGGCATGCAAACCTCAGCAGATTCCCGATCTGGATCCATTCTGCGCTCGTCCGCTTCATGGTTGCCGATGTGCTTCATCGCAGCGAGCTTGTTCTGTCTTGCTATGAACCTATGCAACAAACGCATTTCTTCGGCCTTCCGATCCATTCGGTTGCACCGTGATCGTCGTTCTTACTGTTGCAGGCGGCAGCATTCGAAACGGCCATTTTTCGTTTCACGCACTGGGTTGTTGGTTTATTTCGTAATCTTCAGTTGAGCTGTAGTTAACTAATCCTGGTTTTCCCCATGGGTAATGCTTGCTGGTGGTGCAGACGTCAAGACCATTCTGATATAAACCTGAAGCCATTCCCAACAGTCAACTTTGGACGTGCCTTTCAACTAACTAATAATCACGTCTGGCGGGTGTAGCCACCTTAGGCCATATTCCCGAGAGCCTTTCGTTAACTCGGGTCTTCAAACAAAAAACGTCTTTTAGTTGGGGTTAGTCGGGGAATACGAGATGGCATCAACCTTCGGTAGCCCCAAGTCAAGCTTTGATTTTTGAAGTTAATTGTGTGAGTGCAACCTCGTTTTCTTTTTTTCTTTTTCTTTTCTTCCATTTTGGAGAAATTTCCACGGAGATCTGGAACAGCAAACTTTGCGCTAGAAATCTATAGAAGAAATGTCAGCTCACACGTTTAGAGAGGGGCAAGTGATAGCACGGCATCTCAACTTGAGCCAGGCCCAAAATCACCACTCAAGAGGGAGGAAGAAAGAAAGAAGAAGGCTAAACTGAGCCACTTGCATCATCCTTTCACCACCCCTCGATTTAGTGACGCACAAGACCGTCGAGAATGAAACGGTGCGAAGGGGGTGGAAATGGTGCAGTTGATTACGGATGTTGTGGGTTGAGGACACTAACTCGGTCACCGAGGCTGCTTCGTACGTAACTAACTCTCTCTCTCTTTTCAACTTGCTAAGGCCGCATCCGTTGGTTGGTCCCACATAAAATTCATCAGATACTACGAAAGCTCGTATATATAGAAGTCGTGATTGGGTTTTTCTTCTTATCTCCGTGACTCTGTCGATCGTTTTTCTTTTCTTTCGATTCATCTATATCATCTACCAATCTTTCTCTCTGTTCGAATTATCTTTCTGGGCTAAGGATCCCCCAATAAATCGAAGCTAGCTGAGTGAGTGGGTGAGTTAGTGAGTGCTCCCCCGAGCCCATAAAGAAGTTATTTCCGAGCCCCAAATTATTGTCAATATCTCCCTCCAAATCTGGAATCTGGAATACAACCTGGATCGAGGGGTGGGATGATACGAGGTCACATCCATTCCGCGCTGTCTATGGAAAGAAGAAAGGGAGTAAAAGCTCGACCTTTGTAACAAGGTAAGTTTCTTCTTCTTTTTTTTTTTTTTTAAAAAAAGTAAATTATACAATCAATTACAGTCGGTGAAATGATGACAGTATATAAAAACGGGAACCTGTTTATCCGTAACCAACCCGTACCCATCCCATAAAATGAGACACAGGACTCCATCAGGAAAAAGACAAAGCCTTCCAAAAACCGACGCCCAAATAAATTTAGACCCCACATTCCCAGAAAAGAGAAAACAAAAGAAAAAAGGGAAAGTAAAATCACCCCAAGAACCAGACAGAAGGTACAAAAGGATCGCTCGCTGAATCGCGGGACAAAATCAGCTATGGTCGAGTCAAAATATGTGAGCAGCGCCTTTGAAGATTCGGAAAACCGTATAGACAGGAAGACAATGCATTCACGATTAATCGCCGAAACTAAACACCTTCCTGATGAGAAGAAGTTGACTCTGGCCGGGAACCAAGCCACCCGCCTCGCTGATACGCACTTGATGATCGTGTCTCCTTGAGGGGCACGCGTGGCATTGACTGCTGCCGTGTGGCTACGGAAAAGGTGCTCATATTGGATCCACGACGTCTCAACCGTCTGTTGGCGTCCATTGATTCCTTCCGGTTGAGGGATTCGGATGGTAGCAGAATAGCACGATCGAGTTCGTATGGCAAACCACGATGGCGGCCACGGATTTCCATGGCGATGATAATGAGTTTCGATAAGGGCCTGAAGTGCCCGCAGAGCGCGGTGTTGGAGTTCGGGAACCCAAGTGACAGGCCCACGGTTCCGTAGGCGGAGACAATTTCGAACATGACCGCGAACATGGAGAAAGAATTTTCGCCCTTTTGGTCAAGCCTGTTGACTTCGATGATGGAGATGAGGAACAACCCAAGGAAAATATACCATAAATCGAAGCTTAGTTGTTTTCGTAGATGGGCCCCGATATAACTGACATGCTTCGAGCCCAGCGTTTCATCTTCATCGTCATCAGGGTAGGAATATATCCCCAAACTGCCCTCCTCGTAAACGTTTGTCCGACGGACCGAAATGGCAACAGGGAACACGGAAATATACATCATAATCAAAAAGAATACCTGAACAGCAGGATGAATATTTGCCAGATTGACGACCGCTAAACCAGCCGTCCGCGTCGATGCTGCTTGGAAAAAACCATCCACAAAGCGTATCCCAATCGGAATCCTATTGATTTCCGGGTTATTCAACTAATAGAGCAAGTTAGCAGGTGGCTAGCAGGTGGCAAGGAAAGACGCGCTCATGGACAAGGGCACCTACATCTAAAATAATGAAGAAGATCAGTTGTAGACCATTCAGAACAACAAGAACTCCAAATAGCCACCACGTAGCCGCGCCAGGAAACATAAGGGTAAAACATCTTCGTGGGTGGTCTAGCAAGAACCGCAATTCTTCCCACGCAGGGCTGCCGAAGGGAACGAGGTGAGAAAGCATCCAGATCGTAAATCGCAGCATGCAAGGAAATGCGGTATTTCCAACGAGAATAAGGAAACTCAGCAAAAGAAGTGGAAATATTGCATCGTAGAACGACATCATCGAGTCAGGGGTGAGAGCGAATCCTTGATCGTTGAAGGCGGAAGCAGAGGTGAAAACAGCCCACCACGGACGGCCTAACCCTGCTTCTTTGACAATGTTACCGAATCTTTCTGTTTTCAGAATCCATGGCACCAAAGATACAATGCCTAGGAGATGGAAGAAGAAGAAATAGCCAATCAGCACCACCACTAGTAATTTCAAGGCTCTGTATTCAATACCCCCTAGCTCGTTCCTCTGAGCCTCTGTAAGGTCGACAAACGCAGAATTTCGGCCGATTGTCGGCTGCCAACTAAGATAGGGGCTTGAACCAATGTCAGGACCCTGAGACGAAGAACGAAAAAGACCCGAAAATGTTCTACTTCTCGTCCTTTCTGGCGGAATGAAATCTGCATCCGGTTCCGAGGGACGATAGGTTGACCTTCGGCGAGGGTTAATTCTCGAACGCATCCGGGCAGCATTAGGCTCATCGATGGTGATATGGTGTTCTTGGGGCGGCTGTGTACAAGGCGGAGTGGCGGGCCACTCCGACCGTGATGTCTGTACTTGTGTCAGATCTTCGCCGTCTGCATCATCATCAACTGTTTGTGGGACTCCGCCTCTATCGTACTCTCGAGGGCTCGGAATACGTAATGCGCACGTGTGCCTCCGTTGATGTGCTAGGAACGCAATATGATGCTCGGGGCTCAAATATTTAGACGCTCCGAGCTCAACACCTTTATCATTTTTGTCAGATATGGGAGGCTCCATCGTATCCGCCGCATCACCTCGGTTTTCTCCTCTAGCTTGATCCTCCCCCTGAGGGGAACTGGGCTCGCCGCCAGGACTTGGTTTGGGTGACCTGTCGCTCTCAGACGTGGAAGCCGCATCTGTCTTCTTCTCAATATCATGAGCCGCTGAACAACCCTGAGCCTGTCCAGTACCACTATCCCTCAAAAGCACTATCTCCTTTCCACGGACCCCTATATTTCCTCGATCTCGGTTGTGGCTAGTTTCCCGCCGATCTTTGGTCAAAGCCTCGCGGGTCAGAGTCCTTTGTCTTGATTTAATGCGTCTTAAGGCTTTGGCCTCATGGACGACATGTTGAAATCGCCTTTCAAACCAAAAAAGGCGGATGAAAACGACGAACGTATTAATGAAGATCGGATTGGTGATCATGGAAACGAACCATAACCCAACCTGCTGGTAGGTCAATAGAAGATTGGTGTCGACGGGGTTGAGACCGCTCTGGGTAGTAGCACCGGTAGCGAACAGCAGCGCATCAATGTATGTCACGTTCCCAGGCGCGTAGAGGATGACAGAGGCAACGAGGGAACAGGTGATGATGTAGCCATAATGGAGAGATAAAAAATTAAGCCGTATGGTAGAAAGAACCGGAACTCGGGTCCCGATTGAATCGAGAGTCTTTATAAAGGCTTCCAGTGAGCTCCAGTAAGCCCGCCTTACTTTCAAAACACCAGACCGGAGTGCCATGACGCTTTAAAATAACACCCACCAGGGGGGAGGAGGGGGTGGGGGGTTTGAGATCGAACGGCTGTGATCGAACACCGTTTGGAGGTATATATCTGTATCCCGGGATTTGGGACAAGCCAAAACTGGAATCCGCAGCACAGCCAACAGGGAGCAGCAGTTGGAAGGACGACCTAGAAGGCAAGTCTATGCTTATCCCTCAAGACGCCGTTAATGGAGAGCTTGTTCGCGACGGAGCAAGCGCAGTAAGGCTAGAAGATACAAAAAAAGACATGACGAAAGCTGTATATCGTGTACGCAAAGAGGCCAGCAAGACACCAGGAGGTCGATAGAGAAGAATTGACGCTGGACATACGGAGGCTCTGGAGGTTCTCAGGAGACGAAAGAGCCACGATGCGGAATTGGAGTGGTTGACACAGCTTGAAGCGGGTGGCCATCGCCGCTGTTCAGAGTGAGCAGCGCCGCGTGGCGAGATCTTCGTGGAAATAAGCTTCACCCAGACTCATTCCATCCAAGTGGCAGTGGCGAGCCGCCCGAGAATGCTTCCATCTTGTGCTCATTATGGCGATACATCGTCAACCTCGAGGCATTTTTAGGGCTCTACAGGCGCATGGTTTTCTTCGTGGAATTTTGCGATCCCGATATTACAGTCCCTAGCCACTGTGCTAATAGTATTACCTGCCTAGCGCTAGGGGAACGGCTGCTGGAGCCCATCGCATATTAACTCGGTTGACAGTGTTGAAAAGGTGATATGATCTTATATGTTGGTGGTGAACTTGCAGCCTGTCGCTCGCCCAGAACTAAACCCGCTGGAGTGATTCTCAACCATCTGATTGGAGGCTGTTCCTCATGACGTGCATGGAACTGTCCCATTAGTACAGATTTGTATAAGATCGCTTGATGGGGTCCTTTTGCTCAGACCTCATTTTAAACAGCCTGGGAGAAAGCATTTTCAAGATAAAGAATGAGATATGATATATCCACAGCACTTTTTTTTTTTTGGAAACCTTCACGATAGGATATATCATTCTTAACCAGCTAGCTAGAGAACTCTGACCTTGTTTCAACAATCAGAAAATAATACGGAACTAGTACCTGTGAATCCCACCAGCTAATTTGTCAAGGCATCACTTCTATACGATGGGTTTCCGTCGATGCGGCACTGGAGAACTAGCGAAAATTGTTATTTCCAGTGGAGCCCCGTAGACTGGTGGCCTGCATGTCAATTAAATGAGAGAAAAGAGACAAGGTTATTTTCATTTTTAGAGAGAGTGTTGATAACAATCTTCTGAAGATTTCCTCTTGGGGGAAATTTGGAGGAGACAATGAAGCACAAAAACAGGGGAGTCTAAAGTCTCACTCTTGAAATATGTATTAAAAGAAAACATAGCAAGATATATATTCCAAGAATTAGATTGTTACATATCTCGGTTTCTGTTGAGATATAGTTATCGTGCTTTTTCAGGTTAGGAAAAGTTCTAATGCCGATAAACTTCTTGCTCTTAGTATGTTTTCTGTGTTCAAGTATATTTCTACCTTTAATTTAGTATATAGAGATCTTTATTTCTTTCTTATTGATATCTGCTGTATGCTGCACTCAGACTAAAGATATAAATTATGTTGTCCCTCCATAGTACAGGTTATTTGGGATTTCCAATATGCTATGTATGGCCGCCCACTCTTTTCAATGCTACTTGGAAACATCCCCTCATCAGCAAGAACAATAATGACGTAAACCCAGTGTAATTACATATCTATCTAGGTACGTCGGGGTGATATTGCTGGCAGTCGCGCATGTTATGCAACCGGTTGCAAATTCCATGGCGCTGCCTCTCAAAGAAAAAGGCCAGTGGACAAAAGAAGCACCGCAAGATCAAAAGCGAAAACAGAAATGAAAAATTACGTAAATAGAAAAGTGTAAGCTGTGAAATATAGCCAAAGGAAAAAGGAAAAAAAAAAAAAAAAAAGGTGTATCCAGTATCCCTTTGAACAAGCAGAGTCCTTCCCAGTCGCAATTCATATGCAAGTTGTTTCTCTATTCGTTATCAACGCTTCGGTTTGGTGGTTTGTTTCATGTTTCATGTTTCGTTTTCCATTTCCAAGCCCTCGAGGCCTCCATTACATCATCGAGTTAACTGAACAAAAACAAAACAAAACCAAATCAAAAACAAATGGCACCGAAACCCACGGTTCGGACACGCAACAGAACGATCTCGGGTTCCGTCTCGCGCTGCGAGCCGCGGTTGCTCAGGGGTCGTCACAGTCGTCAACGGGTGCACATTTGCCGATCCCCTCCTACATATAGTTACGATCAAGTTTCATCAGCGATTAGCGAGTGGTTTTCTTCTCCGAGATTTCGTAACAAAGGAATTATCAAGGGGGAAAAGAGAATGATATCGCCCAAACAGCACTTACGAAATAGTAGTTTTTGCACGTAAGTCCCGGACAACAGTCGATATAATAGCCACAGGGAGCACCCTCGGGAGGGCATCGGGCGCTTAGCGTCTCTGACGTGGGCCGGCCCATGACGCTGACAGCGACAGCGATGAGTAGAGCGATAGAGGTCTTCATGGCTGGTTTTTTAACGGGGTGAAAATGGAAATGGAATAATATGTTCTTTCTTTAGGTTTCGGATGGTCAAAAGACGGAGGAGAATAATGTTGAAGAAATGAATGATGCCTTGGAGCTTTCTTATATATCGCTCTCAGAGGATGTTTGAGACATACAGGGATCCTGACGGGCTTGGGGGAGAAAGGATAATCCGGATTTCAAGCCAACCAGCGAGTTCCTTGTCGACTGTGAAAGAAGGACTGGGGGAGTAGCGTTATCCTTAAATATCTCCGATGGCGCTGTCGCTAGCATGCTGGCCAGGGAAGGTTGATGGCTGGGTGCTGCGCGGTGGATCAGGTTCCAAGGGCTGAAGGGCTTAGGGCCACCGATTAATTCGCAGTTTCATGCAAGTTGGATTGCATTTTCTAAGAATATGGCTCTTGTGATTCCAGGGCCTGAATGCAAAGCGCCTTCTGATGGTAATTTGCCGGGGTGAGCTTACGTCGGAATGGCCGTATGATCTTAGCAGAGTCATTTTCTTCAGTCTAGACTACTCTCAATTATTTTAGTGTGGAGTTGGGGGGCATTGAGAGCTATTTATATGGAATTGGCACGAAGTAATAAGAATCTATTGCTAGTTAACGTTAATAGATAAATTAACGGAGTGTTTTTGTGACTTATTCTGTTGACCTTGGTGCATTGTTTTTCGAACGGGCGGCGGGTGGTTTGTGTCATCGTTGGGAAACAATGGGCACCAACTCCCCCAACAGTTGGCGGTTTGTTGGTGCGCGCGAGGGCATGATCAACTGGCCCAGGCATTTAAACAATGGCAGCAAAATGCATGAAATCGTGGAGGGGTGAATATTGTTCCCTGGAACGCCAGCCTGCATTGCATTTCGAGGTGTCAGCCTGCAGAAATCGCACGACCCGTGCAACATGGATCATTATTGCCCTGCAGAAACATGCACAATAAGACGCAATTGTGCTTCATGCTTCCTGCTATGCCCGTTGTAATTCATCTACAGCACGGCGCCTCAAACTCAAACATAACCCACCATTTTCTTAAATGATGCGATGAATATGGGCAAGAAGCCGAGCAACGTCCGCATACTATCGATCTAATTTGAATAATACTACGGAATATATATATACCAATAGCCATTCATTCCCCCATTTGTGCTGTAGTATGACCCAATCACATGCGTAGGCTTGGGGTTATCCAACATCCGTCCATCCATGGATATGATGAAAACGTGAAGTTGCGTGCATGCAGGAAATGTATGAAGTGCATGAAGGCGTTCTTGATAAGATTAATGACCTAGTTTTTGATATAGATACTGTTTCATTCCTTCTCCTTTCTTTTTCTGTGTTGTGTCCCTGACCTTGTCAGCCGCACAGTTTCCATGATCAACAAACCCAGCTTTTGAAAATCTCATCATAACTGCCAATGCAAAACCAGAATAAATTCGGAGGCAGAGATGTCAACAACTGCTCTTTGGGGATTGGCATTCCTTCCGTGATTCTCAATTGAAAGGAAATTGGGTTGGTACTTTAGTTACTCAAAGTTATGTAGTAGTCGAAAGCGAATGTGCCCCGAAACTTATCAACTTCGCAGATTGGGTCCTAATTACCTACAGCGCACATACTGAGTGGCCCTCCAGATTTCACTTGAAGCCCAGTTTGACGTTTCCCCTCATCTCATCTCTCGCACGGACAATCAAATGGAACAGGGAGGAGAGCTTGCATTCGCATATGACATCAGCTATGTTGGCCAAGTTCCATGCTCAATGGCGATGAAAGAGATATGTAGAACGTTGAGCGTCTCTTCTCTGCAGAGGCCGGTTTCAAAAATTCTGTTTCACGCTAAGAATATAAACTGGAATATCATTGCTAGTGTAAAGGGTCTCTTGCTTGGGCTAGGAGCACAGCATTGATCACCTGAAAGGTAATATCTCTTTACTTAAGTGATGGAGCGGCAATACTTAATGCTGGTAGGGGTATCTCAATTTAAATTTATCGTGTGAGTCAATACTTTTGAAACCGTCCTCCCGAGAGATGTTCTTAAACATAAGGTCATCATGATGCATTTCCTTGAGAAATTCATAGGAGATAGGATCACGTGCGATTGCCGAAAATCCATGACTCTACTCAGGCGTATGTGACATCGATGGCTAACTCCTCCAAGTCTGTGGCCGTCGCGAACACCCTTGTCACGGCCCCCTGCATTAATGTGATCCACTCGTCGTTGAGCCTGGATGAAGCCTAGTTGTTGTCGCTGTTATCCATGCCCTCTGAAGATATATAAATGTGCTGATAGTGTTGAATGGGTTCAAAAAAAGCCGAACGGGGCTCAGATCTTCGTCAACGCGCTCTTCACTGAAATTGGTTACATTGCACTATGGAGATGAGGAACAGAAGTCATTGACTTGAGCACTAGAAATTCATATGGTAAGCCTGTTTCCATGCCATTTGTCCAAAGGATTTGGTATGTGTTTAGATCATGAGGTGGAATCATTGAACGCTGGCATTGAGTTTTTGTTTGAATTGCTGGCCTGTGCAAGAGCTTTTGTTCAACGCGTTCCTCGGAGTTACGGCGTGAGGTGTAGGGTCATTATCTTTAAAAAAAGAATTATATAACTATAAAGAGAGAAACATACCGAAGATAACGAGATCTCGATGATTATGTCACATTGACAGGTGCTGAATTTGTGACCAAATCACATCTACTGTACATAGTCTGGTGAGAGTTCCAGCTTAAAGGTGCAGGATTCCTGCTCTACAAGCGCTAGGCAAAATGCAGGCTATCAGTGGTTAGCTCTCAGCCATGGGTCGGCGAGCAAGTCTTTTGCACTGCTGCGCTCCTCTGGCTGCCATCGTAGCATTCTCATGATAAAAGCCAGGAAAGATATTTTGTCTTCGTCTTTGATCTGACTTAGAGAATCTACCAGGGAGACATTTTCTGGGATCAGTTCTGGATATCGGAATGCGCCTAATTAAATAGTGAGCAGTTACTCATACGAGAGCGGGGGATAAATGTACCATCATGGTCAAAATACTTTGTAGTCTCGCGACCTTGGCCGAGAAGCCTTTCCGGCGGTGGTCCCAATAGTGCGATCATATGCGTCAGATGCCTTTCACTCGTATATTCCATTTTGCCCGGACTAAGCGCCCCGAAGCCACCATCCTTTTCGAGCAAGTCCCATAACTATTCAATCAAAGAGGTTAATGATTCGTATAGATTCCATTAGACGGCTTGGTCTCCATACTAGAACTCCAAGATTCCATATATCTGCACTGTAGCTCCAACCTGAAGTGAGGATAACTTCTGGTGCACGATAGTCATCTGCCTGAATGGTATGGTAATACAGGTGAGGCACATCCCCACGTACAGCAAGACCAAAATCAGTAATTACTGGTCTTCCTATCCCTTTGGTCTGCAGGCCGAATCCATTTCGTGATAGATAGATTATCCGGTCTTCCAGAACCTTCTGAGGGAGAGGGTGTTCGAATTCATCGCGTGCAATGATATCCAATAAAGATTCGTCCCTCAACGCAATTAAGATATTATCAGATTTGAGATCTTTTGCATCGTCAGTCCATGTATTCCAGTAAGAATGCGTTTTCCGTGTTGCTGGAGATGTAGTTACCAGTGTGGATGATATGGCATTCACTGTGAAGGTACTCTAGTCCTTGAAGTACCATTTGAGCTATTAGCTTAAGGATATCTGAAGGTATCACGTCGTTTCGAAAGCGCTGTTTGAATATCCAAAGAGGTTCTCGTAAAGGATGAAAGACCAGGCATACATGTGTGCCATGTGGTCCACATAGTTTGAATGAGTCTAGCAGAGTTCGTACAAAGTCATGGCCAACATGCTGGGGATTTGCTCTCGTAATATGCTCTGTGGTATGTAATTCCGTTTCAGCAGACTTTTTATCCGCGTAGTTGTTTGTGCTGACCTTGACTGTAACATAACGCCGTGGTAGCCAGCGCCATCTGTGTTGTTAGCAACTGAACGGGACATGTGGGGGGTGGCAAACTCACTGATGTAAATCTTGTGCCAGCCACACAGTTGAACTTGTACCCCAACCGAGTTTCGCGACAACTTGATATCTATTATTTAGGACTTCGTATAAGCGTATAGGATAGAAATGGCTTGGGTTATATTGAGGGGTGTGTTCCTCCTCAATAGGCTCTGTCGCAGAGAGACCCGCGGCCACAGACACTGGCGCAGCGAAAGGAGTAGATTGGAAAATTCTCCGCGTGAACGTTATGGGTGCCTTTAGTCGAAGCATCGCTATGCAGGTTAATGCCCCACCAAGGTTGTTTCCTGCAACATTCACATCAGGAACAGCATTCGAACGTCGCCAACAACCTGTAGCTGGGCATCGTGATACAGTCAGCGAAGCCACGTTGAGAAGTTGATTGTGTTAGGCCACTGGGGCAAAAGAGCTCAATTACACCCGCTTTTTGCACATTTAGCTTATGCGGTCAGCCCTACAAACCGTTTGGGCTGCAATCTAAACTCTCAGGATGCGAAATCTCAGGTCGTGTATGGAAAACAAGGTCATGAACCTTATTCAAGGAATTTATTTGGCCATTTTTATCTCATATCGTCTTCAAGACAGCTTCAATTTTTCTTTTTATTGCTAACGAAAATATGTCTTGCAGATTAGACCAGTATATTCATGCTCCTTCATCAACAGCGTTAAGCTCTTCCTTTGAAAACTTGACCTCCCGTCATGATACCAATGTGCCGAAGTGATGCGAATTCCATTTTTATCCAGCAACTTCCCTGACACGCGAAGTTTGGGGTCTTGGGACGATTGATGCTCATGGCCCCTGGGAAGATGTGAACAAATTGTCTAGATATAAGGGAAGAATAAACATACGCAATTTCAACTGTCGCTACTCTATCTTTGAGCTCCGAGTTGTTTTCAACCGATTTCTCAACCATCTCGTCATATTTGGTTACGCGTTGAGTACCTTTCCATATTATTTGAAGCAAAGATCGAGCCGTGGATGAGAAGAATCGGGACATTGTGGAGAACGTGAGGTTATTCGATATCGAATTACGCAAAAGCAGGAGGAGGAACGCAAACCCATGAAATGAACATCTGTGGCTACTGATGTTTTGAAAGGACTTTGATCCCCTTTTATCCCTCCACCTGTGTTGGAGATTTCACTCTGTCAATTCACGTTCCACCGCTTTCATATCTTCCCATTCACACATAAGTGATTCCCAGAGAGAGTGGTGACGGGTAAGCGTAAGTGGAGTAACAGGACGGTGGGAGAATACCTTATTTTATTACAATTTAACCCATCTTCCACTCGTTATGTTCGTGTATGCTCGGGGAAGAATTGATAGGATCTAAAGTGAGGCCATCCGGCAACGGACAAAACTAAACCCCAACAACTTCTCTAATGGCATCTGCATCTACATCTGCAGCTGTTCTTCATCTTCCCCTTTCAATCATTGTATCGTGGAAGCAATTATGAAATAGAACTGAAGTACAGAATATTATATATCTAACTTCAAAAGGGTTGGAAGAAAATGACAACAAACATAACGAGAGCAAAGAATGGGACGACGAAAAGGACCTATTTAAAGCAAAAGCCGAGACAAGGAAAAGAAATTAGGCTAGAAAAGCGCGAGAATAAAGGTCCCTATCTAGACAGAAAAGAGGAACGGTAGACATGACACGTAACATGAACTGATGAAAATGAACGAGAGAAATAGGAGCCATTGAATAAAACATCTCTAAACAAATGATTACCCACTTATCAGCAAAACGGAACAAAACACAACTAGCTATCCCTGCCAGCGCCCCCACCCTTACTGAACTTGACTAACGATCTCACTAGCCCTCGACAAGCTTTCCACCATTTGCTGGCACTCCTTTCTCCGGCGGATGGTGTACTCGCTTTCACGGAGGAGGTCTTCTAGTTCTTCAGAGTGGTACATCTGGGCTAGAAGTTCGCGTTGCATTCCATCTTTGGTAAATCTGAGAATCTTGGTAAGTATACATGATAAAAAGAGAGAGCAAGAAACAAGGCATAGAGGGTATATGTTTTAGGAGGTGAATGGACACCACACAGAGAGATAAAGAAATGAAAACGTACTGAACGAGGTTAAGCATAACGGCCTTGGGTACCATGTCAATCATAGTTCTCTTGACGATATTATAGTAAGAGCTTATCAGGAGTTCTATTGAATTTTGGCGGTGTCGACGGTCAGTATACGGTGTCGTGCAGAAAATCGTGAAACGTTTCATGTGCTTGAGGGATTAGGAGGGAAATGGAACATACTAATAACTTCAACCTCAGCGTTCTCGCGTTCAGACAATGTCCCTGAAGCTTTGAGGGTAGGGGGTGGAGCCTCCATCGCAGCCATCTTCTTCTTATTCTTCGACGCGAAGAAGCTGCCGAAGAAGCCGCCGTTGGTATCCGACATGGAGTCGAGAGATGGGCTCGCCGCTCGTGGTACTGCGGATGGAGGTAAGGGTTTTCCAGTCTTGGGGTCAACCTGGGTTGGTTTACTGGCAGCATTCCGTTCGTTGACGATGGCCATCGCCTAATGTAAAGAGGGCGGTGAGTATAAGCAAGGATGACGGTGCAAAGAATGAGAAGAAAAAATGATATATGCTATTTACCCTATGCCCATTTAAGAAATCCGGATGGCCTGTATTGATATAGCAGGATTCCATCGCCACGAGATCCTTAACCAGTTTATTTGTGGGGTCCATTGCCTGTTTGAAAAATGAAATGACAACGCTATGGAATTTTTCCTTCAGCTGTGGATATCTGCGGAACGGTTGCTTGCTGAGGAGCTGGCCGAGGATGCGCACGAGCTCGTCGTAGACTAGTGATACGCATTTTAGACTTGGATCTTCGAGTCGCTTGATTTGCTGTTTCACGATAAGTTCGAAGGCGGTTGTCCCGATGAAGAGAGCCGGCGAGGAGCCCGAAGAGTTACACAGGATTGTTCGAATATCGACATCTTTGACTTGGTCAAATGGATCGACTGCCTTGACGCCATTGGAGTAGAGTTCATGGAAAACAAAGCTGATACGTGCACCGCCTGAGAGCTCAATGCTAGACAATTCCTGGTAGTTACCATCCAGAACTGTCCGAAATTCAGTGCAGAATTCTGTGATTATATTGAGGACGATGTTTGAGCTATTTCCGAGCATGGAGTCACCAAGTTGGGCCAGTTCTACGCTGTATTTCTGGAGAGAAGCTGCGATACGGGCTTTGATATCGGGAAGTGTTTGTTTAATGTGCATCATGAGAATCTAGATACGGTTGTTAGCTTCTATCGCAGAGAGGGGCATTATAGAATTATTGATTCAGTCCCGGCTTACCAAATTCAATTTTCTCGCCAGATATGGCGTTCCGCAGTAGGATGACTTATTCCTATAGGCCTTGTGGTTCTCAAAAAAGTTTTTCTCGTGCTCCAAAGCATAGGAAATAGGTCTTTTATTCTCAATATCCCGTTGCCCACGGTTGACGACAGGGACATAGCCTAGCCGCAAGGGAATAATTCTGCCAGCAAGAATATCTACCACATCTGTGCCTGCATCCATAAGATCCACTTTCGTAAGCACACCAATGGTACGTTGCCCTTCCGGGTCGACTTCCCGCGCGAGTTTCAGGCCATCAGAGTTGGCAAGGTCCTGGTTCGCAGCGGTGACGGCGAGGATGATAGCATTAGGCTTGCTGATCTGCTTCAACACCATATCTCTTATTTGTTTCTCGATATCTTTCGGCTGATCTCCCACGGGAACTTTGGTTAAACCGGGCAGGTCGACCAAGGTAAGTGTCAGGACGTTGGGGGAGAATATTCTCAGATTAATCGGTGCTGGCGAAATGCCCGCATTGCGCCCAGTTTTCTGCTCCGTCTCGCGTACAATCTCATCTCTGATCTTGTTGAAATCGTAAAACTTCTGGCCAGGGATATGTAGGAATTCGCCATATTCGTCCAAGTTAGCTTCCTTATCGGTGGTTTCCAGTTTCTCATCCTTAACGCCATTCGTCTGCGCTTTCGAGGAAGCAGGTCTGTTGATAAGTTGTAGGACTAGTGGCCGTCGAGTTACAATTCCTGAACCTCTAGGGAGACTAATTTGATCAAAGGGAAAGAGGAAAAGGAAGTAGACACCCATCAGTTGGACTATTCTCCCGGAAGACAATTGGAAACGGCGCAACTCACAAATCTCTTCCGACGATATTTTCCAATACGGAACTTTTTCCACTCGACTGCGAACCAACAACCACTATCTGTGGAAGATCAATGGGATTTTGTACCTAGATGAGAGCAGTATCAGCATCGTTATCGGCATCGGTATCCCATGTGTCGTCCAGGGATGTGGAGTGGGAGCAAAGAACATACTCCAACGGTCGTGAAGACATCCTGCAGCTTATTTACTAGTGAAATAAGACTGGGGTCATTGACGTTTATTCTATTCGGCGGTGGAACCGACACACAATTTGCGAGTTAGCCAGCTATATATCTAGAGCAAAAGCGGCGAGAAGCAAGCCATATGGGGAACGCACGAGTAACCAGATGGGGTCGCCGACATGTCGGGCGAAAGTAACATTCAAGATAGCTCACTGTTATAGAAGATATAGAATAAGGCCAAAGATAGTTATCGTGAGAAGGAATGCTTTTGGGTGCGGTGTGGTTTGGGCATCACGACGGAGAATGAATGATGAACTCGCATGATGATAATAATAGGCTGGTCATTTTATATGATGACTAAGCAGGCAGTTATCTTCCACACGACCATGATTTTGTTCTTCAAGATAGATGCTCTTTAGGCATCTGCATTTTTTCAGCAGCACGAGAGGCGGTGACTGTTTGCCGCGTCATTTTGGTTTCTGGCAGCCCACTCATTCCGCTCAAACTATTGTCGTACCATGCCAGTACTAGTATTTATTGCGAAACGTTCTCTGGCCGAGCGAACCCGGGCGCTAGGAGCTGAAGAAAAGTTACAAGGAAAGCAAAATTCACTGTCTATTGGAGTATCGGAGCAAATCGAAGAGTGCATCCATGCATTCACGGAAAGTTCCTCGGTACAAAGCATGCGCGCTGGAAACTGCTAGTGCGAAAGATCCTCAACGGAATAGGCAGATATATAACATATATGTCTAGACGGGAGTACTATCCTGATACATACTTCAGATTCTGCTATAATCAAGTTGTGTGTATGTACCCTGTTGGTGGCATAGGCAATTATTGAATGACCGTTATTTTGAACATGAAAAGAAAGGATACCCCCATAGAGAGGAAGTCAAACGAAATACTCTCTCTCTCTGTCCTTCCATCAAACTCATCGGAATAGTATCATACAAACTGCTATATAACAGGCCAGGCCAGGCCAGATCGAAAAGCCCTATCCATTCCTCGTATTACGGAACAAATTCTCTTGGGGAAATTAAATTATAAAAAATCAAAAACAGATGTAGGAAGCCGGATCTCATGGTCAAATGCTTGCCATCTATTAGACCATCCAGCACAAACAATCATTGAAGGGACACAAAAACTAGACACTACGCAAAATCACAACCGCCTTTAGTATTGTAGAAGCCATGGGCAACCAGTTTAGAACCATTCCCACCAGCTAGAACCCAAAAAACAAAATAAAATAAAGGAGGGACACGTATGCGGGTCTCGCAAAAAGATAATAGGGCCTATATAAAAAGGATGGATAGAATTAGAGGAATGGGAAGATATATATGTAAACCGTTTTAATCATGCAACCAAATTCCTCTACAAGTCAGATACCGATGCGAACTTCTCAGACATATCCTGAAGGATTTTTTCGTACTGCAATCCCATGAAAAGTTAGATATCAAATACGATATTCGGGTGAGAAGGGGGGGGGGGGGGAATGGAATGGGGTAGGAGCCATCCATACCTTTTGGGTTACAGCCCGTTCATCATCGGGCACCTCAAACTTCATCCCCCGCAACGCATTCTGGATGTCTGCTGTCGCCTCGCGGACCTTGGCCCAACTCTGGCCTTGCGCGATGGCCTTCTGGCTTTCGTCATGATATCCCATGAACGCCTTCATCATGTATTCTGTTTTCCACAATGGGCAAAACTGGTCGTAATCGCTGTAGCCGTTCTGCTGTAAGAAGTCATCCTTGAGCAGCGCCGCGATGTCCAGTGTAATCTTGTCCGGGTCGCCGAGGGCTGATTTACCAACGAGTTGCACGACCTGGTCTAGGTCTTCGGAGTTGGTGAGTAGCTCCTTGATTCTATCCCGGAGCCGGGGGAATTCCGGATGGTCCTTGGCGTAGTATTTATCGAGCACGTTGGTGTATTTGCTGTAGGAAACGGAGGTATTGATGGATGGGAAATGCTTTCGCTGCGCAAGCTTCTTGTCAAGACCCCAGAAGACTTGGACGATGCCAAGCGTGCTGGACGTGACGGGGTCGGAGAAATCGCCACCAGGGGGGCTAACGGCGCCAACGATACTGACACTTCCTTTCCGCTCGGGGCTTCCAAGCGCGATGCTCAGTCCGGCACGTTCGTAGAAAGAGGCAAGTTTGGCCCCAAGGTAGGCAGGGAAACCTTGGTCAGCGGGCATCTCTCCCAAACGTCCTGAAATTTCACGGAGGGCCTCAGCCCAGCGAGAACTGGAGTCTGCCATCATGGCGACGTTTTTACCCTGATCACGGAAGTATTCCGCGACCGTGATACCTGTGTAGATGGAGGCCTCACGGGCAGCGACAGGCATGTTGGAAGTGTTGGCAATGAGGCATGTACGTTTCATAATTGGTTCCTTGCGGCCGTCAATGTTGATTGAAAGCTGTGGTACCAGTTAGTCCCAATCCTGAAAATAAGTCTGTGGAAAGCATCCTACCTCTGGGAAATCCATCAGAACTTCAGCCATCTCATTTCCACGTTCACCGCACCCAACGTACACTATGATGTCACTGTTCGAGAATTTGGAGACACTCTGGCTGATAACAGTCTTCCCGCAACCAAACGCACCGGGGATACACACTGTTCCACCTTGAACACTGGGGAAGAGAGCATCAAGGACGCGCTGGCCAACAATGAAGGGAGTATCAGAAGCCAGCTTCTCGCTGACCGGGCGAGGAACACGGACCGGCCATTCGTGGGACATACCGAACTCCTGTTTCTTACCATCAAACTCAACCTCCAGGAGCTTTTCATCAACGGTATAGCTGCCCGGACCAGCGATGCGTGTGATGGTCCCTCTCGCGCGAGGGGGGAGCAGGATCTTATGGTCGTTCAGCAAGCTGTTTTCCCACACGCTACCCCATATGTCGCCACCGGTGATGTGGTCTCCAACTTTAAAGTTTGCTGGTTTGAAATCCCATTTCTTTTCTCGGTCGAGGGCTGGGATAGAGATGCCGCGGGGGATGTAGATACTTTGGGATGCGTCTGAAATGGCTTTGAGGGGTCGTTGAATACCGTCATAGATGGTTTCCATCAATCCTGGCCCAAGTTCTACAGATAATGGTTTCCCTGTTCTCACGACCGGATCGCCGACAGTTACTCCAGCTGGAAGGCAAGAGGATGCGAGTCAGTTTTGAGTCCGAGGTGTGTCGTTTGGAGGGGTTGTCCTGTATCATATTCACCTGTTTCCTCGTAAACTTGAATTGTTGCCTTATCTGCATCGATTCGAATGACTTCTCCAACGAGTTGGTCATAGCCCACTCGACACTACCAAATGTGGATTGAGATCAGCAAATATGATTTCAGGTGGTGGGACTTTTTGGAGAAAGGATATAATATATATATATATATAGTGGGTACTTACCAGCTCGTACATGGCGCAACCGATCATATTCTCCGCAACCACGACAGGCCCAGAGACAGAGTAAATAGAGCCATGTTTCCCCTCATCGGCGCCAGGCCGAGGATTCTTCGAGCTCTTTGGCGGCATCGTGGGAGGTGGGGATTGCGGATTATCGGGGTTGGGAGGGGGGAGGGGAGCTGGGGTTTCGTTGGAGGGGTTGAGGCGGTGGTGGTTGTAGTTGTGGTGTAGTTGGTCGGAGCTTGGAAGCCTGACGTTGTGTTGTAGCGCAGGTGGATCTTCCAGCGACGCAGCAATAGGCGTGGAGGGACGACTGTATGTTTGGTTTTTGGGAGCAATGAGATCTATGAGGGACGGCCGTGACTTCAATAACGATGGTCGACCTAGGCCCAGCATGTGTGAACCAGGGACTTAAATCCCGTTTTGTGGTTATTGAATTATGTGGCCTAGTTGTTGATTGGGGTACAAAAGTCAGTTTAGGTTCAATCGACCGACAACTCCAACCGCATCGTCAAATATTTCCTCAGTCCCCATCCCAAAACTGTCTTAAATGAACGAAATATCCATGAATTCGCAGAAGTCTTGAATATCATCCAAATATTGATTTCAACGCTTCTTCACAACTTCACAAGCAATAAATGGTTTGAGATTAGTCTGAAACCCAAGTATTTCTGTTAGTCAAGGGTTTCAAACTCATTGGGCACACCTCCATAGATACGGACTTCTCTTGAATTCTCCTTTGGAGAGGATAGGCGAGCTATTATGAGACGATTAAGAACTCCCAAGACTGGGATCACTGTTATTATCCCGCACCACCTTGACATGTTGACGGGTACCTGCAACTGCATACCCATTTCTAGTCCTGTTGTACCTGCAATATGGGGCGGGTGGTTTATACCAACCTGAAAGCTCAGCGGCATCATGGCTGTTTTTGGTATTGTAGCAAGGCGCCTTGCGGCTAGAGCAACCCGCACACCAGCTGCGTACTTTACAATAATTCTCTCAGTTGATTCAAACCCAACTCTCCAGATTCTAAGCCAGCTTTTATCCAGAACTGTTGATTTCTTCCCTCTGAAAACCACCCTCTGCACAAGCCTTGTCTGCGATCTGGAGCATTGACTGAGACCATCCAATTTTGATTGAAATCGAAAGACTGGGAGGCGGGTAGGTCTGAATGCTTTTTGGAGAGTCTGATACTCACCGATGATCCGTAGTTTCCTTGAGGCCCTTCAATTTTGTGAGGAGATGTAGGTGTTGGAAAGGCATGCTGATGGATTTACATGGCATACTCTGACATTTTGAATCCGTTTCACTGTGCGAAAGAGCTTCACATTTCATGAAATTCATTGAACATTTCTTGATGAAGAGTCCATTGATCATTGACAGTCTCCAGACGGCAAGCTGGCCCTTCTCTCAGCTAGATGGGTTGGATGGGCCTTATTCAGATGAAGCTACCGCAAACTCAAGACAAGTGCTTAGATATGCGCAGTACTCGGCATTTTTGGTATTTAATGAGCTGATTTGATTTTTTTCGTCAAATATGCAAAGGCAGGAACAGCACCAAACGCTTATTGAAGGTTCAAGACGTCAAAAATGATAAATACATTCACGTCTCGAAGACGGTCCGGACCCTCCGTAGAGGGTGTGGAATATGTCCTTGCACACACTACTCCGTAGAAATCCAAACAATACTAGGGCTCCGATAACTTCCACACCCCATAGGGATTGAACCCCTAATTTAGCAACCAAAGGTTAGGCACCATGCCCCCAAGCTTAATAACCCCAAATCCTTTGGGAATTGGCCAACTGAAATGAAACGGGTTTTATCACCATTTCCAAGACGTATCAGGACTTTGTTCCCAAGCCAAATTTAATGCCCTGCCCACATGATTAGGTCAAGGTACGCTAAAATTAGCCAGGACACAGCCATTCTTCTCTCCCTGAAGTTCTGTTAGACTTGCAGATAAGAAATTTCATTTCTTCTCTTTCTGCAGGTCTCCGGTTAACAAACGAATGACAAAGGGCAATTCGTTCATTCATTATCCTGTCCTGAAGCAAGCATTGTTAATTATTATTGTCCTGAAACGCGGGACAAGTAGTTTTATAACCACCTATCAACCTCAGGCTAGGCCTGTTCTCGGAAGCGCCACGCCATATCACACTTCCCTGCTTCCAGTCCCGCGTGAACAAGTCTTTGGCTGTCAGGGGACGGACCGACTCAGGTCAAGGGAGAGGGGCAGAGAGTACATTAGCTCTGCATTATTTCTTTTGGCGCTGGGTTGGAGAGTAGTGATCAGAAAATATCTCGCTAGAGCCTGGTGACAGGATCGTGAGAGTGGGCTGTGTGCATATATCAGGTGCTTGACAGTTTATCATCATTACTATTTACGAGGACTTATTGCTTGCCACCGGCCAATTTGTCTGTATTTTTCGAAGTTGCCTAGACTCGAACAAAACGAGTAACAAGCCCTCGGTATGCTGGGGGTTATGAAAGTTAGGAGCAATCTTTGAAGAAGCTTGATATTGAGTCGGCCAGACATCATCTTAAATGGTGGGGTGCAGAGTAGATTAATCTATGAGCCAACACAGAATAGAAGAGTCTGAAATGAAACAACCAGCTAGAGCTTGAACTGCAACGAATGTCTCTTCGCTTTGCGTGACAAGAGCCGTATTTGATGTGAGATGTTTGCTTCGAGCAGACTGATGGCGAACTCACAGGGAAGGAATGTAATATTACGTCACTGGGATACCTCCTGTATTTTTATTGTGTATCTGTATCTCTGATAAGGATTATCCGAGTGCTGCGTATGGTACAGTACAGTACAAGCACTTCGATGAAACAGTCATTGAGTTAGCCAATACACAAGTATAAGTACCTCCGTACAGTTATAATACAGCTTCATCATGTGCAAATAACTCACACTCAACTATTAATAATTGTTCCAGCTTCATCTGCTGCGTTTCTGGATCTTGATTCTCCGGTCTGTAACTGTGACTATTCTCCAGCAGAAAATCCCTCTCTGGTTCTTATGAGTCGCTTCTGTCCAGGTTGTTTCATCAAATTAACGATTGATGGAATTCCAGTTTGATACTGACCAAACCAGTTAGCAACCGCTGATGGTCACTGCAGTCTTGGTTCCTCGCTTTCCACACCCCCACGAAGACGACGACGACAGCAAAGCAATATTCTAGTTGGCCCCAGTTTTGTCAACCTCCTAGCCATCGACCATATCTCACCATTACCATAACGTTCTCAAGGTTGCAATTCAGGTGTTGTTGCTGCCCCAGGGTTCCTCCCCAAATTTCTGGTTCGCCCAAACTATTATTACCTCATCCTGGTTCCTCCGATCATTTATCGTTCTTCTCAACATCAACTGCATTTTTGCAGACGTAAGAAGCTCATGCCCAACCCTCCCAAGGCAAGCCAATCAAGCATACCAGCTTATCAGGCACTGCGAATCTAGCATCATCACGAATCCAAAGTTCAGAAAAGCTCGCGGCGTTTAGCCAGCTCCAGAGCTTCGAATCTGGCTGCACAGCGCTTTACGCTTCCTTTGACCAGAGAGGCCTATTCAGCTGGTTCTGTATAGAGCCAGGCTGAGAGGGCTAAGTAGCAAACATCGATCTGGCAGACGAATCTCCTTCACATACTCCCGCCTCAGCCGCTTCCGGCCCCTCCAACCTTTCTACAAGCATCGAATCCGTACCTTCTACGAGCATCCCGACTCCTACAGGCTCCGTCACACACCATTCCTCGACCCCATCTAGTGCCCAGATCACTCACGAGAATATTCCTCAATCCCTTCAAAGCAACGAATTACCCTCGAGGCTTCCAGGCTTAGGTTTACATACCGATCGTAGTGAGACTGTTCAGCTTGGATCCCGCCCGACTAACCGCCGCCGTCGTCGGGAACGAACTCCTCCTGATCAACCTGAGAGGCCCGGGTCGAGGTCTGGAAATATTGGTAGACGCAGACATTTGGCTGAAGAGCAAAGTAGGGGTCGCAACAGGGACGACATTCCTCCTTCCCCCAAGCGCAGGCGCCTGGCTGATAGCAACATGCGTCCCGACGATGGAGCTTCAACTTCAAACGCAAACGGGTTTTCTCCCAAATCAAATGGCTCAGCCGCTTCCTTGAAAGCCCCTGTTTCCACCTCAGTTAACGGCAGATCTCCTCATTCCAGTTCTAATGGCCAATCCCAAGCAAATGGTTCGGGCAAATCACCCGCATCTCTGTCACCTACATATTTTGGCCATGATCGGGAGGAGGTGACGAGGATCCTGATTCAAAGCTTACATGATCTGGGATACAACGAGGCTGCGTATACTCTGAGCCGGGAGTCTGGGTTTGAGCTTGAAAGCGTCGCTGCGGCTTCATTTAGGTCATCAGTACTTGATGGACGGTGGGCAGATGCGGAGGATATTTTGCTGGGCTCGTATCATCCAGATGGAGGAGGAAATGGGGCCAGTGGAGGGGAATGTGGAGGCGGAGGGAAGGCTATTCTCCGTAAGGCCGACACCGATCTGCTTTCTGAGCATGGCCCTCTTGTTTTAGCTGAGGGGGCAGATAGAAATGAGATGCTCTTCTGTTTAAGGCAACAAAAATTCCTCGAATTGCTAGAGCAACGAGATCTTGGAACGGCATTGATGGTTCTCCGGCAGGAGTTGACGCCGTTAAACCACGATATCGCTCAACTACATGCACTCTCCAGGTGTGTGATACTTCGAAACAAACAAGTTATGCTATATCTTCTCGCTAACGCTTGCTAGTCTTTTGATGTGCCCCGCAGAAAATTTACGAGCGCAAGCGGGTTGGGATGGCACAGTACTGCAATCACGGCAGAGGCTACTAGGCGAGCTATCAAGTAAGCTACCATGGAATAACAATAAAAAATGGAAAAGAAAAGAGAAAGAGAGAAGTACCCCATTTCACCGTGATAATGATCCTAATTTTCTTTAATCTAGGATCTATATCGCCTGCTGTTATGATTCCCGATCACAGATTAGCAGCTCTACTGGACCAAGTTAAACAGACTCAGATCAACCAATGTCTATACCACAACACCGCTGAACCCCCTTCACTTTATTCAGATCACCAGTGCGACCGAGCCCAATTCCCTTTGCGAACATCCTTCGAACTGAGTGAACATACGGATGAGGTCTGGTATCTCGAATTTTCCCATGATGGCACCAAACTTGCAACGACTGGCCGTGAGAACATCGTGATCATATACGATGTTGCAACTTTCAGCGTCATCCACAGACTAACGGACCATGGCGGCCCAGTTGCATATGCAACATGGAGTCCTGATGATTCCAAGCTCATCAGCTGCTCTCAGGATTATAAAGCTCGGCTGTGGGATGTGGAAGTATGTTTAACTCTCTACTTTCAAACTTGGTTTTCGGTACTAACCGATCACATCTAGACTGGGCATTGTATCCTTACCATCGATCACCATCATGAGCCAGTAACTTCTGCCGCATGGGCACCAAATGGTGACTCCTTCGTCACCGGCTCCCTTGATTGCCAATCCCAACTCTGCCATTGGAGCGTGGCAGGCGAATCCCTCTACAAGTGGACCGGCCAATACAGAGTACGAGACTGCGCCATATCTCCCGACGGCCGTCGACTCATCGCCATATCCACGGAGAAAAGGATCTACGTCTACAATTTCGAGACTCGAGCCGAGGAATATAATATGTCCATAAAACTCGACCTCACATGCATTAATATAAGCCTGGATTCGAGATATATGTTACTAAACACCTCGGAATGCGAAATGCAGTTGTTAGACATCGAAACAAAGGAAGTTGCCCGACAGTATTTGGGGCAGAAGCAAGGGAACTATAATTATATTATCAGAAATAGTTTTGGTGGAGCTGCGGAGAATTTCGTCGTGAGTGGTAGTGAAGGTAAGCCGATAAAAGTCTGCCTCATACACCTGTTTTCCACGTTACTGAGAAAGGACGACTCGATAGATTCCAAAATCCACATCTGGCACAAGGAGAATTCGACGCTCGTTGCAACACTTCAGGGCCACGGTGCAGGTTGCGTCAATGCTGTATCGTGGAATCCAAAGGATCCCGGAATGTTCGCTTCTGCAGGGGATGACCGAAAAGTTCGAATGTGAGTTTTTGTCGGAAAAAACCCCATTGACATACACTAGTTACAAATTTAACTAACACGCTGTTTCACTGCCAGATGGACAAGAGATCCACCAACCCGCACACCCGTTTCTGGGAAAGTACGGATGGTACCATCGAACGGTTCGGCACGGACAAGCGCGCTCCGGTCTACATTCAATCGATCCCCGAACTTCTAAGCTAGTCAAATCGTGCTATACCTGTGCGAACGCGCTCCTGAATATTCGAGATAGATAAATAGTGGCTCTCGCTCCCTTGCATCAAATCATAATTCAACCACATACATGATTACGCCATCCCCTTCCATGACATCAGAAAACAGCCCGTTTCTCGGCCGTCTCCACTTTATCTTTGTATGAATTGCATTTGTTTATTTTGGTGCAATCAACAAATCCAAGTATCAATGAAGCCAAGTATTACCTCATGATAAAACACTGCCTCAAGCGCGCACATGCACGGAGAGTCATACAGAGAGAATGGGGAGAAGGAGACCTATCCCGCCACTCACATCTCTCCAGAGACAAATACACGGCATCCGATTGGAGATTATATATCTATATATATTCCTATTTCCTTTATCTTTCCCCTTTCCTTTTCCCTCCGAACCGCCTCTTAATCACTTCCAACAACCCCACTTATTCTCTTTTTTGGTTGCGGTTGCGACTTTTAAACCCGATAGTCATACTCATTTCCACGGCCCCAAATTTCAACATAACTATTTCACTTTATTATTCCTTATCACGGGTTTGGCATTCATGGACGCTGCTTGAAGTTGGCTCTCTTACTGGGTAGAATTTATTGAGATTTCTTTTTTCCTATTGTTTTTATCTTTTTAATTTTGATTTTTCTTTTAGCATCCACATTGGTGCAGGGTTTAAGACGCGAGAAGGGAAAAGGGGTGCGATGTGGGCTTTCTTATTTGCAGTTTTATTATTCCATTTCCTCATCTCCTGACCTTAACCTTTACCCTCTGCTCTCCACTACCTCTCTATCTGTCTTTATTTTTTGATTTGATTTTCCCTTTCCCCTCCGCTTTGCTATGAATGTATGTATGTAAGGTCTAATTCATCCCACGCCTCTTGACCAGCCCCTCGCCTTCATAACATTTTGTTGTTGTTTCGAACTCGCTAGCTCCGTTGCTATTCGATCCCTCTCCCATCCTTTGTATTCCAGTGGCGGGTTTATTTCTGTGCTTTTTATTTCGTTTTTTGAAGTTAAAAGCCAGGTTTGAACTGGAGCTTGGAACTTCGAGCTTGGCTGGGGGTTGGAGGAAAGGGAGCTATGGTTTGTCTTAATCACGGCTATGACTATATTGGAACGTGGTTGAAACCTGTAGGAAGCAGCAACAAACTGTGATATAGGATAATATAGGCCTTTTTAAGGTGAAATGATATGTAAATATGATACCTCAATGTCTAGGTATTTCTACGGAGGATGGAGGGTAATACATTACGTTGATATGTTCTCATTGTCGGATTCATATACTTATACTATGTATGGAATTCGAGTTGTATATAGTAAATATTTGTCTGTTTGTCTGTTGGAGTAATGCAGGCATTATCAACTGATACCCCCGTACTATATACATAGCTATTGTTTGCATTTGAGCTGCATGTTGTGTATCCATTTCCTTTTTTCATTTTAATATTGCATCCCCCGTTACCGACAACAGTCGATTAGAAAACGCCAAAATGGGCCAATTAACGACCCTGACAGACAGACGTTTTCACATTTCGAGTGATAGCTCTCTTACGGTTACAATATAGATATATGTGTGCACGGATCACGTCCAGAGTTTCGCCAAAAACCCCAGCGGAACTGAAGGGGTCAAGATGTCTGGCTGCTTAATTGAGGAAATGATAGTTAGATAGTTAGGTAGAAACGAGAATTAAATTATCCCCTATGTAGGAGAGATCGTATGCTCGCAGGAAGAGTCAACTGGCGAATAAAGCCGTGATGTCTCTACAGGGTTTAGGGGGAGCAGCTCCTTCAATTAACTTGTACAGTCTCCGCGTTCTCGAATAGAGAGAAACATGGTTAAGGAGCCTGAACGCCCTTTGTTTACTCTTTTCATTTTTAAATCACCAAAGGTGTGAACCCTTGTTTTTTGCTACCTACTTAATTGACAGTCACAGCACTACCCGTATCACATCCAGTTCTATAACATAACAGAAATCATTGGAATTAAGAGATTCAATGGATTGGTAGAATCGGTGAAGGTTTCATTGCCTAGTTTTCATTATGGCGAATAGACCCAGGGTAATAACTGTGTCATACTCGACGGTTCAAAATTGGGACTCTTAAGATATCTCAATTTGGATATTAGATTTAGGAAGAAGAAAGAAATCGAGGGTCAGATGGATTAGGATCTGGGTAGTAGCATGTCATTGGCAGCACCAATGGAGGACGTTGGTGAGTTAATTTCACTGAAAAAGAAAAGGATTCCTGACAAAGAGGTTATGGAGCGGAGTGAGATGTCAGTTTCGATTTCACAGAGCAAACTGCATTAGGGAATATCAATAGAGCGAAGGAGCCCGTTTGTGGATTCACGAATAATGTCCGAACATACCAATTTAAAATATACCCCGTTTCCTCCACAAGTTCCACTAGCCTTATCTACTCGCATCTTAGGGCATTCAATGCGGTAAGAATGAGCCGCGAGTCTACCCACCTCGGACCTCACTGGCGGCGAACGGAATCAAATGCCAATTTGGATTTTTGAAAATGCATTCATCAACAAAAGAGGAAAGGCATGCTCTACATTTGTGCTCCACGATAGCGCAATTACGTGAGAAGGTCGGCAACTATTGGATTGTATTAGCCACAGGAACAAACGCGACATCGGCTTGTAACGGAGGTAAAATAACGTACCATTCATTGGCATCTCATCGATCTGGGTAGAGTAGTATAATTCGATGTCTCTGAGGATTCTGACATCCTCGCTCGTGACGAAGTTGATAGCAACACCCTTCCGTCCAAAGCGGCCACTTCGTCCAATTCTGTGGATGTAGTTCTCACGATTGCTGGGAAGATCGTAGTTGATGACTAGAGATACCTGCTGCACATCGATACCTCGAGCCCAGACGTCAGTGGAGATAAGGACGCGGGAGTTTCCTTGACGGAAGTCCTGCATAATGCTATCACGCTCCTTTTGCGGCATTTCGCCATGCATACTGGAGACGGTAAAGTTGGCTTCGCGCATCTTATCCGTAAGCCAGTCTACCTTGCGTCGCGTGTTGCAGAATATCACGGCCTGGGTGATTGTGAGGGTATCGTAGAGGTCGCAAAGGGTGTCGAATTTCCATTCTTCTTTCTCCACTGCAATGAAGTATTGTTTGAGCCCTTCTAGGGTAAGCTCGTCACGCTTGACAAGGATGCGAACTGGGTCTGTCATGAACTTTGTGGTCATGTCGAGAACATCATAGGGAAGAGTTGCAGAAACGACCACAACCTGCGTGGCAGGAGGAAGATAGCGGTAAACATCATAGATTTGTTCGCGGAATCCGCGGTTTAGCAGTTCGTCAGCTTCGTCAAGTACCAGCATCTTGATATGACGGGTTCGGAGGTGGCGACGGCGGATCATATCGGCAACACGGCCGGGGGTGCCCGAAACGACATGCTGGCCATGGTCCAGCTTCCGGATATCCTCACCAACGTTAGTGCCGCCGATACACGCATGGCATTGGACATTCATGTAGTCCCCCAAGGCCATAACCACGGATTGGATTTGGGTGGCAAGCTCTCGCGTTGGCGATAAGACAAGGGCTATATACAAACTTGTTAAAAACTGGAAAATTCGTGAGGAAGGAGAAACTGACCTTGAGTTTCCCTCAGAACTGTATCGATGACTTGTAGAATACTGATTGAGAATGTCGCAGTTTTACCAGTGCCTGACTGGGCCTGCGCGATGGTATCGCGGCCCTTGCAGATTTGGACGATTGCGCGAGACTGCACGGCTGAAGGCGATTCGTATCCGTACGCATAAATTCCACGTAACAGGTTTTCCTTCAAGTGCATATCCTCAAAGGTTGGCGCGACAGTCACTTCCTTTGATGTGGTAAACTCCATCCTCTCTATCACAGGTGTTCGTTAGAGAAGAGCTGCGAAGAAAATAGGGGACAATACGTACCCTCCGCCGTTCTATCGATTCCGTCCGCCATAATGAGTATTCAAGGATTCAAGCTAGATCGGTAAATTAGAATAATATAGGGTTTCCTTTTGATGTTGGTTTGAAGAACGAATTGAAGCTTCGAGATTGTGCTGAACAAAGTTCTGCAGAGTTTGCTTTGTTTGCTAGCTCACGTGACGGCGCGCAGCCTTTGCCAGTTACCAAATGCTCGCAATTAATTCACCCTGCAAAGGAACAAATTTCCAGAGCCGATGTCGAAAAGTAAAACGCCATAGAACCGTCGCAACCATGATAATAGAAGATCAGCGATTTATCCATGAAGATCTAGAGAGACTTGAGCAGGGGATCAGTGATCGGGTAGCGGACGAGCCCCGTAATGTAAGCCCACTCTCCTCTACCTTTTGTTTCTCACATCACGCAGCTTTAATAACCAATTCCCTGCAGATCCGAGAGCGGTTAAACCGAGACCACCAGATTGCAGGTTTCCTTAATCGAATCCAGCAACAATCTGAAAGACTCCTAGATATCTACAAAGATGCGGAAGGACTGCGAGCAAAGGAGGTCCAGGCCATCTCAACCGGTGAGCCTTTTGATGAATTCTACAAACGTCTAGAAAACATCAAAGATTTCCACCGACGATACCCTAACGAGCATGTTGAAAATCTCGAGCGAGCGTACAAGAGAAGGCATCCGGGAGAGAGTGAAGGGTTTGGAATGGAAGTGGAAAATATGTTTACCGGAGAAGAATCGTATGGCCAGTTTTTCGATCTCACGAAACTCCATGAGGACTACCTCAATCTACCAGGCGTGAAACGGCTCACATACCTACAGTACCTTGACCTGTTCGACGCGTTCACACAACCTCAGCTACCCATCAAGCGAAGCAGCAAGCTCACTGATAAATATTTCCAATATGTCGGTGATCTTGCTGCGTACTTAGAGAGCTTTATAAAGCGAGTTAAACCTCTGGAACCTCTTGAGAAGCTTTTTAATGGTTACGATGAAGAGTTTGAAAAGCTATGGCAAGAAAGCAAAGTTCCTGGCTGGGAAGACGAATCTACAACGGAAGCCTCGTTTGTCCCGAAGACTGAAGGAACAGGTGAAGGAATTTGGTGTACAGATTGCGAAAGGGAATTTAAAAACGAAAACGTATACAAAAATCACCTCACTGGGAAGAAACACATTCGCGCTGCGGAGGCCCGTAAGGCTTCTGGAACTGCCATCAATGGCTCAGCACCGCGAACAAGCGGCGACGCTGCGATTCGTCGCTTGAAGGAGCGTGCAATCGCGGAAAGAGAACACCGTGTTCGATCGCTGGCCACAACCCTTAAGGAAGAGAGGAATGCCACGCGCATTAATGTGGAGCGGAAGCAAGGAATGACGGAGAGAGAGCGGCAAATGGAGCTCGATGCGCTGTTTGCAGAGAGTGCAGAGCCACCTGGGATCCGTCACTGCGATTCTGATTCCGACAGTGATAATGAGGAGAGGATATACAATCCCCTTAAGCTACCGCTGGCTTGGGATGGAAAACCAATCCCCTACTGGCTATACAAGCTGCACGGCTTAGGGGTGGAGTTGCCATGTGAAATTTGTGGTAACTTTGTCTATATGGGACGACGCGCGTTTGACAAACACTTTTCAGAGGCTAGACATATCTACGGACTAAGGTGCCTTGGAATCACACAGCAAACCAGCTTGTTCCGAGAGATCACGAAAATAGAGGAAGCGCTGAGACTCTGGGAGAAGCTTGAACAGGATCGGAAGAAGGAGAAGGAGTCTCGAGAAAACGTGGTGCAAATGGAGGATGCTGAAGGAAATGTGATGCCAGAGCGAATTTATCTCGAGTACGTATTCCCTGCGCTCTTATTTTTGTACTTGGAAGTGTGCTAACAATGTACAAAACAGTCTCCAGAAGCAAGGTATCCTGTAAAATGCTTCTTTTTGTTGCTATGGTTTTTCATCCATGTATTTTACCAAACTACCACTGGCGGTTAGAAATACGGGGTCACCACGGAGTACTCAGTAGGTAGGCGTTTGAATGAAAGGCTTTCCTGACTAACCTATATACAACTGCCTCTCCAACCTGGTATATGTGACTGATGGCTGTTCCATATGGCGCATACTTGGGCTTTGCTGCTCACAGAAACGAATAAATTGGTTGAACCTTGCCTAGGTAACCTTTCGCAACACACAGTCATGTGATTTGGCGAATTTTCGTGTTGCTTGAGGAAGGTAACATCGCTTTTGACGTTATTCAAAAATTGAAATTTCAACAATATCAGACTTCATGGTCACCATAATACTAATAGTTACACTGGGATCACCTACATTTTATCTCGTATTATTGTCTTTATTTCCATCTAATGCGCTGCTGAGCATAACGTCTCGCTTATTTATTTTCATTCACACTTTGTGCGTGATGCGCGTCTTCAGGTAATATTTGGTGCGACTACATTAAGGCTTTGCTGCCATTTTCTTTTTTGTCATGGGCTTTAAATTTTCTTATGTGTGCGACCTGTTTACGAGCCTCGAAAATAATCTCACTCTGAGGGCTTCAACGGCGTCGAGGCATAGAAACCCAGACGTCGCAACCATTGCCAACTGGTTTAGCCAGCACGGAAAACAAATCCACGGTGGAGAGACGGACCGCCTTGCTCTGTTGTCATGTCTATTCCCAGAGAGGCGACCGGAGAGAGTATTTGGATTAAAGGAGCCGTCGCTTGTAAAGATCATTGGCAGGTGTCTTCTACTTGGGATTTCAAGGAGGCAGGCCCTGGATTCGTACAAAATCTGCGGGAACGGTGATCTGGGCCAGTGTGTGGAAAGGGTGATGAGGCAAGCGGAAAACGACAACCCCGAGGACTCCGGCGTAACCGTTGAAGACATTGATACTGCCTTAGATCATATTGCGTCGAGATGTCGGTTCTCTGGCCCGGATGTGAGGCGACGGCGGACCGCTGCCGGCGTGGATGAAGTTCTTGGACCAATTTTACGACACCTGACAAGCCGTGAGGCGAAATGGCTTATAAGGATTATTTTGAAAGATCTCAGTCCTTTAACCCTACCGGCTCGTTTGATCCTTCAAAATTTCCATTTCCTTCTTCCCGACCTGCTGCTACTGCAGGATTCTCTGGGGGCAGCTGTGGCGTTATTGAGCCGTGATCCTATGAAGCGATTTCCATGGCGTCCAGATCCTGACTATGCTAAGCTTCTGGCTTCCTTCGCTTTTTCTCGTATATCTCTTGACGTTGGAGTAAAAGTTGGAAGGCCAACGTTTTATACAGCCAGGGGCATCAAGCATTGTTGTAAAATGGCGGGAAAACGCACCATGAGCGTCGAGCGGAAATATGATGGAGAATACTGCCAGATACATGTTGACCTTTCCAAAGGCTCGGGCTGTATACAGATCTTTTCGAAAAGTGGCAAAAACTCAACTATGGACAGAGTTGGCATTCATTCTACTGTCAAAGAGTGCCTAAGAATTGGAAAAGTCGGCTGTAAAATATCAAGGAATTGCATTTTAGAAGGGGAACTTCTTGTCTGGAGTGACGTGGAATCAAAGATATTGCCATTTCATAAACTCCGGAAGCATGTCATTAGGTCTGGCTCCTTCATTGGAACTGAGAATGACTCACCGTACGTATGACATATTGATAAGAACTGCATTTCGTGCAATAGTTAACCTAGAACTAGGCCACATTCTTATGAGCATCTATATATAATGCTATTTGATGTATTATTGATTGACGATCAAGCCTGTTTACCAAAGTCGTATAGAGAACGCAGGGCCTTACTGAAAGAAATTTCCCACCCTATTGACGGGCGTGCTGGGATTGCGGAACAGGAGTATATCGATTTCTCATTGCCAGAGAGTCAGGAGATGTTGACCACAGCCTTTGCTACGGCCATATCACAACGTTGGGAAGGACTCGTTCTGAAAGCCAGCGATGAACCTTACTTCGTGATCGAACAGCAAGAGCACTCCAACTTTGGGCATTGGATTAAATTGAAAAAGGACTATATTGCAGGGATTGGGGATACCGCAGATTTCGCGTTGATAGGAGCGAGATATGACGCTCGTGAAGCTGCAAAACTCCAGAGTATCAAGGGTGTTCAGTGGACGTCATTCTTCGTGGGATGCCGTGATACCGGTTCAAAATATCCCTACGATGCGCGGCCGTTATTTCGTGTTGTGGACGTCCTCAATCGACATAATGTGAACATTCAACTTCTACGAACACTCAATCAATATGGCCGCTTCTGCAGCTGTGATGTGGATGATGAAGATGCCCCTTTTATCATAAAAACAGATCAGATACAACTCCCCAAAGTACAAGTTCTGTTCAAAACCCCCTTCGTGGTTGAAATGGTTGGCAGTGGCTTTGAGAAGCCGGCAGGAGCGAACTATTTCACATTGCGCTTTCCCCGTGTTCTCAAAATCCATATGGATCGGGATGTTGAGGATGCTACAACACTAGAAGAGCTGCAAGTGCTGGCTGAAGCAGCCAACTCTGTCCCTAGGGATGAATTATCGCAGAACACCGCTTGGTGGGCAGAGAGACTAGACGCGGTAGATGGAGAGCCAGGTTATATCATTGATACGTCGGAACATTCGCCTATTTCTGTGGCTTCTGTTAGCCAGCCAACTAACTTAGAAAATGCGCCCTCCGATACACGCTTAAGGAGGCATTTGGTTGCCAATGAGCAGAAGGTGGTAACTTCAATGGGCAAGCGAAGGGAGATTGACGTTTCCCCAAGAGACTCCAGAAAAGTGAGCAGGAAACAGCCCAAAATCGCGAGATCGCTCTCACCGTGTATCGCAATACACTCAGATCATACCCAAACCACAGCAAACACTCACTTGTCTCACTCACAAGATAGCGTAGGAGCTCGTCACCTAGCAAACATTAGCAACTTATCCCAACCCAATCCGATTCCAACTTATGCCAGTGTCGGTGACTGCGAGGACGCAGTCGCTACAACAAGTCTAGGCAACAAAATAGAATGCTCAACGACTCTCAGGAAGCTCGACGAGGATGGGTTATCCCGTTCCCCTCAACCGAGCCAGGAAAAAAGCGCAGGCCAAAATCCTTACCAAGAGCAACAATGTTTCGCTCAACTGGAGCTTGGTTTGGCGGGTAGCAGCCCATCCGTCGGGCCGCTTGATACATTATCATTTCTCTCCGAAACTCCCATCCTACTAGGAACCGGAGTGTCTCGCGATAAAGTGGATTCCATCCCCTTGGATCCCAAACTCTTGACAACCTCGATCACGGAGTTCCTGGAAAAGTTGCTGGATCCTAACTTCCCAGACAAATCACACTTCCATCACTCCAATCCAGACACGGCACAAAATTTTCCCAAATGTAGTGGCATTGTCCTCGTTGAATCCAATACCACCAAGGCATCACAAGCAGCATCTGACATTGCTCGAATTGGTAACGTACTTGCTACCAACCAGCGAACCGGCCGCTTACCATCAAAAAGGGGGAAATTGATTTTCCTCCGCTGCGAAGCGATGTTACAGCACGGTCTATTTGAAAGAAATCAAGCAAGTCATCCCGAAAATCTTCGAGAACGTTGGGAGAGCCATGGGAAGCAGTTATTTGCTGGGTCTTTGGAATGGGGATATGGTATTTCACGGCAGCGGAAGAGAAGGAAATTTGACTTCAAAAGTACGGATGTGGACTGTGAGGAAAGCAGTAGAGTTGGAAGAACTAAGGCTAACGACTCTCCATCGCCACCAACTATGGGCGTAGATGTTCAGTTAAGTTGGGATTGGAGAGAAGTATTATCATTGGTATAGTGCCGGGTACTTGGGCATTATTGTGGCACAATACGCTTATCCTACTCCCTTCCTCCTGGAGCTTAATATTTCCCGTTGATATCGTCCTATGTTGATACCAGGGGCCGGTAATGTCAGATGCGTTCATGAGCGATATGTAATGGGTTTTTGATAATGAGCAATACAGCTCGACGTTTGTTTGGATCGTTTGATCATCTAACTGGCTGGGCCAAGATATAGTAGTGCACAACTGTCAGTACAAATACGTAGGGAAAGAACCTTGCACGGAATATATGCGACTCGTCTGGAGTTTCATAACCTCACAAATAGACATACCATGACATCTACAAAAATAAACCACCATTCGGGACGTTTTAAGGGAATAAAACATGAGTAATAAATAATGCAACGAGACATAAAAGCCGTCATACCATCAATCATATATCATTAGGGAACGAGCAACTCATGGGAGGGAGGTGGATTGCCAAATTTGTTAAATACTACCACCCTCCCTTCTTGCCCTAACATCCCTCATCAATGCCTTCGCTTCTTCGATCTCAATCCCATCTTGACAGAGCTCGCCGGCCAACAAATCAGCCCGGTCCAAGTCACCATACTTCAGCGCGTAGCGCGCTAACCACAAACGCGCTTTACTCGTGGTAGCAGTAACGCCCGTACCAGCCGGCTCGTCATCCGGTTCATCAGTAGAGCGCTGGGTGAATGAAGAAACACGACGTGCACCAGTTCTATTTCCACTGTCCCCATCAGCATCGTCATCGTTGTCATCATCAGCTTCGTCCTCAGGATCCACCTGTCCCGTTTCTTGCTGGAGCGTAAGCTCCATGTACGCTGCTGCCTCCTCTTCGTCACCAAGACGTTCGTACAGAGTTGCAATTTGATGCAACGTATCCGGATCAAGGATGCGTCTTGCACTTGATGCATTACCCCCATGGGATAGATGCCGTAAGCTAGCTGAGCCTGCGCTATTAAACGAGGCAACACCTCCAGCACCGCCCGTTTCATAATATGATCCTGCAACCAGAGCACGTCTAAGGGCCCGGATACTCTGTTCTAGACGACCCATTTTCGCGTAGCATGAGCCGACGGCTTGCCACATTTTCGGGTCGTACGGGCGCAGCGCAGCGGCGCGATGGTAGTAGAATAAGGCGTAGAATGCCATATCGAGAACCTCGTAAGCTTGTCCGAGACCGTACCAAGCGCGATAGTCCTTTCGATTAACATCGACCGCGCGCCTGTAGGATTCGATAGCAGCATGTGTGTTTTTCATCTCGATATATTCGTGGCCCATTAGGGTCCAAGCAGATAGGAAGTTACGGTCTAGCGTTAAAGCACGCCGAAAATACATTACTGCTTTTTCGTGTTCGGATTTGAGAGAGTAATAGTTTCCTACTACACAGCAAGTTTCTGGGCGAAATTTATCCGTAGCCGTTGCTATTTGGGCAACGAAAGCAAGTTGAGGTCGCGCACCCATGACATAAAGGATGTTGGAGTAATGATCGAGGCTATCCAGACGGTGGGGATTGGTAATTAGGAGTTGAGAGAAAAGGTGAGATGCTTCCTCGAAATCTACCCGAACGGGTTAAGTTAAAAAAGGGTAATGAGGGTGGGATGCCAGGGCAGTGGTACCTTTAGAATGATAAAACAGCAGAGCACGTTGTGTTTTAAGGAATGCACTGTTTGGGAATATGTTCTCCAGTTCGGTTAACATGTGGTGCGTATCTTCCGTAGCTTGATAAAGTTCTTGGCTACAATACAGGTGGAATATAAGAGTCATTATGTTTTGAGGGAGCTGGTCAGCGATGCGCTTCAACTAGATCAAAACCATTGTTAACTTGGGTGGTTATGGAGTGCAAAGAGATTAGGATGTACTTGCATCTTCGGTATTGGCAAGGAGATCATTTAATTCTTGCCAAGCTCCCCAATGAAAAGGGTACAAGTGAACACTCCTAATCAGCCATGTTTTGGCTTCTTCCTCGTTTTTTCCCTTAAGCAAAATAACCCCATATAAATATTCAAGCCATCCCTGTCCTTGTCCCTCCAGGCCCCTTGCCTTCCGATCAGAAAACCACCATTCCAGCCTCTGTGCCAGGCCAGAAAGTTCTCTGTTTACGGTCATGCCTCCATCTGCTGGGCCCAAGACCATTTCTGTTTCCTCAGCTTTCCGCTTCTCTCCCGCTAGATATTTAGCATATAGAGCTAAAAATAGGGACTTTTGGCTCAATCGCGGCAAGGGGCTCTGAGATGTAGCATTGCTTGTCGACCCTCCAAAAGAAGTAGATTTTCCTTTCGCTTTTTTGGGGGTAACTGGGGCATTGGACTTTTTGTTTGAAGAGATGGGGGCGAGTGGGATGGCGGAAGTAGAAGGAGGCAAAAAAACAGCGGAGCATCGGTCATACTCCCGTGTGTCAAAGTACGATTTGGCAAGGATATATTTGTTACTTTCGCGAGCTTCCAAAGCAGCTTCTTCGGGGTCTTGTGTTTGTAGAAATGGGTTAGGCGGTGAGAGAGAAGTTATCTCCATTGGAGAGTCTGGATCTGTATCTGCACCATCGTCGATATCATCGAACGAAACTAAAGAGTCTAGCATTTCCGCAGCCCTAGGTAATGTGGTAAATTAATCAATGTGAACAGCTACAGTCACTTTTAACGTAGGAAGCTCTAGCATACCATTTTGCAGATTGGTATAGACATCGCTCTGAGCATTTAATTGCGGCATCTTCGAAACGGTACCGGAGCTCCTTCAGGCTATCGGAATTGAAATTGGCTGCCATTGCTAAAATTTGCTAGGCTTACTCGTTGAATTTCAGAGGTTTTAGCAACTGCCTCCACACACACGGAGCAGTGGTTTATGCGAGACCAGCTTCCGCGCAGGACGAGCTGTTTGGCTCGATTGAGTTTGTTTTGAGCTCACTCAAGCATGTGGTGGTGAGATCATCTAGTTACCTGGGCAGCCACACACGTCACGTGTGATTTAGCTTTTAGTCATACCAGAAATAGTTACTCCCGCTCTTGCAGACTTGGTGCAACTCAGCTTGAATACTACATAGTATTGTCATATTGGTCTCTATCTTTACCTTTTCATGAACACTCTCTGAAAATGTTTCTGAGGGAACTAAATTGTTGCTGTTGGCCCCCCAGGACCCACATGGCGGCCCAGCACGCCTACAGGCAGCCTCCTTGATTGCAAATGCCATTTTTCTGGCCTTCAGGGTTCATATCACCGAACGTATCCGATGACATACTTTAGTTCCTGTTGGGCGTTTGGATTGGTTCGTCCCTTCTACTGCCAGTATGGCACTGCTGGTGATTGAGCTCTTTTGCCCCATTGGCCTAACAGTTCCCTCTTTATTCTAGCATTGCTCACAAAAATGTAACGTGGTTGTGGACGTGCTGCCTTCTGCAGTCTCGCTGGGCATCCGGGTGGCTTCATATCTGGAACTATGTATTCAAGATTGTTGAATTTCTAAATTCCTTTATTTGTGGTCTTTGATATGCTAATTTCTTGCTACACCCTAATAATAAGAAGTCCATCCCATAAGGAGTGAATGTGTAAATACATTTTGTTCAATATGTACATCTCCTCTTGTCAGTGGCTATTGAAGAACGTGAACGTGCATGCATGTGCATCCAAGATTGCAACGTCCCAGGATCCCTTTTGCCCTGAATACCACCCGGAAACACAATCTCCTTCAGTTGACGTCTGCCTCGTTATTCAAATAAATATCGACAGGTTATTGATTCTATTTCAATCTAAATTAAATTATTCAAGTAAAAGCATGTGCAAGAATTGGTTCTTCTATACTACGATTAAAAATTGGGCACACCTGCGTACTCGTCAGGGATGCCGTCCACCAACATCACATCTCCCCATCACTTAGATGGCCATGCCAGCCTTTTGTGAGAGCTAATTTAGCTCTGGATATCGCGGGGTTCGTCAATTCCCAGCTTAACTCATTCAGTTCCAGATATTTATATTGCCATATTCTTATCCTCAACATTTTCTGAGAGACTCCCTTTCTTTAAAAGTTCTAGAGCACTATATCTGTGGTATTGCGCATTAATCTACGACTTTGAAACTCCAAGCTGCAAAAAAATTAAGTGGTATCTTAATTTACCGTTCCCACCCTTGTGACAGACATCATGGGCGTGCCAGCAAAGCCAAAATATACGCCAGATTCATACACCGTTGCACTTATCTGCCCAAAGGGGATTGAATTCGCCGCGGTTGAAGGCATGCTAGAACATACCCACCCACCTATCCCCATGGAGCGAGCTGAGAATGCCTACACGCTTGGACAGATAAGCAACCACAACGTCGTTGTTGTTATGTTGCCTGAAAGTGGGACCAGCGCCGCAGCGACGACAGTGACACAGGCCCTAAATGACTTCAAGTCAATTAGATTTGGTTTGTTAGTGGGGGTTGGTGGTGCTATCCCTGTTGAGGAAGTACATGATATCCGTCTTGGGGATGTTGTAGTGAGCATGCCCGCAGGTACTTTTGGCGGAGTGGTTCAGTTCGATCGTGGTAAGATATATACGGATGGAAGGTTTGAACGGACAGGGGCGTTATCGAAGCCTCCAAACTTGCTCTTATCAAGTGCGGGAAAGCTACACGCAAGGCACATCAGAGAAGGCAACAGTCTGATGAAAAACGTGTCCACTCTGCTCAGCAAGTTTCCCAAAATGAGAAAAGGACCTCTAGGCGACCCGGGAAGTGCCAAAGATTTGCTCTTTGAAGCAACATATCCCCACCCAGAAAAAATGAACACTTGCAAATCATGTCTTCCAGAAAAGCTTGTTAACCGTGAGCCACGATCTGAAGCAGGCCCTGAAATTCACTATGGTACTATCGGATCTTCCAATCTGGTTATCAAAGATGGCATCACCCGAAATAAGCTATACGATGAACTTGGAATAATCTGTGTTGAGATAGAAGCTGCGGGACTGATAGATGAGTTTCCCTGTCTAGTCATCCGAGGCATCTCTAATTACGCAGATTCCCATAAAAACAAGGAGTGGCAGCCGTACGCTGCGGCCACAGCAGCCGCATACATGAAGGAACTTCTAGAGACAATCCCTTCGTCCGAAGTTTACAAGGCCCGTCGAGCGGTGGATTCTCTCAAGGTGAGTTAGTTCAGACCTTACCCCAGAACCCAGATTGAATGATGGGAAGCTAATCGCACCCTGCAAGTCGCAGAACCCGCCTGATGATTTTCAGCGGGAATTGCGTGACAAAATCTCCCGGTTAGAAAAGTTGAATAAGATCTTCGAGCAAAACAATAAGTCACAGGCCAAAGATATTGAATCCTTGAAGGAGAAGCTCAAAGGGGTACAGAGGGAATTCCGCGAAAGCAAATCAGGCGGCGGAGGCCAGTCCGGAGGAAGTGGTGGCCGTCCTGAAAGTATAAACCCTAGTGGAGTAAATGCTTTTTGGGGGGTCAATGTTATATTCCCGAGCATCGTACTAACACTTTATAGGTGTGGGTGGGTTCGATTAGAAAAGAAGTCGTTGATGCCGCGATCAAAGGGAAGCTTGACGAATTTAAAAACGACTGTTCCAAATCGAAAATGGAGGTACTTGGAGAATGGACCGCTAGCGTAGTGGATTTTTCCTCGGTACATCAATTTTTTGCGAAGTGGTTTCACTCTCCCCGTCTCTTATATGGTCCTTGGACTCCTGATCCTCGCGCTGTCTGGGCGGACACTAGGAGAGACGATTCTGAGAGAATGCTTGCGTGGTGCGACGATTGTGGGAAGAATAGTAGTGGGTATCGTGTAATAGCAAAATACTGGACCCTGTGGGCTCTTTTCAAATACGCGGGGGTTGTTTCTGCTACGTTGCGCTGAGATGATGATTTTTTTTCTTCCAACCCTATGTTTCCCAGTTATGTCTATATAGGCAACGCTTTATAGTCCGAAAGCAAGTAGGGTGGAATTGAACAAGCTCAACGAAAAGCTGAGACGCCAACATAGCTATATGTAACACCGAATTTCGCTACATTTTAGCGATGGCGACTTCAATGGAAGGTTGAAGTCAAGTCGAGTGGACAACTTGCACTGGAAACCAAGAATCTTAGCATGGTCAGTCCTCCACCTGACAATTTGGAACAGATGACTTTAAAACCAATGAAAATGCAATATCACTAATGGGAGCCAGAATTACACGCGATCTCCTGGTCATCCATTTGAACAGTCCCATCATCTAGCAGCATACTCTTGAAATAGGAAGTGCGGTAGTGCACTACTTCCTCTGGGCCCATATCCCATTATTCCCATGCAATTCAATCCTTCCGAGCTTGGGCTTTAAGTTTTTTGTCAGTTGAACCGTCATGGACCAAAGCCATTATATCGTACACGAGATTTTCAATTTCCTGATCCTCGGGGAAAATCAATCCATTTTTGGCCGACGGGTGAAGGAAGAAATGACAAAGGCACCTCATTATGGAACTCGAGAGGTGATGTGATTTCGTCACGCTTAAGACGCATACTTGATCCAGGAGGTGTAGAGTAATGACAAGAAGACCCAGTAAAAGTTCTGGAGGGTGAGAGTTTAGCAGAAAGGCTAACAACATAGAGGGCGTGAAGAAAGAGAGTTGTTGACGATGGAACTTTGGGAGAAGGCAAGGTGCCCTTTAGATGCAACACCTCACGACTGGGAGAGTAAACCAATATCCAAGCTTATCAGCAAGGCAAAGACCACATAATCGCAAATCCCAAGAATGTAAAGTCGAGAGTGGAGTACAAGGACTGGGTACCATTCCAAGGTTGACAGGCCTGACACATGAGGTGAAGGTGGACATATGTAAACAATGCAAACAGTCAGCAAAAGTCATCCCCGCCAAATTCAAACTTCCGATATCAAAGAAGAGCCCCTCGCGACGGCTGTAAATACCAGCCATTGACCTCCAAACTAGATACCCCATTCTTATTCCGCGTCGCGATCGCCATATCCACTCACCATCAAACGAATAACACACAATCCAATGCCCGCTCGAACCAACCGTGCAGACTTCGAGTCTGTCTTCCCCTCACTCGTCAAGGACCTAAGTGACCATGCCGTTCAGTACGGTCTTCCGTCTGTAGCACGGGAATGGTTTGAAAAAGTTTGTATTTCGAAAATTTTTCTCCAATTTTTACCAATTTGAGAACCTGACTAACTCTTCTGGCCAACACCGCAAAAAAAAAAATTTAGTCTATCAATGCGAATACCCCTGGCGGAAAACTGAACCGGGGTCTCTCTGTTCCAGATACTGGTCTCGCTTTGCTCGAAAAACCCCTGAATGATGAACAATTCAAAGACCTCTGCACCCTTGGGTGGATGACCGAGTTTCTTCAAGCTTTTTTCCTCGTTTCCGACGACATAATGGACAGCTCCGTCACCCGACGTGGCGAGCCATGCTGGTACCGCCGCCCCAACGTCGGCATGATCGCGATCAACGACGCCTTTATGCTCGAATCTGTCATATACGTTCTTCTCAAGAAACACTTCCGCTCACACCCCGCATATGTTGACTTCCTGGAACTATTCCACGAAGTCACTTTCCAAACCGAGTTGGGCCAGCTCTGCGACCTGCTCACTGCGCCTGAAGACAATGTGGACCTCGACAACTTCAGCATGGACAAATTCAACTTCATCGTCATCTACAAAACCGCCTACTACAGCTTCTATCTTCCAGTTGCCCTTGCACTGCATTATCTTCAGCTCGCGACACCGTCCAATTTGCGCCAGGCACACGATATCCTTATCCCACTTGGCCAATATTTCCAGGCCCAAGATGATTATCTGGATGTGTTCGGCAAACCAGAGCAGATCGGCAAAATTGGCACTGATATCCAGGATAACAAGTGCTCCTGGGTGATCAACCAGGCTCTGAAGCGGTGCTCTGCTGAGCAGCGCAGGGTTCTCGACGAGTCGTACGGTCGAAAAGACGCAACCATGGAGGCCAAGGTTAAAGCTGTTTTCAACGAGCTTAACTTGGAAAAAGTCTACCGTGACTTTGAGGAAGAGCAGGTTGACAAGATCAGGACCATGATCGCCAGGCTTGACGAATCTGAAGGCCTGAAGAAGGCAGTGTTCGAATCTTTCCTCGCCAAAATCTATAAGCGTGATAAATAGATTCTTTTTCCTTCTACTTAAATATAAATCCCTTTTATGTTTGCCTTTTTGTTAACCGTTCACAGCCTCCATTTGACTTCCTATTATTGTGCTGGCATTGTTCATACCTCAAGCAAGTAGAAAAGAAAAAGAAAAACTCTCAGAACAGAATCCAAGGTTTCACATCGGCCTTGCTGTCCTTTCTTGACCTCTGTTGTTCCGAGGTCAGATTTCTCTCCCTCTCATCGGCTTGCTTTGTGACTTCTGCAAAACGCTAGATAAAAATTTGCAACAATTCCTCTGCTATAGGCCTTTGCCTTTTGTCCATAGGGGGAAGAAGTTAATCTTAAGCACGATTACCACTCTATCTCCTCAAGAACTAAATCAGTTCACAAATTCCCCTCTCAAAAAACACGTGATTCTCAGACCCTCTCTCCTGGTTCCTGCAGCTAAAAGTTGACAAACCAATGGAAGCTCCTCAAATAACTCACACAGGGAGAGGTTTGCTTCGCATTTCCCCAGACAGGCCGAACGACGTTGTGCAAGCGTGCAACCTAGCGACCTACCGTTCAGCCACCCATCCTGGCATGTGGATTTATGAAGCTGTGGCCAATCATGTTGCAAGTGGGGGTAGTGCATCATCTCCACAAACCGTTTGTTTCCCTTTCACTTACTATGTAAATATATATGTGCAGGGTTAACTTGGTTAAACCTTTTTAGTCGTCCTCATTCTCTAGGTTCTCGACGCGTTATCGATAGCGGGGATGGGTTTTCACTAGAAATGGTACGAAATTCATGTTTGTGACGCAGGAGCTGATGGCACCTCCGATGACTTCAAGAATGAGAAATGCAACATCCGTGGATGGAAAATTGACATCAAGCTGAACTGGAATTAAACATTTCGTTCGAAAACCCCTAGAACAAGCAGCGTACAAGGCTCTTTATGCGGCCAGAGCAGATCTGTGGAGGTCAGGAGACCGAGTTCTATATAAAAGGATCCCATCAAATACCGGCTGTATCCATATCAAAACTAGCCGAAATTTTGCGGTTAATATCGAACAAAATGGAACCCTCAGCAACAGGTTGTTCGTGCTGCAACTCCCATAATTTTATTTTGAATGTCTCCTCAGTCTATGTGGATGGAAGCAAAAAAAAGCATAAACTAAGAAACCACCCAAACCAACCTAACTTGACAATCGACGATCTGCAGGCAAATACGAGGACACTCCAGCCTCCGAAGAGCATCACGATATCTATAAGAATACAATGATTCTCCCTCTTATGCCGTGCAGCTTGAGATGAGCTGCCAAGACAAACACAGCATGGAGGTCCACCTTCAATGGCAGATCCTCAGCTAGCGGTAATTAAGAATCGAATAGGCGTGGGGCGTTTGGTGATCCAGCTACCAAGCTAGGTACTGATCAGCATACCATATTTTTCGCAACTTTTGAAGCCTCCCTGATAGGAGCATAAAGGATGCCAAAGAAAAGAAACAAGCGGCAGGTAGCTATTTAATAGAGGCTTGCTTCGTCCAGTCCTCTGGAGAAGGATAATTCTCTTCGAGTTGAGCTGCCTACAACAGAGAGACCTATATGTCCACGAGCTACCAGCTCCAGCATCTATCTCCACATTTCCTTGAAGGGCATAGCAAACATGAAATCCGCATTGATCCTCAGCATCTGCTCAATGTGCGCCCTCATTCTCGCCGCCCCAACTGCAGCGGGCGATCTATCGACCCTCACTATAAGGGCAGAAACTCCCCAGCAAGCCACAGACCGACTCCTCTTCTCCTCAACCATGGCCCAATTCACAGCAGCACGCAACGCGAAAGATCCACCCTCGCTGAACTGGGAGTCAGACGGCTGTTCCCACTCCCCAGACAAACCGGGTTTCAACTTCCTCCCCAGCTGCTACAGACACGATTTCGGCTATCGCAACTACAAGGCCCAAGACCGCTTCACGAGGGACAACAAGAAGAAAATTGACAGGCTGTTCCGCAGTGATTTGTACGATGAGTGCGCGAAGGAAGAGAATGATCTGAGGAAGACGGAATGCACGGAAATTGCTAATGTTTACTATTGGGCTGTGTCGATTTTTGGGAGGAGGAATGTTGAGGGTGTTTTGCTTGCTGATTAGTAAATATTAAGTCGGAGGCGAGGAGGTTTCGAAGGAATCGGCTCCTGATTGGGGAGGGGCGGTGGCGTATGTCCTCCCTTCTAAGTGCAGTAATTCACCATGGATTTACTTACACAAATATTTCTCTTCCTGTTACATCCTCCATGGTCTTGTATATAACGCCGGGAGTTTTTAACGAACGTCCCTACCTTGAATCCTAATTGAGTGTCATATCTCTGTCACCACCCTAGGTACGGAACATACGAAAGCCGTTCGGTTTGCATATGGCTGAGATTCCATGCCGCTATCAGTCCAAGGAGCACTAATGATCAGCAATGGAGAAAGAAAGGAAGGGCATGTTATTGGAAAAAAAATTGTAATAAAAGACAACGTGCGTATTGGAAAGAGTGCAGAATAGCAAGAAGAGCTGCAAAAGAGCAGCGCACAAAATGCAAAAAAGTGAAAACGATAAGAGAAAACAAAAAGCAAGATAGCAATAAACTTAGCAAATCCACAGATGCATCATGTATGTACGTGTGTATATATGGCGATATAACATAACAAATACGGATGGTTAAAGTAGATATGGTATAAAGGGGGGGGGGGGCGTATGCAGAAGGGCAAAAATTACAAGAAATGAAGCCACATGAGAGAAGCGAGGGGCGAAGGGTGAAGAAAAAGCATAATATATCAAAGGCCCTTTTCCCAAGACATTCATCCAATATCGATTATAAAAATTCGAAAAAAAAGGGGTGAGGTTAAAAATATATATCAGCTAAATCCGTCCTCATCATCACATTCATTCATCCTATCATGATTTAACCGAATTGTCGCCATTGGTCGTTACCTCCCTATCCGGTGAGTGTGGTTGTTCGACGGGGACAGCCTTCTTTCGCAACGTAAGTGGGAATGGGTATTCTTCCGCGTCCTCTTCCTCACTAGATATTCGAAAAATATTTTGTTAGTTAACTTCTATCTAAGCAGCGAAAGAAAACGGGGGAGAATATAACACAAATCTTCTCCAACTGTAGTCTTAAAATTGGAAGATCAAGAAACTCACGGTAACTTCCAGGCAATATAATCCTCGGTACTTAAACCTTCGCGGCCTTCCTGTAGGGACGCAAAGTCACCAGGGGTCATCATCCCCGTCCGATCTCTCGGTGAACCAGGCACCGAAAACGGGCGGGAAATCTTCTGCTCGGTGCCTCCGATGATATCGCTGAAGTCCTCAGCAGGATCAAAGGAAGTTGGATACGCTACAGCAACATAAGAATAGTCAGATCTTGCATTGACAAGTAAAATTGAGTGCTACCAAAGGTAGTCGCTGTGTACGGCGTGTATAAAACGTACCTCTCCGAAGCGCCAGCTGCCGAGCCTTCACATACTCCATACCCATACGCTTCCAGTCCAAAAGATCACTCAGCCGCTCTGTCCTGTTCCGCTGGTTGATGCGCTGCCTACGACTCTTGCACGCAAACTCAAACATGAAATTCGTAAGTTGGTTGACGGAATCGTCTACACCCTTCATACGGCGGTCGACGATATATATACCATAGTCCGAAGAGTTTTCTATTAGTTCCTCCATGTAGCATCCAAATCCGGACAGATTTGTAGTTATGCTGGGAATCCCCATTACTGTGCACTCTGCAGGCGTATACCCCCAAGGTTCATAATACGACGGAAAAACGCCTAGATTCGTACCCCGGACAAAATCGTCGTAGTCAAGAGGCAAGACCGGGTTGGAAGAATTGAGGAATTCAGGATGGAACACAACCTTGACACGGTCAGAAGGGTGATTGAAGAGTTGAACGCGACGCAGCTGGTTTAACACAGGGTCATCCGCATCGTTCACCATATTATGTGTCACGATGGGGGGAAGTTGATGCCGCTTCATTGCGAACAATCGACGGCGCAAAAGTACTCGATCCTGGCTGGTTATTAGATCTTTTTCATCTGGCATATTATCGCCTTCCTTCCAGCTGAGGCAGCGCTCGAATAATCGCCTTCCAATCCCCTGTTCTACCATCTCTAACGTGTCGCGAAGCGACTTCACAACCGCTTGGCCCTTCAAGGCCTCTACCGTGAGCGACGATGTCTGCGCGGGCATGATAATAAATGCTACTACCGTCATATTTGATCCCGCTGTTTTCAGACGGTGATTGAGCCTGGCGAGGGATTCGATAAACATATCTACTCCCTTGTTCCGATATTCGTAACGGCCTGCGGTGAAGAAATATAGTGTATTTTCAAGGTCGAAATCGTTATGCCCATAAAAATGGCCACGGACGAAATCATTGATTTTATCTTTGGCGTTGGAATGAAGATTCTGGAACTCATGCACTGCAGAAAACTTCTTCACGTTGAGCCCATTAGGTAACACGCCATCAGGCTTGCGTTTCAGCAAATGCTCGCTCTCGAAAGCTGTGATGTGCGACACTGTAGTAAACACGTCTGCTGAATGCGCCGCGGCACGTTCGATGCAGTATCTGTGGTATATCCCTCTTTTGCCGGCTTCCGCATCAACATCGAAGAATTGCAAGTTGTTGTAGAAGTCGACAGAGCCGGCGCACAGATACCTGCCTAGTAGAGTTGCGTGGGTGGTGAAAATTGTTGTGACGTCCATGTGTCGTTTCTTTGTCAATGGAAGGGCGACACCGGCTAGCCATTCGTGGAAATGTGCAACAACTGCTCGCGTTCTGTCTCTGGAAATATACTGAGATACTTAGTTAGTAGCAAGGTATATATTTTGAAGGGACTGGTCAACACTGTAGGCATAAGCTTTGTCCGCACATACCTCTCCAAGGAACCAAGCTACCAAATAACCAAACACGATAGCCTCGTTCGTTTCACCGTCCTCGGCCGGAGAAGGGATAGCCGCCGCGTTCCAAAGATCGCCCTTCCATTCGTCCAGATATTTGTATCCCGAACTTGTATCGACCAGAAGCACTCTTGGGGCCCCCTCAATAAGCCATCGTCCATACATCATGTCAACTCCCCGCTCCTTCATCGCGACCATGGTTTCGGCAAGATGGGGGTCGGTCGGTGTCAGTTCCTCGACTTCAACGACAGCCTATGGAATTGTCAATGGGAGTCGTACACTAGGCAATTTGAAAGAAAAAAGAATCAGGAATTAAAAGACAAAAAGGGGAAAAAAGTATATACCGAAGCCCGATTCAGAGGCCCGATGAGCGTGTATCTCTCGCCATATTCTGCGGTAGAGACCGGCGCTTTGGATTTGAGGACCGAGTATATTCCACCAACTGGTTCAAGACAAGACAAAGGGTCAGCCAGACACTCAATTGGAAAGGATATTTCAGAATTAAACAAAGATAAACAATCACAAACCTCGATTTGCGACCTCCGTTGCAATTTCAAATAGCACATGGTTTTTGATATCTCGTTTCGGAGGATCCGACATGATTGTAGCAGTGCAAAATCCGGGCCAGGCCAAAAAAAAAAAAAAAAAAAATAGGTGATGGGATATATAAATGAATGTAGGGAATTTACACCAACAAAACACTAAACGCTACAAAATGATGGGTAAAAAGAGAAGCGCAGCTGGGTGGGTATGTCAGCGCGACGATGTTTGTCGAGGGAAAATGGGGGAGATCGAGCGGGGACTCCACTCAGCTACGAGCTACTATGAGAAGCAATGCGCTCTATAAGCCGGTCACCTCAATCTTGGGTGTTCCAGCATCGTTTATAAGAGAATGAGAGGAAGAGAAGATAGTAGCAGAGAGAGCAGTGTAATTGAGGAGAGGAGATGCCGGTTGGGGACACGGGAGGAGGTGAGGATGAAGAGGAGGAGACGCCCCAAACAAAGACAGCTAAAAGTTGACATGCTAGACAATCTTGACATGGGATCCTTGGCCGCGCCACCGACAAGAGACAATCCCCACCTCGACTCGCGAGCTCAACAGACGGACTGTGTCGAGCTAGCTCCAAGCCTGAAGTCTCGAAGATCTCTTCCCAGCCACCAGGCGACACACAATGGTGCTCCTGGATGAAGCGAAGAAATCCGGCTATTCCGCTGTTGTCGTCAACCCACATCGGGCTTGCTCTATCTCTCCTCGATTGCGAAATTCCGCCTAGAAAAGTTTGACGAACCATGAAACAATGGCTCTCTCGGAGAACAAAGTTTAACTATCTAACTACGCTGCTTGCAAGCTGATGAAGCCACACGCGTCTAGCTTGCCATCCACGTTGCGCAGCACCTCGTCCACGCTGAAGAAACAGGCGTTTCCCTCAAACAAAAATTTCTGTAGATTTATCATTGAGTGGCAAAATCACAGAAAATCTTTTAACTCGCCGTTTGGGAATCGCTAATTTATGCGAAGGTGACGCTGGACCGTTCGTTCACGTCGCATTTTGTCCTACGCTCCCTTATCGATTCTCGGTAGCCAAGGTGCTGCCTCCGAGACAATTCGGTATATAACTGCCGTGTACAGAGTGCATTCAGTCATCCAAGTCCCAGATGCACTTCGCACGCATGTATGTATTTTATCTTTGGTGGGTTTTGAGAAGGCGAAACTCGCTATGATTTGCGTCATTGCTCACAGCGACGCGACCAAGGATGGGATCCACGAAAGAACAACCCCAATTTGTGTGCAAATGGTTTCCGCAAATACCTTGTAGGATGGACAGAGCCAAAAAAAAATAAAAACAAAACGCAAAAACATACGAAAGCCCGGATTCGCTGGTGGTCACCCACCCAACTACTAACAGGCCGGCGAGTGGCTTGAGTACGGCTGAGCGGACGGGAAGCCCTATTTTCCACTCCCTATGTTCGTATGTGCTTATTTACAAAGGGCTGGTTAATTTATAGCAGGACCTCATGCCCTGCTCCATAACTGAATTCCCAACGGCGAAACCAAGGACCTTACTACATGTTTTCACGTTCCTGTGGACAGATGAATGGCCATGATCTGAAAAATTTACATGCCTTAGGGGAAGGTAATAGCAGAGAAATGGTGTCTCCCGTGACAATTATATGTAGGTTAGAACTTCTTGGTTATTATGCTTGGTATCAAGAGTGAGATTTTTCACCCTTTTTGATAAATCCGGGGCAGGAATATATATACCTTCAAGACAGTTGTCATGCGATCGCCTCTGGACAAACCCAAAAATGGATATTATCCTGGTGAACGAAATGTCGTCACAGTAGATTTCGCAAGCAGGAAGGGAAAAGCATTCAGCAAGATTGATACCCGCTCACTGTGAAATTATTATCCTATCCTATATCACATCATAGATGACATATTTCTCTTCCAGGCGTATCGAGACCGACTCTACTTTCAATACTAAAAAGAAATTCTCCCCTCGCTAGACCTCGAACCCTCTGCCTCATCGATTCATAAACATAGAGTTTAGACCGCTGAGCTATCTGGCCTGTTTCAAGCAATTAAAGTTTGGAAATAGTTGGATTCTTAATTCCATGCGGGAATATGTATTACCCGGAAGGTGCAAGCTCGAACCTAGCGGAAGGTGTTTATTGAGCAATAATCTTCATAGTTCTCACCACTTACTATAAGCCGAAATCAATTCTTCGAAATTCGGGTGCGCCATACATACTGCTGCTAACTAAGTAAATGGTTGTAGGGTTGATGTGAGATCATGTAACATCGACATAATGTATTACCAGTGTTGACTTTAGACGAAAGGTTGAAAAGAAAACGGATTTGCATTGGACGGAATGAAGAGATATGGGGGTTGCAATGCTGCCTACGATAATTAAGCATTCTACCACAGTAAGTGTGGCATATTCCAACTGATGCCCGTTTTAGTTTAAATCCATACCGTCATTGCAATGACAACCTCTTTGGTGATATGAAACTTAGATAACTCAGAGCAGGGAAGCAAATTCCGCAAAACGGTAAATCCTGCTAAGTTAAATTCTGTTTCCTATACTATCCATTTTTGACTTTCCATCCCGCTGGATAGGAAACATGGTTTGAAGACCAGATATAAAAGATGCGGCTAATAGCCGCCATAACCCATGTCACCACCCGCCTGGGCACCCTTGGCGTCGCCTGTTTCGGATACGATCAACCCCACAACAATCACCTTCTCTCAACGTCATCTTAATCTCTGCTCCTCTTTCATTCCTCTTCATTCTCTCTGTGGCCTCTTTTTTGCCTGCATACGCCCTGCATTTATTAGCTGGACAAACTTGGAGACGACCACTCCTGTCCTGGGAAGCTGTTCGTTACTGTGTGGCCGCGTTTGCTCTCTCCTGGTGTCCGTCCGGCTCCGATTGCTCTTCATTTTATCGTCATCCGAGCGTGATGACGAAGGGTGATAGTGTTGTAATGGTTGCAATGATAATATTGTATCGTCCATGTCTTATATATTCATGTTCTTAATTATTTCAATCGTCCTGTTTTCTTTGTTTTCTGTCTCTTATCTCTCCTTCTCCATCCACGCCCAAGAGGGATGGTATTGAAATGGATACATGTCTTGCCTAAGGATAGCAGTCAGATATCTAATTTTTCACTGTGAATAACTTGGGCTTTTCTTATCATATAACCTCACTTTCCTAAAATTTGTGAAAAGCTGCAGCTGGTTGTGCAGGCTAGAGTGGAAAAACTTCCCACTCTCCTTTTCTTTGGGGTTTCTGTCGTCGCATGTGCAGGAAACATTTTCCATCGCCTGTTGATAAAAGGTAGCGTGTTCGTTGGTTTCACAGGCTAAGTTCATTTTTGCTGTTTCGAATAGCTCAGCATAGTTGCACGACCCGAAAGCCGCACGATCCTTACAGAAGCGTGAGACGATGGACCTTTGCTGGCGACCATCTCAGAAGATCTCAATCCTCCTCTTGACCCAGTCGCAGGTTCTCCTTTACCCAGGTTAATCCGGTTGAGAGCCCCGTTGATATGGTTGGAAGGCGCTTCTGCAGTTCACTGCTGCTAAACACGTGACCAACGCTCAAACTCGATTCCCGCTCATCAAACTCCCTCGCGTGAATAGCTCAATTGGAGCGTTGCATCCGTCTTCATTTTATGGTACAGCGGATCCCGGAGTACGGGAGATATATTGGTCAAGTTTTGGCGACTTTTTCGGCACTGTTGTGTGAGTTACAGGGTGTTCTTGTTGTATTGTGTGGTATAAAAGGGTGGATAAACACTGTCTACAGGCTAGCAGCCTGGCCTGGTCTAATGGCTAACTCGCGCACACGGTATAAGCCCGGCTTGCAAGTACCTGGTACTTAGCAACGCATACGGCCACACACCACGAGAGCACCATTTAGATGTCTAAGAAAAGGTACCGCTAGCGGGTGATGAAACCAACCCTTCGGGGCAGAGTTTCGTAACAATGAAGCCGCAAGGCTTCATTGTGAGCTTTTACAACCCTCTGGAAAATTGATTTTGTTCTCTCGGCCTTTCTGATTAATTTGATTGTGGTTTGAGCCCGGAATCCCCAAAATACGTGGTGGAAATCTACATGTACTTCTTGTATGGGCACCCTTTGTACTCCGGTACTTTTCTCTGACAAACGGGGGCTGGGTTCGATTCCTATTCACTTCAGTCTACGGACTAACCTAGCGTTTCACTCCACAATCGTCTTTAAGCCCTCGTTCTTGTCATATTATTGAGCGCAACTAAGCAGATTTACCCTGATTTTTTCTTCCACTCAATTCTGGCGGATAGCCCCTGAACAAGCCGAAATATGTTCCCAGCCGGGTTTTCAAACTACGCAATTCCCCTCAGACCTCTCCCATCTGACCTATTTCAATGGATGTCCTTCGCGAGCTGAATGACCGAGGTATCCAGTTCCATAGTCCTTGATGAAATTTTTGTATGGGTGTGCGCTTAAACTACTGTTGCTGTTGCTGCAACCCGTGAATATATTCATTGTGCCGTCGCTGAATCAGCAACGCGCTGAGCCGCGATTGCGACCGTTGCCTTTCTCAGTTATGAGTCTCATTCTTCCACCTCACATTAACAACACGACGTTGATTCTCTTCTTCATGGCATTATTCTCTCTTCTCCTCCATTTCTGCTTTGGCAGGATTGAGCCCTATCGAGCAGCCTACGTTTGGGACTAGCGGCAAGCTTCTAGAACTCTTGTTTATTATCCAGATTCAGTTCGTAGTGTTTCTGCCTTACTTTGAAATACGTCTTTTGGGATAGCTATAGCTAATGTCTGTGTTGAACTCAGGTTTGTTTACTTTTGGACATACTTCATTATCTAGATCCTCCCGATTTGGCTAGGTTTTAACTTAAAACAGGACCGTTGGATCTAAAATCCAATCGGAAGGTTAGGATACCTCGCTCCAACGGTCGCAAGCGAAACTCTCTCCTCCTAACCTCCCATTACAGCAGTTAGACGATTATCTACTTCTAAAATGACGACAAAATAACGTTGCTGGAAAGTCGCCGTCGAAGGCTTAGTTTTCCGTCTTGATCAGGACTATGAACTGTCATCATGGGCCTTTTTGTTAGCTGTAGCTCCAAAAATGCCGCTCCTCTCTGGCCCTTCACTTCACTCCATCGTTCTATATCATACCATGCTAATACTGTAGAATTTGCTATTTTAAGACCTGTACTTTGATATTCGCTCTTACCGACTATTCGCTTGCATTCAGAAAGTGAACCGAATCCGTTTCGAGACCCCGCTACCGTCGGCCGTCTTCTGCTACCATAACAATGAAGATGAATACTTCGTTCAAGCCTAAGGAAAAGTTGAGCTTGTTAGATCGGCTTAAAAAATGCAGATGGCTATCGCTCCAATGCCGCAGGGCATTGGCAGTTGAAAAGCCCCCTCTTTGCCGCAATACAGTTTCTATAGAATATTTAAGCACGCCAGATGTTCGCATCCACATCGTCGAGCTTGCTAGATCTTCTGTTCCAGCACTTGACATCAAAGAGAGTGAAGGCAGGCTAGCAAAACTCAAGCGCCGTGCTCACCTTTTGTTCCGGCGGAAAGATAACAATGCTCGCGCCGCGGTGGGAGATGAAATCAATGCCTTGGGTGGCCATGGTGATTCCCAGACGCCAGCACTTACGGAGAAGTCAAATCGCAGAGCCCACTTCCCGTTTCTCCGCAAATTCTTCAGATCCCAGACAGCAGCCGAGGTCAAGCCGCCAAACACATCCTCATCCATTGACTACGTCCAAAAACCTCTATTACATCAAAGTTCACTTTGCTCTTCTATCGTCCGAAAATTTTCTCCTTCAGCAGCCTCTACAGCTGAGATGGATCTGAGTGACTGGGCCCCCTTGACTACCTTTCCTAAAAGCCGTCCCTCCGGCGCAAAACAAATGGAGACCTGGCAGATTTCGCCTGCACCCACCCGTGTCATATCCCGGCCCTCTGGCAGTGGGCGCAATATTGAACTTGGGCGTGTGCAACTAGCGCCACTGGAGCGGAAATATCGCAAAAACCGGCGTACTGAGTGCCCTGTAACGAACTGGCTGGATGGGTTACCTAACGAACAACCCAGAATCCGTCGGATGGCGAGTGTAGATAATTTACACGAACTGATGACATCCCATTCGTCGTAGCGATACAATATACTGACGGGGAAGGCTTGAGGAAATGGGCGGCGGAATGACGTCATTAATTTCATCAAGTGCACCTTTGAACAAATTTTGGTTTGGGTTTCTGTATTGAATAATTATTAATTGATTAACTAACGAAGATGTTATATTGTACATGAAAAACATGTATCAAAACCACTAATGTCTTTCCCGGGTGTTTGGAATTAATTCAGTCATCTTACCCGATTATGTGTATATACAAATATATCTACCCCTTTCTGTCTTTTACGATGCTTTTGTCCGGCGTGAGCGCGCGTGTACACTTTTTGGAGTTTGCAACTGCACAAGATCTATTCTCAATATAGCAACAAGGTGATTGTCCCAAGGTCCAAGAAAATGTATTTAATGTAAGTAACAGGATCAAGTGTTGGCCGTTTATTCACCAATGACCGGCGATCAACGCGCTTAATTTTGTCGATCGACTACAAGCCACAGCCGCGGGACCCACTCGTCAAACTGTATCAATTTCAACAAATCAAATAGGCAGAAAAAGGTCTATTAAAGCAATAGAAGTTGACGAATCGGGGTGGTAGGATCGTAGGAACTTGGTGCGCAAGTTGGTATCATAGAGGGGGGGAGGGGGGGGGAAATCTCCAGGGAATACGAGCTTTTAGGTATTTGTATAGAAAGTAGAGTACATACCTTCGCTATATTGTTTGAAATTTAGTTCAATAGCCATCCAGGCGATTAAAACTGTCGCGTTCTAGAAAATCTCAAAGAAACACAGTTTTCTCCATTGTCTCTCGTTTCGGGTTGGTGGCCAACACCTCCAAAAACGGAACAACATGTTTTCTTTCTTCGGATACTGTTGTTTTAGATGGGAGGGTAAATAGGAGAAATTAGGGGTGTGTTCAAAGCGGATGGCAAGAAAATCATATTGAAATGAAACACATTGCAAGGAGGGGGTGTAGGAAATGAATCTCATCAGGCCGGTTATGACTGGAAGTAAAACGTTACACAATAATTTATGTGTAAACAGCTTTCATAGTTTCATCGCGATATATCATTCTGTTGTTTCTTTCAACTCCAGTAAAGCATAGAAGACATCTAGCAGTAGAGCTTCAATTAACATAGAAACATTTTAACTCGGGCGGTGACACCCGTTTCAAATAATCAAGGGAAGTGTTTTAGCCACTTGAATATCACCAGAGCAATGGATAATGTGGCTAAATCTATTCCTCCACAATCCCTACAAGAGCAAGTGGCAAAAAGGAAAATGTCGAGATAAAGAATTATACATGATTCTAGCAAGACGCCAGCTGATTTTTAAAACCAGCTTTCTAAGACAATGTTTCGGGCTCTTTGGCGGTTTTTGGCTTCATAGATTTGGAAGATGAGGGCTGACCGGTTTTGAAATAGAGGTAATATGGGGCTAAGTCTTTGATAAATAAGAATGGGAGTGGAAATGCATATTGAGACGCTATAACACGTTTCCAAGGTGTTATAAATGGTGATTTGAAAATGTGGAAGTGCCGATGCTTATGGTGGGCCAAAAGAAATGAAGGAAAGGCGAAGGCAGCATAACTGTTGAGTTATATGAACTCACAGATTTAACCAGCTTTGAAGTTTCACATTCGGTGCTGGATTTCCCATACTATCATGGAAGCAGGGACTCCTCATCAAAAAAATGGTGGTGGACGTAGTACTGTACATATGTGGAAAGGTATAAGGCACAAGCAGGTCATGGGGATCCGACGAGACACGAGAAAACACAAATGTCCAAAAAATGGTAGGACACGAGGACGATGGATGGATAAGGTATTTAGGAAGGAAGAGCCCCGCAGGTATCAGTGCTACTATTGAACTAGAATTTAAATCATCCATGACTCCAAAGCTCTTGCAAAGCCCAAAAGGTAGTCTAGAAAGAAATATAAAATAATTGAGCGCTGAAGGACAGAGATAAGTATCGATGCATATAGATGGGGAAGAATAAAGTAGATGAGTTCACCCCAAGCAAGGTGTTTAATCTCCAAATAAAATTAAGCAATGTGAAAAGATGGGCTGGCCATCATCCCAAGGGTTGACAAAATACGCATTGAAAGATATGAATGGTGAATAAGAGAAATAATATATAACACATTGAAATATAGGAGGTAGTTTAGTTACCGGCCAATGCCCTGATTTCGCTCTGGAATTGTCGACCGAGCCCATTTCATGACTCATCCGAGTCCGGGTCTCCATTTTTCTCAACTGGCGGGGACAGTTGGTCTACCTCTTGAGTTGGAGGAGATGGTGGTGACTCGGGCTTGGGGGGTGAAGCGATTGACTTCGCCTGGACAATCCCGAGAAGGTAGTCTCCTAGGTTGCCTGATCCGTCTATTTTATCCATTTTCGTTTTGAAATACTGAACGTCGGAGATCATTCTGGATAATTCTGAATGTTAGCTTTACGGGGCTACAAGGCTTTAAAAAAAGAAGATTAAGCAAAGGAAAGGACAGAAAAATGTTCTACCAACTAACCGTTCTTTACCACTCTCCGTTTTCAGTGCAGCTGCTTGGAACGCCTTCGTCCATTGTTCTCTATAGCTGGCGAAGACGGGATCCATGATCATCATCACTGTTGATTCTGGTAGATGCTTAGCCAGGACTCGATGGAGCGTACCGGTCTCCTTCGTCAAAGTCTCCATGTACGGACTGACGGCAGAGGTGTCCTGCATTTGATCCCAGTCAATCTTTTTCATAGAATTGGCGTGGATAGAAGCGCGGGAGCTCATGATATCGACTAGCTTTTCATGGATACCAGATTGGTGTTCTTGGTAAAGTCGTTTGACTTTATCAAATTCAGCCATCAGCGTCGCGGAGGTGTGGTGCCGGCGGATGAATTCACGAATGTAGGGGATAAGTGCGGTGATAAAGCTCAGTGCCTGAGAAGCGAGAGCAAGATGTTTCGTTGTTATATTTTTCAAGCCGGCACTTCTCGTGGCACCAGCACCGAGGATTAGCTGGGAAGAGCGGGAATTAAATAGCTTGAGGCATTCGAGGAAATTAAGTGCTATGTCGTGCACCATACTTGGAATTCCCGTCATCAAATGCTCAAATTCATCAATTATTTTTAAAATCAGAAGCGCAGACCGCGGTAGAATATACTTCTGATCATCCACCACTGCACCTCGTACTTTATCTTTCCCTGTGCTAGATACCCCGTTGCCATTCACCTCAGAGCTCCCCTGCACCGTAGTCGATTCCTGGCTGCCATCTTCGGACTCCCAAATCCTCGAAGTTGAAACCCAAAGCTCTATATCTTGAGTACTCGCCCTGAGTATTCGAGACAGCAGGGCATTCTCTTCGTCACCAAAATCTTTAGCGTCCCACCTATCTGAATCCATTACTTGCACGATTTTATGTTTGCTGCTATCGCCAAAGTTGGATATAAATTCCTTTATCTGGGTATCAACCACGTTTTTCAAAGCCGCGCCACTTCGACCAGAAATTGCTTCACACTCGTCGGCAAAAAGCTTGTTCAAGCTAAAATATTTCAAAAACTGCTCCAGTGAGCCGTGAGCTATCTGCTCTGAGCGAACTTTTAAAATTTTAACTATTTGCGACTGAACAATATCGACCGCCTGACCGAGAAGGCTCGACATGTCAAAAACCTCCAATATCTCTTCCTGTGCTATAACAGGCGTGGTCCTGGAACGGCTAATTGCGTCTAGCGAACTCAGACTTGGACTTCGGCCGGGAGATCTTATCCCGCCAGTACTAGGAGGACTACTGAGTCCACTGGTAATATCCAGTAATACTTTAACTTGCACACTCAACCTCCGGAGGGATTCGCTAACGCTGGTGTATATTTTTGTTAACATTAGGAATGCGTCGTCCGGATCGAGTGCCCGGAGATTACGCGCTAGTATCGATGACTTCTCTTGCTGATTTAGCCGGCGTCCTCCATGAGTCGATGAAGACATTATTGATTCATTATCATCATCGCTTGAACTGGGCAGATGCCGGCGGATCGCATTTTTCATTTCGCGGAGAACAGCACTTTTGAACGAGGTTGCAGCAGGCGTGGTGTATTTAGCTCGACCTAGACCGGCCAGTTCTGTTCTTAACCCTGACCTGAATTCACTACCCACAGTCATATACGTTGGCAGACCAGATACGACTCTTCGATGGCCCCTCCGTGAGCGTTGGGACGCGTCTCCTAGTCGTAGTAATGTGAGGTCAGGAGGAATACTCTCGACATGTCGTCTTAGGTCCCCTATCAAGCAATCCAAGAACTGTCGTTCATACCCGAGCCCAATCCGATGTCTCAGTTGGCTCAAATCGTGTGATGCCCCTTCCAAAGCTTTGATCCCACGAAGATCTATGAGAGTCTCCGGTAGTTGAGACTCGTTCAAGCGATCGTCACGACTTATGAGTACCTGCTCACCCGCCGTAAGTCTTTCAACATTATCCAGTTCATCTAGCGCGTTTTCAATATCGCCATTTTCTACCATTTGCTCACATCGCGACACGCATGTGATAACTTCCTTGAGTTGGCAAACGGCGTCGGCCAATTTTCTCACGTTCTCTCGCCTACGGCGTAGGCTAACGACTTTTAGGCCTCCCAAGGCCATATCGTTGTCCAGCTTTGCTAAGTCTTTTCGCAGGGCTTGAATTTTTTGAACAGAATCGGTTGCTTCTCTGTGGAGCTCTTGCAGCGAGCCGAGGGCAGCGAAGAAAGAAGTAGAGGCAGTTGAAATGGAGGAAATAAGGTGGATTTCCACGGTATCGAGATACCATGATAATTTCTCTTGCAAGATCGCATTTGTCGCCAGTGCCTTTCTACTAGAAGATGGGCGTGAGTCGAAGGCGCCATTAGGAGCTTTCTCATCAGAAGGCTTTGGAAGGGATCGGACAACCTCTGATCGCTCAGAAACGATATCAAATGTCCGGGGGTTTTCAAGGTGGAAATCCTCATCAAAGTAAACGCTTGGAATAGTGGACAATGGTGCAGTAGCCGGACCTCGGGCCCGCTGGCCTGAAGACCTTCTTCGCGGGGTGGAATATTCCGACACCGGAGTGAGAGATGATTGCTGGCCAGATAGTCTCCTTTCCAATTGACCACTCAACAGCGTATCGACATCTCCAGATAAAGAGGAAGTGCTGCTCGTTCTAAATAGGTGCGGGTCTCTTTCATCGCCATGCTCCTTTGAACGGCGTAAGGTGTCATATAACGATCCAACCTGGGAGAGGTATGGTTGAAATGCCTTGGGATCGACGTGAGGAATGTTGGTTAAAGTAACGGGTGGGATATCTCGAGTGGTCGGCGGTTTGTACCCGCTTGACAGAGCGGAGGCCTGTGGTAGCAGACCAGTGCGAACTATAGGTTGTTGTAGAAGGGTAGAAATGGCTAAATAAAGAAATCAAGATAGAAAATCAGCATTTCTTTCGAAGCTACTTTACACACAAGACCCAAGAGCATGACTAACGAACCATTGTGTCCAGCTTCCGTTATTGACCCATGATGAAGTGAAGAGTCCAAAGCTCCTCCTACGCCCCCGTTAATCGAACTAGCGGTCGAGCTTCGCCTGGAATCATAACGCGGTCGATGAGGGAAACGTCCGCTAGGATCATACTGACTGGACGTATGTTTCGTAGGCGAGGAAACTGAGGCGATAGTGGCCAAGCTTTCCACCGACTTAGGCCGGTCGGAAGAGATCATATCGAAGTAAACACCACAGCTGGTGGTGACGAACGGTCGTGACAGAAGATCATCATATAACTAAATCCGGGGTGAGACTCGACCTAGAAGGAAAAGCAGAAAGAACGCGACAACAAAATGAAACCATCAATCCAGTGACTTTGCGCCAGGGGTATATCGTCATCCACCTTGAAACCCAGCTGTCAGGCCCGCGGATATTGCTCCTTGATACCGGGTGATCTTGAAGGATAGTTGTTCTGCTGGTGGCTTGGTCGATATTGCCCAATCAGACGGCAGTCGGCAGAACCCCGAATCCTTCTCACCGCTTTCGGCCCGGAGGCAGATTTATCCGTCGTGAACACGCCAAGAAACCACTTTACACGTGGGAGAGGTTCAACGCGTCGCGTTCCTCACCTGAGGAAGAGAGATTTCTCATTGCCAATTGGCAGCAGACAACTTCTTCAGACTCATACCTCCATCCGTTACAAAACCCCGAGACCCAGTGCTAGGTTGTTATCACCATGGATAGGAGAACACCATACTCGTTGAGCGTGCTCCAACCGCAAACGGATGGGCTGGGGGAACCACGCACAAGAATCCAGGCACAGTTACGGGAGTTCATCTTGGCCTTCCAGCTGGATAATACATTCATTTACAGGTAAACTCTGAGTTTCTGTCAGCTATGTAAAGTATAGGGCATTTTCGTTGCTGCGATGTACGTCAATTAATCCGAGAATTTTATAGAGACCAAATTCGACAGAATGTGTTGATCAAAAAGTACTATTGCGATGTTGATATCGCTCACCTCATCGCATACAACGAAGAACTAGCCCACAGGCTGACCACAGACCCGGCAGACACAATCCCACTTGTAAGTACCGTACCTATTTGTTGATGGATGGCGACTTATTTCCTTTTTCATTACAATTTTCGCAGTTTGAAGCCGCTCTCAAACAATGTACTCAAAGAATCGTGTACCCATCCGAACGAGATATCGAACTCCCTGAACACCAACTCCTGCTCCACTCGAGTGTATCGCATATCACTATTCGAGAGCTGAATGCCACCAATATATCTCATTTGGTCCGGATCCCAGGTATTGTTATAGGAGCGTCTACAATATCATCTAAAGCTACTCGTCTACACATAACCTGTAAGAACTGCGGGGAACGTGAAAATATCATTATCGACGGCGGATTCTCAGGTATCACTCTCCCAAGGCAATGCAAGCGCCCTAGAGAAAAGGACCAGGACCCATGCCCTCTCGATCCGTACGTGATAGAGCACGAAAAATCCCAGTTCGTTGATCAGCAGGTGCTCAAGCTGCAGGAAGCGCCTGACCAAGTGCCTGTCGGAGAACTTCCTCGACATATCCTCATATCTGCAGATAGATATCTTGCCAATCGTGTCGTCCCTGGTTCAAGGTGTACTGTTATGGGGGTGTTTTCAATTTATCAAGCCAAGGGCAGCAAAAACGCAACTAAAAGCGCCGTCGCTATTCGAAACCCATATCTTCGTGCGGTTGGGATAAGTACTGATGTAGACCACACTGCCAAAGGCAATTCTGTCTTCTCAGATGAAGAGGAGCAGGAATTCTTGGAAATGAGCAGACGTCCAGATCTCTACCAGGTCTTCGCTGATTGCATCGCTCCTTCAATTTATGGAAATCAAGATATTAAAAAGGCGATAGCTTGTCTCCTCATGGGTGGATCGAAGAAAATCCTCCCTGACGGCATGAAGCTTCGAGGAGATATCAATGTGCTGTTACTAGGTGATCCTGGTACCGCTAAGTCCCAATTGTTGAAATTCGTGGAAAAGGTGTCTCCAATTGCCATCTACACTTCTGGCAAAGGCTCGTCAGCTGCTGGTCTTACTGCCTCCGTCCAGCGGGACACCACGACCCGTGAATTCTATCTCGAGGGCGGTGCAATGGTACTTGCAGATGGTGGCGTTGTCTGTATCGATGAATTTGACAAGATGAGAGACGAAGATCGAGTCGCCATCCACGAAGCTATGGAACAGCAGACCATTTCCATTGCAAAAGCTGGTATTACCACCATACTCAATTCTAGAACGTCCGTTCTCGCAGCTGCAAATCCAATCTTCGGACGATATGATGATTTGAAAACGCCGGGCGAAAATATCGATTTTCAAACTACCATCCTGTCCCGATTTGATATGATATTTATTGTCAGAGACGAGCATGAAAAAGGCCGTGATGAAAGAGTTGCCAGACATGTTATGGGCATACACATGGGTGGGAGAGGAGTAGAAGAACAGGTTGAAGCGGAGATCCCAGTTGAAAAAATGAAGAGATACATTAGCTACTGTAAATCGTAAGTCATAGACTAACAGCCAACCAGTCATTAATACCCAAGCAAGTCCCCAATATTAACAAACTGCTTCAGACGCTGCGCTCCACGACTCTCCCCAGAAGCCGCAGAAAAGCTTTCCTCGCACTTCGTCTCGATCCGCAAGCAAGTACACAAAGCTGAACTAGATGCCAACGCCCGCTCCTCAATTCCCATCACAGTCCGCCAGCTCGAAGCCATCATTCGCATCAGCGAATCCCTCGCAAAACTTACCCTCTCCCCCATCGCGACGGAAGAGCATGTCGATGAGGCCATCCGACTCTTCCTCGCCTCTACCATGGATGCTGTCACGCACGGTGAAGGCCAAGGTAGCAAAGAGCTACTGGCAGAGGTTGGCAAAGTTGAAGACGAGCTGAAACGGCGGCTACCGATTGGATGGAGTACGAGCTTGGCTACGCTGCGGAGGGAATTTGTGGATGGACGAAATTACAGCGAGCAGGCATTGAATCGGGCCTTGCTTATTCTCCAACGACGGGAAACGATACAATTTTGATCTGGCGGTTCCCCGATTTATTGAAATGGACCCTGATTTTTTTTTTGTTTTTATTTATTTTTGTTTCTTTCTTTCTTTATTTTTATTTTTTATTCCCCCCCCCCCCCCCCCCCCCCCCCATACGTTTTGCTTACCCCTGGCTGGATATGTTACATCACATTTGTTGCACTGATTAAGAAAACGAGTCAAGAAGGCGGCATCGGGATTTTTCGGCAAGTTACAGATGGTCAACGGCTATGCAGATGGTGTTTATGAGGAGTTCTACTTTTCTACTTTTCTTGTTTCACAACCCACATATGACAACATAAATAATATCACGACACACGATGCTAAAATATAACAGTACAATAAATATTTCATCAGATCAAATCTTATGACGCGGGTTATCAGGTTTCCTATGACTATTCATTTTCCCAGAAGCTGCCTGGAAGGATGTATATTTTCAGAGGTTGGCTGCTTGCTGCTGTTCTCCCACCCTCCTCGGTTTCTTCTCCCATATAAACAATGATGCTAAAACCGACACGCCTGAAAACGCAGTTAAGAATATATTTTGCTTATTATACCCCTCCCCAAACGCCTGTCGCACGGCGATCCGTTGAGCGGGTGTTAAATCGTCAATTGCAGAGAGGGAGTCTGAGATGGCTCGAAGTTGAGAGGGGCTGATCACGGAGGCCATCTTTGGTCTGAGACAGTTGTTGAGGATTGTCGAGCTACATTGTCAAAAAGGCGGATCAATGGTGGTTCATATAAAGGCAAGCAGAATACCAGGGACAATCAGTCACCATACCATATTGCTAGTGATATCGTGCCCGCTAAAACACGTACTTGTGTGAGAGCCCCCATTGCTACTCCTATTGGTTTAAACCTCATTAGCTTTTCTAATATTCGTAACATGAGCGCCTAATTCACAGTACCTAAATAAGGCTCCTTTATTACCAGCGGCGCAAGTGTTAGTATGGTAGTCAAACTCAACCCAAACCCAAGTCCCATAAGTGCTTCGTAACCGTACTGCTGCGGCGAGACCTCAAATGAATGGGTTGGCAGCGTGCATGTTAATCCCACTCCGATGAATTGCAAAATGGATCCTAGAAGTATCAAATAAAAAGGAGGGATTTTGAGGTTAGAGGTGAGCATGCCGGAAACGGATGTGGCAAGTGGAGATGTGAGTAGCAAGGGGAGTAAGGCCAGTCCTGCCTTCACCGAGGAAAGTCCACTAACAACTTGGGCACGTTGGGGGATATTGACGACGATTGCAACAAATGGGAAGCCGGTAAAGAAAGCAGTGCTTGATTCTCGCACATATCAATATTGGACATATCATACTTAAGAAGTGACTGTTGAGGGAGGACGAGTTAGATGAATGGGGAACGAATTTAACTCACGCCATCATAGCTGCCAACAACCTATTCTTGAGAAGTCGAAGTGGGAAAACAGGCTCCTGTAATGAAGTCGATTTTTCAAGAAACAATTCCCAGAAAACAAACAGAATACCAGCGATACCTCCAACGCAGAAAGTAGATATAGTAACAGCGTCACTCCAGGAATAGCGAGTGCCAGCCTCCTCCAAGGCGAAAACGAGAAGAATAGAAGATGCGAGGAGTAGAAACACCCCAACAACGTCTACTCTTCTGAGTGCCGCTCCGGAGATCTTGGCCCGCAAATGATTTGTGAACTTCACGTCCGGTCGAGATGAAATCGATGATGGCAAAATTAAGGCCACAATCCCAATGCAAACGCATCCCGCCGGTGCGCTATATGCGAAAAGCTGGTAAATATATCCACTTCAGCAGTTACAATGGACAGAGTGCTCGCACATACTTCAATAGAAATATCCACCTCCATGCGGAGTTGTTGCTGATTGCTCCCCCAAGGATGGGACCGAGCACACTCGCGATAGCAAAAACTGAGGCTATTATCGCAAGATATTTCCCAAATTTCTCCGGGGGAACTAAGGTCGGCGCTATCACCATAATCATGGAATATATTCCAGATGCCCCCATGCCTTGAAAGGCACGGAAAATAATGCTGTTCACACTCGGTTAGCGTCGTGAGAAGCTTGTGTCACGGCACTTTAGGCTTACAGTTCCACAACGTCATTTGTAGCACCGCAAAGGATCGAGAAGATAGTGAATAAAGACAAGGCCAGTAGGAACATAGACTTCCTGCCGAATACATCTCCCAACTTGGCGTATATCACGAGGAATCCTCCACCATCGTGTAAGTGCAAGGATTAATCAAAGGTAGAATGTAATAAGAAAAGTGCACAACGTTACCAGTATAGGTCAAAAGATAAGACGTAACAATCCAATCTCGCTTTCCAAACCCATCAAGAGCATTGGTGATAGAGACCAGTGAAGTACTGACGATTGTAGTCTCCAGCGTGGAAAGGAACAGGCTCAGCCAGATGCTATATCTCGAGTGATTAATTTGTTTCCCAACGCTGGCCAAACTGTTTCTTCCCATCAGCGCAACTCACCCAGTAGTCAAGAGATACATTCGCCAGCCGCGAATGTATGGAAAATTTCCCTCATTCTCTGCATTTGGTTCTGTATTTCCGTCATTGTCATGGTCAATTTTATCTTTGACTTGAGATATTTCGTGATCCGGGTTTCTTGCATCGGGGTGTATCCTTTCAGGCTCCGAAGCCGCCATTCGGATAATATGATTTCTTGTACGCACCAGCAGGAATGGGAGGAAGACCTGGAGGAGTTCCAGGTTGCTGTCGTCGAGGCATTTTGATTTTTTGCCAGCCAATCTTCCGATTCCTGGGCGGACAATCGCGTTTAAAGAACCTCCAAGATGGCTGCTGCCTAAATGGTGGTTCGCTTGTCACGTGACCGTTTTTGCAAACCATACCTGGCGAGAAGGTCGAACATTTGCGAAGCCTGAACTTCCTCTCAACTCCAATTCTCAAGAATGTCGAATCAACGACATAACGCGCCAATCTTCTTACATGCAAATTTCGATGTAACTGCACTTCTTCACCTTGCCCAGCGATTACGAAACGTACCTTGCACTTGTGACCTGTCTCAGAGACCAAGAAGCGGTAGCCTAAATTGGGTTATTTTTCTCACCTTCGATGATGGTGTCGAATGGGTATTCCGCTCCCCTCGGACATGTTACGGTTTAGATGAGGAGACTGCTGGAGTTGTGCTTGCGAGCGAAGCAGCCACAATCAAATACATTCGAGAGAACAGTTCCATTCCTGTTCCAGAGGTGTTCTACTACAGGTACGTCACCACTTGCTCCTTTCAACTTCGCTTACTGAATGGAACAAAGCCCTACCAGATTAAATGAAATCGGAGTGCCATTCATATTAATGAGCAAAGCCAAAGGCTCTCCCCTTAGCACTCGCAGTTGGCACCCGCAACCTTACCAAATCCCAAAGACCGCTCCGCGCCAGTGTCTTAAACAACAGGAAAAGAAGAAGGTTATGAGACAACTCGGGGAAATGATATCACGACTGTCATGCCTTCGGTTTGATACGATGGGCTCGTTGTTTGAAGATGCGGGTTGTTTCAGTGTGAAGACATGCCTTTCGCCTGGACTGCTCTTGCAAGACAGACACGCATTACAAGGTTTCTTCCGGGGACCATTCTGCAGTGAGAAGGACTACTATAAGTCACTTCTATCCGCATTTTTCCAGCATATACAGTTTCTCACGTTAGAACATCACACCTTCTTCGCTCCCGTTCCTGTGCCTTCGGAATACAATTCTTATGACAGTTATCTATCTGCGACTGATAAATGGAACGATTACGTCACACTTGGCTCGAAAATTGATAGCAGCAAGAACAGATTGGACTATTTTATCACTGGCCGGTTTCTCGAGGGTATGATACCATCCTTAATAACCAAATCCGACGCGATCATGGACAGTTTCGAAGTTGGATATCCTCTCCACCATCCTGATCTTAGTGCTAGCAACATCTTTGTTGACGATGATTACAACATCACTTGTATTATCGACTGGGCTTTCTCATCGTCTGTGCCGATTGCCATGCTTCTTGCGACACCAGGCTTGCCTCATCCCAGGGATGAGATAGAGCCAGCACTTGACTTAGCATTCCGAGCCAGTGTCGCAAAATGTTTTATGAGAGAAAAAAATGTGACGCTGCATCAGCCAGTTTGGGAGATGACTAGAAAGGTGCGGCTTTTTACACGATTGACCCACTTGGATGCCTTACAGGACTATAACCTTTTTGCAGAGCTTTACACTTTAGTGTATAAACAGCAAATGTCGGACATACCCACCATGTTTAAGGAACAGTATGGCGAGCCAGCGGTTCGGGATATGAAAAAGATTCTCGTGGCCGACGATCAATCATCAAGTGATATTGAACGGAATGAGAAGGCATACTTTTCCAACGTGGAACCCAAGCGACATACATTGGCAAAAAAGCTTACTCTCGTTTCGGTAATGAGCAGAGGGTTTGTAGCGGATAGGAAACTGTGGCACTGGATTGAGGACGCGGAGATATTGTGAATAAATAGTGACCAAAATATTACAATAGAGGCGTCACTGCTCCTCTTATGTGATTGAGCATTCTCTTCCTTATAAAGGATGGAATCGCAATTGTTGTATATTTATATTGGACGGGTTTTTTCCAACGGGAACGCCTGAGTAATTTGTTCGCTTCCTGCAGCTAGCTTTCACATATTTATTCCGGCTCCAGATACCGTCTATTATTTAAAAACTAGTGAGGCTCATCATCTCCCAGTGATAATTTTTTCTAACCATCGCACAGCCGACGACGATGAATGGAGCAGAGGAACAATAAGTAATGATACGCAAAGCACCAGTCTTCACACGGTAATGACCAAGCCCACTAAATGGGCATAAAGAATCAAGCTTATCCTTCCAGGTGATCGACGATACCACGGGAGACACCTACTACGTTTACGTGCAGTATATTCGTAAAAGAGCTTCGTGGGATTGAAGTGAGATGAGCTTCAGCTTTTACCGATGCGGAGATGAAAATACTCTAGACGAGACATCTCATCAGGACCGAGTTCCGGTTGTGGTATTGAGGCCCTTCTATTAATTACTTTTGATTTGTTGTTTTCCTTGTGCTGTTGCAGTAGCAAGTCTCAGGGTGGGCAACGGAGATTCGCACCGGGTTGCTATAAATTCGCTGGTATTAGATATCCAAATCTTTAGCAATCAGTCGTCATGGCGAGGGTTCGAGACGGAAATATAGCTTATTAGTACGGAATTACTTGTCCAGTCTTACGAATTGGCTTGAAGAAAATCTAACCTAGAATTAGACTGGCCGTGTGACTATTCATCTTAAATTCTAGAGATATGTGGATATTTTGGTTATTTTTGTGGTGTTTTGCTACTACTTTTCAGGGGGTGGCAGAAAATTCTGTTTTTGCAAGCTTTCCATCCGCCACAATACCACAATACCTAATTCATGCCGGAGGGATTTTCAGCTTGAGACCTGGATAGTACTGGAAGGGAGAGGAATAATTTGATCTCCACATTGTATTCCTCGGGTCCCAACGTCACATTTGCCAGCGGCAATAGTATTCAATCCGTCGTGACACTTTGAAGATCCTGCCAGCTCAATACCATACGATCAGGTTTCAAGATCCGAGCGTTCCCAATCCCACCTCCGTAGGAGGGCAATCGAAGATGGTCTCGTTCAACGAAAATCCTCAGGGGTGCTGCCCCTAGCTAACATACAAGGCGTAATTAGAGGGAACACGACAACATCGTTTGGGAACTAATCCTAAGATATCTAATAGCCTTACTTACATTCCGAACGAATTCATAGACGTAAAGAATTCAGCCTTCGACTTCAGGCCCGGGATGTCGCTTTATGCCCAATCCCTGTCTATGGCATTATACGAGTCGAGGGATATGTATTAAGTATTCGTATAAAGCAGGCCCGTGAGCGTATTCTGTGTAGCAACCTCCGCAATTGTCTCCATGTTTTTCTCTCATCACAGTGCTACACAATCGTCCGCTGAATGTGACATTGTGCGATGACGTCGAGGCGTCCGAGCACGTTTTTTGTTAGCCGTAGTTACTTACCTTGTCCTTGTGTGATATTTTTTCTCGTACATATCATATTTATAATTTGAGGGAGAGAGCGAGAGATAGATATCCATATTTATAGCTAGTGTAGTTGGTGATTGAAACATTGGATACCAGAGTGGGCACTAGCAAGTTATAGGTAGTTAGTTAGACGGGTTAATTGGACAGCAGGTATGGAAATTATGGTCCATTTTCGCTATTCTCTTGTAAATGCACAATAGAATCCTGTAAAAATCCTGTAGTTAATAGTACCAGAATAAAATGGGAGGGTTTTTCAATTTGTAGCCATTAGAGGGAAGAGCATGCAAACGGCCACATTACTTATACTCATTGTCATCCTGCGCAAATATGCATCTGAAAGCAATTCTCGTTACACAGGGCAGAGAGGGAGAATATGGGGGTAGAGATGCACTCTGCACTAAGTACCCGAGTCTTCCTACGTTAGTTATTCTAAATATTTTTGGTTTCTAGTTGTTTCGTCTTGATTGGTTCTGTTAGTTACGTCGGCGTAACCAACCCCGGACAATATTGAGAGTATATATTGTTCTCGAGACTGGTCACGAACAAGAGGGGACAATATCTTCTCTCGGGAGCATAGGGCATAACTAGTAGCCGCTGGAATACACGTAGCCAGTAATCATCTCCTCTGATGTCCGCCCATATGCAATCTGCATGATGAGTTTTCTTGGGAAGAAGCCGACCCAGAAAACAAAGAGGCCGAAGAAAACGAAAACCCCGAATACGGGACATCAGTCTCAAAGAAATTTCCATACCCCCTATTTTCTAACGTAGCCGATAAACTCAATAGTAGAAAATATTTGTTAGGAAAGGGATGGAAAAGGGTAAAAACAAACTACCTGGGCTGCAGTAGATTGTTGCTTGATGCAAACATTATTTCATAGTAATTTTAGAGCTGGAGAGTATAGATACGGCTTTATAGGAGTAGCCTAGAGAGTGAAAAGGTAACCAAAATATATAAATGGGAAAAATGTGACAATATTAGTCAGTGGTTTTAGATATAGAGTGGTGGCAGGAGACACACATACAGCATAAAAGCTTCGCCCGTGGAACATGTTGCACCGTATGCCATGGTTAACTGTAGACGACTTGTACTTCCTGTCAAGATTTCTTGTCCCAGTCGGATATCGAGTGAGCTTTTTTTATTTATTCAACGGGGAGCTGTCGGGAACCCGACAGCTCTTTAAGTTTTCGTCCTACCCATGCTATTGTCAGTGATGTTGGTTCGTGCACATAGCACATACAGCGGGCTTGTGAGAGGGACGGGTGTGGTAGATCAAAGATATAAGAAGACACTCAAAAGAGTCTTTGCCTTGTACCATCCCATCCATTCCCAGCTTCTATAGACTTTTAATGAAGCGACGAATGGCATTAACCCCGACGCCCTCTCGCATAATTACCACACGAGTACCTCATAATATCGAGAACGGTGTTGTGGTTAGATATCTCCAGCAGAAGCGATATCGGTCAACGAAATCATGGCCAACTCAACCAATACATCAACCTTCCCCATCCAGCCGGAGCATGCAGATCCAGAGCCTGGCGCAATTGCGATTATCAAGCGGAGTGAAGGCATAACCACCATCGCTATGAACCGGCCAAAGAAACGAAATGCCATAGACATTCCAACAGCGAAGAAACTCTACTCAGCATTCCTCGACTTTGAAGCTGATGCATCCCAAAAGATCTGCGTCTTACACGGAAATGGAGGGACGTTTTCATCCGGCTTCGACCTGACCCAGCTGGCCACTTGGCATGGAGAATTACCGAATATGGCCCAGCATTCCAGTATCACTCGAGGGCACTTTGAACCCGTGCGTGGAGAAAATATAGGGCCACTCGGCCCAACTAGAATGCACATTCGAAAACCAGTGATCTGCGCTGTCTCCGGTTACGCTGTTGCTGGCGGCCTCGAGTTGAGTCTTCTGGGAGACCTGAGGGTGGTAGATGAAGACGCGATATTCGAAGTATCTTGTCGAAAATTAGGGGTGCCGCTGCTCGATGGAGGAACAGTCAGGCTGCCGCAAATTATAGGTTTGGGGAGGGCCCTGGATATCATATTGACAGGGAGAGCGATAACAGCAAAGGAAGCTCTAAACATCGGGTTGGCGAGTCGGGTGGTGCCGAAAGGGCAGTCCTTGGACGAAGCGATGAAACTAGCACGGATGCTTGTATCCTATCCGCAAGAGTGTCTGAATGTTGATCGACAGTCGTGCTATTATGCTGTATATCACGCACATTCGCTTGAAGACGCACTGTCTCAGGAATTCGAGGCAGGAAGCAGGGTGAGCGACATGGCCATAGAAGCCGCGTTGGCATTTGTTCAGAAATCGCGGAGACAGTCGAAGCTTTGAAATAGCGAACTCAGCGCAACCCACTGCCGGGAATACCTAAACTCCTTCGCGATAAAACAGTGGATCTCGCGGAAAAACTAACGAGACATAGCTGGGTCTTTTTCTTCTCCTTCTTTGGTGCTTAGCTATTCTGCCCTTTATCGGCTGTTAGCACTGTATAATGTTTCTCTGGAAAGCAAATGTATAGCGCATATCACACATTCTGCAGTCAATTTTGCAACTTTGAATTAGGAGTTCTTCATGGATGTTTCGTACTATCTTCTTTTTCTTCTTGTTCATTTCCCCAAATGTTGGACGATTAATGATATTCGACCATTAGCTAGTAGTAGTATCAATTTATCAACAATAAATTGAAGTCCGCCGTGGAAGGGTTAAGATCCAACCTGGGTTAATGGTTAATAGAACCTGCATCAAGGTGAACTGAACAGGATGAATGTGAACTGGCAACTCTCTATCGCTTGCCTGTACAGTACATAGCGGGAGTCAAGGTTTAAACAGATAACGCAGGGTCAGGTGGAAAGGGGGCATTGATGACGTCATCCCTTCCACAAAAAGCTCCTCCGGGCAGCGAGAAGCTACAAAGATACTTCATATTTGTATCAATTGTGGGATCAGAATGTGCTCTACGGATATTGTATCTTGAAGGATCAATTCTTCTTACAAATTGTGTATCTGCCTCATACTTTCTTCCCCGTTCCTAAATAGCCTGTTGGTGATATCCATCCACCTCCATGCTTCCAAAGGCGCGGTGCTAACAACTCTTGAAGAGCAGTCCAGCAACCTATAAATTTACGGTTATATATCGTATCTTCCATTCAGCAGGAACCCGAGGAAATGGCTCCCGCAATCCGCATCATCGGCTCCCTAAACGTCGACATGGTCTCCGTGACCCCGCGCTTCCCATCCCCCGGCGAAACCCTCACCTCAACCTCCTTCAGCATCCACGCGGGCGGCAAAGGTGCCAACCAAGCTGTAGCATGCGGCCGCCTCTCCCGCCCCAAACCCGCCACCACCACTACACCATCATCAACAGCAGCCGCAGCAGCAGGGGCCACAGACCCCACATCAATCCACGTCGAAATGCTCGGCGCCACCGGCAAACTAGACAACTACTTCCGCACCCACCTGCAACCGACCCTGCATGGCGCCAGCGTCCACACGGCCCGCATCCGCCAGACCGCGGATGCGCACACCGGCGTCGCCGTGATCATCGTCGACAGCGCCGCCGGCGGCGAGAACCGCATCCTCTACTGCCCCGGCGCTAACTACACGGGCATGCAGTGCGCGCCGGACGTGCTGCAGCTGGCGCTCTCGCTCGCGCCGCGGGTGCCGGACGTGCTGGTGCTGCAGGCGGAGATCCCCGTCGAGACTGTTGTGGGGATTCTGCGCGGGGTGGGGGCGTGGAGGGGGAGGCGGGGGAGGGGAGAGAAGGATGAGGCGGAGGCGTGGGCGGAGGTGGAGGTCGTGTTTAATCCGGCGCCGGCGCCGGAAGGGGGTTTGCCGGCGGATGTGTATGCGGCTGTTGATCATTTGGTGATGAATGAGACGGAGTGTGAGAGTATGGCGCCTGCGGGGATGTTGGGGGAGAGCCAGGGGACGGCGGCGACGTCGCGTGAGAGGAGGGACAGGGTTGCGCGACATTTCCATGCGTTGGGGGTGCGGCATGTGATTGTTACATTGGGGGCGAAGGGGGTGTGGTACAGTGCTGGTGATGCGGGAAGGGGTGTACAGGGAGCCCAACAAGGGCAGGAAGCGGGGATTGGAGATGGAGATGGAGTCGGAGGGTGGGTACGGTTTGTGGGGGAGGTGCCGGCGGCAAGAGTGGAGAGGGTGGTTGATACCACGGCGGCGGGTGATACGTTTGTCGGTGGGTATTCGGTGCAGATTGCACGGTGGAAGGAGGCGAGGAGGGCCGCGGGGCGGGGCGGGGAGGAACTGACGGTTGAGGAGAGGAGGGAGCGTTATGGGCCCGCTATGGAGCGGGCGGTGAGGTGGGCTACGAAGGCGTCGGCGAGGTGTGTGGAGAGGAGCGGAGCGATGGACAGTATACCCTGGGAGGATGAGATTTGATTCGATTTGGTTTTACATATTTTTAATTTCATTTTACGGAAATATATAGTACGTTACTTAATAGAGCATGGGAATTTGAAATGATTGATTTTTATATATCTATGTCTAAGTGACCAGTCACCTCTAGCCTACCCTTCGAAGAAGACATATTAGCTCGATTAAGTATGAGAATGGGCTGAGCAGCCGACACCGGACCCGCCAATGGAAAACTTGTGCATGGCTGAGGCGCGAGGTCCCCAATACTCAGGGTCGTAGGCTTCCTGGGAAACCTGTAAAGCGCGTCGAAGATGACACGACCATGTCCAACAGGGGTGGCTTGAGTGCACACTCCTTCAGTGATACAGATGACAACTACCGTGCGAGCAGCAAAGAAGACAGTTCAATGAAGCTGCCACTGGAGCGTCGCAGGCTTCCCACACAGCCACCTTACAGTGTGTTGTGTCATCCTCAATTTCAGATCCCAAGAGCAGCAGCCACTGCAGGTTGTGAAAGTGTTGAACAGGAAGACTGTTTCACAACCCCTGGAACACAGATCATAGACTGGACACACACACATACACACACACACTCACACTCACTCACTCATGACCTTCAATTGAAGCTGAGAGGCATAGTTGCTCTATTCCATTGTTGGCCTGAGGGGGAAGCTGTGATGCTCTCATCTACAGTGACCCAAGTCTATTCAAGATGATCATGCACCATCCAATGACCGCTTCAGATCTCGCAGGTGAGACGACCGCCACGGCCGACACAGAAAAAGATTGCAATGAATGGAAGGTCGAAGGTCTGGACAGGAAAAGACGTTGCTGCACTCGAAAGGAGGACTTCCGCCTAATGGCCCTGAAAAAGGACTTGCCTGGATAAAGTGGGCATCCACGAGAATAGAGCTCTTCCATTTCAAGTAGTTGATTCCATTCAAGATGGCTGCCTGCTTTCCTTCCAGCTTGGCCTTCGCGACCTTTCGAAATTCATCAAATCATATCCCCTAATAGGATCCTGAGTTGATAGAGAGCTCGAGATGCCCTCCGGATTTTGTATAAGTATTTCCGTTCGTTTGTCCTGTCTTTCCATATATTCATTCCACCATCATCATCCGAACCATGGTATTATCGTTCACTTGACCTCCCATTTGAGATCCCATTTCAGCCCCTCTAGATATAATAGTATGAGTATCCTGGTCGTATTCATGTTCATTCATGTTGCTTGCAGGTGTATCTAACAACCCTGCAGCGGCACACGTTCTTGGAGGCATTTGTTTATCCCCTTTTTAATCTTTAATTTTCCGCGATCAAAGCTTTCAAGCAGTTGCTTTTCGTCAGATATCTTCTGCGGCTCAGCGATGCAGCTCACGAGACATTTTATACCTCGGAAAAATAAAGAAAATATGCGGAAGGTTGAAGAAAACAAGCAATCAGGGCTATATAATCCTTGCATTGGTTACAATCTGCCAGAGGCCGTTTGTTGTACGCAGCGCTAGTCCGCAATAGGAAGCCTGGCGCCAACACATTCCATACTTGCACTTGTGAGCACTCTTCATTGTTAAACTATCCTTCAGCTATTCGGCGCCTGACACAACTTAGCAGGCGATAGCACCCATCGAGACGGTGCCAACAAACCAACAGCTTCATGCTAGCTATCCCAGCAAAAACTCTCGCTCTTCGGACCGTCAAACCCTCACATCAAATTGAGAAGGTAGATCTCACGATTAAACCTTGCCTCGCCAGATGGATTCACCATGGATACCACGTATCTTGAAACCCGATTTCACATGGCCGCACATGAAACTATCAACCATCTCTAAAACCACCCCTCCAGTGCCCTCAGTACCAAGCAAAATTTCACTGCGATTCTGGGCTATTATTCACAAAGCTCTGTATAAGTTCTCGGCATATTATTGCTCATGGTTTGGCATCCGATTTGGAAGTGTTGCAGAATTGCCCTTTGGACTCATCATGAAGTGGACAGAGCGAACATCTCTGGAAGAAGTTGCTGCAATGCAGATGGCACGCGCAGGTGGAATACCTGCTCCCAAGTTGCTAAGCTGCGGAGAACATCTCAGAGCGCGATTCAATCGGCCGTCTTACTCAATTCTGATGACAAGGTTGCCGGGGATAACCATGGAAAACACGCATGACCCATTCGATCCTGACGTTGAGGAACCTTGGGTTCATGAGTTGAAGCTGTGTCTGGATTCGATGCGTCAATGGCGCATACCATTGCCCTATGACCAAAATCGTATCTGCTCTGTGCTTGGGACTGCCATCCACAGCACCCGAGTGCCAAACCACATCATGGGCCCATTCGCAAATGAAAAAGAGCTTACAAAGTATCTTCTCTCCGCAGCTTCAGCCCACGGTTTCAAGTCAAGAGCTGAATATGATGCAGCATGGATTCGCGCAGAGCGAATTGATCAACATCCACATCGAGTCACCTTCACCCACGGGGATTTTAAAGCACACAATATTCTAGTGAATGATGATGGGCATTTATCAGGGTTTCTTGATTGGGAGTCTGGGGGTTGGTGTCCTGAATACTGGGAGTTTACAACAGCAATGAGATTTGGAAGGAACAGCTGGTGGTATCAAGTTGCCATGTGGATGGGAGGTGATCAATACATGAAGGAGCTGGATGCTGACGTCGCGGTTAATTTATTGACTGTCGATTCATACATAGGGATGTAGGAAACCGAGTTGCTTATGATGTGCTGGGTTCTTATTTTGTTTTCGTGAATAGCCAGAATTCTCTATCCTGCTTTGAGCACTAGATATGTTCCCTTTCTCTCCAGTTTTCTTTTATAGGCATCCATTAGTCTACAGGCATTCTAGCTAACCTTTCAAAATCTTGCCTAAGGTGGGAAATCTATGTTGATAGACTAGAGAAGAACAAAACATTGCTTCAGATCGGTAATTGCATATCAAATAAATTAATTTGCGGAGGAAAGCCGATTTAAGTGGTTTGAATGGATTAGAAGAGTCTCCTCCAATGCAGTTTCTGATTGACCAAGCAAATAACATAACCTCTCATAAAAGTAGGTGCAATCAGAGTTCCAACTGATTCTAACAGGTTAAATATTGGAATTAACCACCTCTAGAGTGGACGTCCTTCCAAGAAGCGGCTACCTCAACCCCCAAGCCATGAATCAGAAGAGAGGTTCTGAGCTCTCTACCGTTTGTCGCGGCTGAATGTTGGGGTGGTAGGCTTAAAACTATATACTATAAACTCTTCAGATGGTATTTTGAGGCTAAATCCCAAATCATCTAAATTAGCCTTTTGTTTAGCTCTTGGTCACAGATTAATTAATTACCTCTAACTTTATTAACTAATTATTAGCTCTTGATTCTAGCATCTCAAGATGTGCATGGGTTAAAGGGACTATCTACAGTACGGTTCAGCCATAATTTTACTCGCCCACATTTGAGCTCCATTCTTTGTGTATGTGTCTACCGCCGTTGAGTGGACAACTCAAGAGCAGCCCTTTATGAGGCTCTGCTGCGCCGTTCAATAAACCAATAATGTCCAACGCAGAGCCGCGATGAGAAACCATTCAGTCAGCACTTGCAATCCCCTGCAACAGGGCTCAGACTCAACCGGCGATCTTTTTTGGTTGGACTCTATTGCCCAATGAGACAGACACAGCACCACGGTGGTGCCGAACTCCAATGACTTCCATGCCCAACTACCCAACATCTCTGGAATCAACGAGTTGTCAAATGGATTTGGCATAAACTGGCTATTTGAGATGGCACTAATGCAGACCTGTTTGTAGAGCCGCTGCATCTTGTTACGTTTTTCTTTCTTTTTTGCTTGTTGCTCCAAACCCGAGGGATTCTCCCTTTTCTACTCCCCGTAGCCTATCGAACGGGCAGGGATTCATACCCTTCAGCACTGAACTTCATAGAGTTTTGGTATACACCTCCCTGATTTGTTCCATAGCGGTGTGCATGGCTGCGATTGATAGGCCTTGGTTCATCTATGCCCCTACAAGGGCTGGAACCCGGCGGGTGAAATGAACGATGACCCAATATGCTCTCCTCAGTTCATCGATAGCTCTACAACGAGCCTCAATCATGCAGAGGCGCTGCTCTTGAGACGTCGCTCTTTGGCAGGCGGTTACGCTGTTATTAGTAGCACTTCTGGCTCTACATGGAAATGCTATAAAACCCCCTCTCAATCGATATCATAGACGTCGTTTCCTCGTCTCCCCAAATCCCACCAATGTGCAAACTTGGATACCTCTACAAATAAAAAATATCCGTCTTCTTTTACCTTCCAGTCCCCAACATGTCTGGGTTGCCAATCGGCTCTTCCGCCGTGCCAACCAAGGTCCTCTTGGACGCATCCAAATCGACCACATCTTCTAAACAGGCGTCTAGAGAAAGGGCCCTTGAAATCAAACGACTACAGGAGGAAGCCTTGCGAGGTCTCCCTGTCGATTCCCTCTATGTCGTCCTTTACCTCCGGTCCGACCCGCCCGCGCCAAACGACTTCCATTGGGGCTATTATTTCCACACACATCCCGACGGAGGAATCAAATACCACCTCAAGAGCCTAGGCAGTGGCTGGATCACCGAGCATGGCCCAACCGGCGGAGTTTTCAAGTCGAACTTCCTTTGCGTCCTCGTTCATATCGCCACTGTCCCGCAAGAAAAGCACCTCCAAGTGGATCAGATCATGAAATCACTCGACGGCAGGTGTAACTCGATTCCAGGAATCACCTGTCGCGTGTGGATTATGAATATCCTGCAGAAACTGATTGAAAATGGGATTGTTCAGTGCCCCAGTATCGCCGAATTCCAACAGGAATGCTTCACAATTGGGAATCAAAACAGCAAGAATGCTTCAGCGAATAACCAACCTCGTCCTGTCATCATTTCCAGAGTGTGCATCATTTGATCCGGCCTTCTCTAGCCTGTGTTGGCCGAGATTAGGTGAGCGGAGGAACGCTTACCGAACGGGGCTGCATTATTTATGGGCAAACAGGAGCGGAGTTACTAGAACTAGGGCAGGAGAACTGAGAACGGAGAGAGGAGAAAGGCGAAAGTTGTGTACCATATCTGTGGAGAAGGCCTGGTGGATGCGTCGGAAGGGGTCATTCTGTTTCCTCTTTGTTCATAAAGCTGTTAGTTATTAGTTTGTTCCATCACTTCCACACAATGATCACCTTTGCTCGTATAAAATTGAAGATGATTAGCCATTTATCTTGCTACACCTACCCTATGAAATTAACATACTTTTAAGGTGTCATGTAAAGGTTGATTTGAATCATATTTTTTATACTTACGAAGCTTTACGTTAACGTTTTTCTCATTTAAAGTTTGAAAATCTACAAATGCAGTTTGCCCTCTCAAGTCAACATGTTCAGAAGAACTATTATTTTTGCACGCTGTCAATCCCATCACATCCATTCACCCCTCCAACAAGTTCTCTTGCATTCCAGCTGTCCTCGTTTCGTTTTAATCATTCAACTCCACCCAACCCTCCCCCATCTCTTTCCCTTATCCCAGCTCGAACAGAAACAACAAACAACCACCCAGGGTTGTCGTGCCAGTACGTACGAACAAAATTAGGGGCTGGAGAGATGTTGAGGTACTAAATGCTGTAACTACCAACCATCTTCCTGCAGAGGAAAGACTAACCCCGGTTGCACGCACACTGCATGTACCGGACTGTCCAAGGCATGAATGAATGATTGGCAGTTCGGCCACCATTCCACCATTGGCTTGCAGAGCATCCTTCCAGGGAAATGATGGAAATGATGGATGGATGGAATGGACGGATGGTCGAGGAGTTACCGCATTGTATGCGTGTGTGGTGGTGGTAGCGCAAGATGAAACAGGATCGATCTGAGAATAGTTAAATTAATAACTGTAACTGCGTGATGGAGTGAACAAGTATCTCTGGTAATCGCACGAGCAGTACCATACTATCTCTCCTATACTATTATTGACCAACATTATTGAAGCACCTCTGCAATAGTTCCCGTTCATGATGGGTTTAAATGTCTTGCGATAACGAGGGGTTCCTTGCTAACTATCACCCACCCACCAGTCACATCGTCATCATCGACGATTATATCATCATCTCATTCAATCTCCCCAGATCAGCACGATCTCCAGGCTCCCCAGGCAACTATCGCACACAAACATCCGTAGATTGGCGGAAACAATTTCCCCTCCCCAAAATGCGGGCTTGTCCAGCACATACACTCCACGGAGCAAAAAAACATGGAAACATGGAAATTTATGCTCGCGATTCCCTATCGTCGCATCGTGCCATCGTCTCATCGAACCTTCTTCCCCGCTTCTCTAAGTTATATGCAGCGCGTCACGTCGATGGCGGTCAATGATACGGAAATATTACAGGCACACGCCCGTGATGGAGCGTGGCACAAGGCACGGCAGAGTTGGATCACAATCCTCGGGACTTGGTCTTGGGCTGGAGCTATTGCAAGAGGGAGTCTGGGGCCAATAGCTTAATGGACTGGGATCTGGGGAGAGGAAGCTGGAGGTGGCCTTTATTAAGTTACCTACTGGCAAGGCTCCTGGTTCGGAGCTCTAACAAAGTAGTCAACTCTCTCTCTTTCCGTAGTCAAGAGTTACACAACATAGCTCGCGCTGGAGAAACAGCCATCACCAGCAATTCGCATCTGTGGTCCTAATTGCAGAAATTGACGCTGGTTGAATCCCCAGTCTCTGCACTGTCCGAAGTCCTCGTAGTTGCGTACCGTGAACTCGACACACTCCGCAAACGCGTCTGTCCCTGTCGATACCGCCGTCCCGTATTGTCACTGTCACCCGGGAATCGCGCCCCCGTGCCTGAAACCGAGCCAGCCAGTAGTCAGCCAGTCGTCAGCCAGTCAGCCGCAGCCAATCCCCTGAGCCATCCATTCTTCCTCTGCTTCCTCCTCTGCTTCCTCACCGATTCCTCCTCCCTTCTCCTCCCCTCGTCCTCCTCCTCCTCTCACAACCAATTGCAGCTGGTCGATCTTGGCTGGGCTAAAAACAGCACTACGCACTAGACTGGGTAGCTGCTCCCTGCATCGCCTCGCAGCAGCAGCAGCGGCAACTGACGCGAAGGCAACCAACTAGCCCCAGCCAAAACAATCCCTCATAACTGTCCCATCCTCCCATCTTCCCCTCTTTCTCTCGAGTTGCTCGCCCACGCACAGCCAGCATCTCTTGTCCCTCAAGCTCGCCATCTCTTCTATTCTCGTATATCTCCTCTCAATTGTGTTTTGGATTTGAATCTGACCATCTCTTCTGCTCATTGTTCTCCTCCCTGTTGCTGTGTTGTGATTGTTTACATCTAGCCAGGATAACAATACAACCAATCTCTGCCCCACGTCTGGATTGGGTTTCTGCTTTTTTATTTTCTGTGACAATACTACTATAGAGAGTGCTGGGTAGTCCATTCAAGGGACCTGTTCAACTCTCCAAGGAGACTATTGCGTTGATTTTCACCGCCATACCCAGTTGGTCGCCCACAGAGACGACCTCTGCGCACCCCCTCCTAGCAGCACATCAGCAATATATATATATATATATACAATTTCTCACTTGATATGGCTCTCACCCAGCCCGTTTCCCCCCCTGCGCGGCAGCCATTTGGAGTCATTGACCCCTCACGGCTGCGCTTTCTGCAGAGCGCGAAAAACCAACAGAATGGTCAGTCATAGGCGCTTTCTTATCTATAGTTGTAGATCAAAATATATATTCCAACCGAAAAAAGGTCCATAGCCACTGACGATTCCCGCGCTCGATAGGAATTCCAACCCCTTATCTCAAACGCCGTCTAGACACATCTGACCTGTCCGACACGGAAAACGTAGATCCGTCTGCTTTCAACACTCCAAGTGCGAAAAGGGCCAGAGGCACTGGTGATGAGGACGTCTCCAAAACCGCTCCAGGCACTGCGACCAAGTTCGCCTTCGTCGCTCCCCCGAAACCCAGCCTCGCGAAGAACCAGAGGCATCTCCAAACACCCCTCTCTCAAATCAACAGGGCTTCTTCCCTTCCCAACTCAGCCCCGCTCCGTGCCCCAGCAGGGCGCTCTCCGAAATCCAAACCCGCCAAGGCCTTCTCCCGCCGCAGCATCGGCTCATACACCCGCATTGATCCCCCTTCATTTACCAAAACTCGTGTCGCGTCACGGGCTCCCTTTTCCATCGCTGATGCCCTCCATGGAACCCTCAATTCGTTCAATACCAGGGTTATCAGCACGCACAGCACCAAACCGCAGACGCGGACGTTGCAGAGTGCTAAACCCTCACCCCTGGATACTAATGTCAATATCAATATTATCAACAGCAACAGTAGTCGCATCAACCGCAATCACCCCAAAGTCTGGGACTTTGAGATCTACACTGATACTGAGCAGGATGAGATGGCAAATCTCATGGAGCACTCAACATGCGTGCTGGATATTAGTGACGATGAGGATAAACCGCGAAATGCAGATGATCGCGGGAAGGAGAATATTCCGCCTCCGCCCTTGGACTTTGCGGGGGAGCAGGATGCTGCTGTTGATGACGCAGGGGTAATAGTCGCTCCTTCTGCTGCTGCGGTTGCTGCTGCTGCTTCTCTTTCTGGCGCCGCAGATGGTATGGTGGGGCGAAATGTGGAAATGACGGATGAACCGCGTCCGCGCTCGGCGCTGGGCGAGCTGGATGTTACGCGGTTCGTGGCTGTGTCTGAGGAAACGGATGAGGAAGAGCAGGACGGAAATGAGGATGCATGTGTACTCAACACCATCGACCCAGCAGCGATCCCCCTCCCACCACCAACCAGCCAGGAAGAAAATTGTCAATTTCAAGACGAGAAACTCTCAGAGTCAGATCCAGACTCGCAATCTCAACGCCTTCCCCCATCAACTCATAACTCCTCCCCCTACAGCCCCTACCCTCATCACCATCATCACCAACAACCTCAACCAAAACCCAGCCATCCCATTCTAGCTAGCCACGCCGCCATCTCCGCATTGATATCCAGTACGGCCCCACAAATGCCTTCCACTAGCACTGCCAAAAACCCCACTCCTACCTGTTCTCTTGAATCGTCGTCGTTACCCACCAACAACGAGATAGAGATAGAGATTTGGGAGAGCGGGAGTGCGGCAGATGAAGCTGAGGCGGAAGCTAGAGGAGATGGAGTGATGGAGTGATGGAGTGATTTGGGGAGTTACTTGCTTTCCTTTTTCTAAAAAGGTTTATTTTCATAGCAGGGAGAGTGAGTAAATGTTTGTCGTATACATACATAATCTCCCTTTATCAGGTTTGCGTGAATATTTATGTTCAATTTTTTGTGTCTATCCCTGTGTGCTCCATTGTTTCTTTAATTGTTTATTTTTTCGTTTGAGGAGTTACTTTTTGGATTTTGGATTTGGATTTGGGATTGGGATTGGGATTCGGGGGTCGGCGTTGGATCGGGATCGCGATCGGGATCAGGATCGGGATTCTACAGCAACGTGTTGGACGGGTTGGGTGGCCCCTTTCTTTCTCGATTTCGCTAGTGATTTGAGCTGCGGCGTTCTTCTGGTAACTGGTCACTTTGTTGTTGTGTCTTGTTGTCCTGTCCTGGCTTCTGTTTTCCCATGTTCTCTCCGGAGTAGTAGTAAGTTACTTTGGTTCATCATGTCTGATGTCCTTTTTCCGCCTCAGTTTTGTCTCCCCTTGTTATCTCTGTCTTTACATCTGCGCACCGCTAGTTAGAGTTAGTTAGTTCCCTTAGGAGCTAGCTAGCTGTTAATATAATAAATAATGTGTCTAGAATATACAATATGCGGTGTCTTTTTTTTAAGTTAAGTCTTAACCTGTTAATCAATGTATGATTTTCATATTTTCTTTCATCCGCACCCTCACCCTCTTGCTTGGTTTTTTTTTTTTTTTTTGTCTTTTCTTCATCGCGCGCCTCGTTTTATTATTGGTTGTACTGTATGTGGTGTGTGGTATATATATATATATAGAGAGAGAGATAGACTATTTTCCACGCTCTGCTTTTTTCCTTTCTTTCTTCCTTCCTTGGTTGATTTACGTGGTTTGTACCGATATCGGGTATATATATATATGTATAGCTTTCCAACTTTGCGTGGTGAGGGGGTAGTAGTAGTAGTGATGGAAGCAGTGTGAGGCGTGGAGTGATGTATGTATGTATGTATGTATGTATATTTTTTCCTACACGGGAAAAAAAGGGCAAAAAAGGGGAAATAGGAAAGCGATGGATCTATTTATCTGACTCTGTCCGGATTTCAGGCGTAAGGGATAATTAACTTGCCTACTACTACCTACATGCCGGACATCTCCACGTCATCATCTTCTTCTTCTCCTTCGTCCTCCTCCTCGTCCTCCTCTCCCTGTCCCTCCTCCTCGCCCTCCTCGTCGTCCTCCTCCCCCTCCTCCTCTCCTCCTCCCGCAGCCTCATCGTCCCACTTAACCTTTTTGGCCTGATTTCGCTCGCCCTCCTCCCCTCCCCCATCCCTTTCACCACCACCACCACCACCACCACCCACCCCTCCCATCCGCCCCCTGTCCAAAAACACCTTCCGCCCCGGCGCCCCCCGAACCATCGCCCTCACCTCCGCCGCCAAGGACAAACACCGCGCACTAACCCTCTGCCCCGCCTTAGTAGCAGCAGTAGCATCAACAGCACACCGCCTCCCCACCTCCGCATCCCCGCCCACCCGCGCCGGAAACGCCAGCAGCGGCGCGAAGTCCGCTTCCATCGCGGCCGGCGGCGTCGTGCCGGTCTCGAGCATGTGCTGGATCTTGGCGCGCATGATGGTCTTGGCGACGGCGAGGGTGACGTTGCCGTACCAGCCGGAGGAGAGGATATCGCAGGGCCAGGGCGAGGGCGCGGGGGTGGGGGAGGTTGGTTCTGCTGACGGGGATGGCTGTGCGGGCGTGGGTGGACTAAGGAGACGGGCGAGGATGGGGTCGGTGATGTCGCAGATCATCCACATCTTGCCGTCGCGGGGCAGCGGGGCTTGGCCGGTGAAGATGTGGGAGGGGGTTGCGGGGGTGGTTTCGGCGGCGGGGACGGCGGAGGAGAGGCGCGGGCGGGTCTGGCGTCTGTTCGATATCGATGTTGTTATTGTTGTCGTTTGGTTCGCAGGTGCGGGGGCAGTGTTATTGTTATTGTCATTGCCGTTGCCGTTGCCGTTGTCGTTATCGAGTTGCTCGGTGATGCTGGATGGGAGCGTGCGGAACATGAATGTCTGATAGACGCAGGAGGAGGGGTCGAGGCGCGGGTCGTGGCCGAATTTCACAATCGCGTCACGCCACGGGCCCGAGCGGAAGATGTATCCCACGTACGGCACGGCGAGGCGGAGGGCGTATTTCTGCTCGTTGGTGGCGAGGTGGTTTCGTAGGCCGCGGCGGGTCCAGGCCACGCGGGTTTCGAAAAGGGATTGGAGGATCGAAATGGTTTCCCGCAGCGTTTGGTCGAGGGTGTGGATTGGCGGGCAGTTTTCGCTGGGGCCGGTGGGGACCGAAGGGACGTCGCAGGCTACGAGGTGTGTGAGGACTTTCACGATTTGCTGCGTGTTGGTGGTTGTTATTTCGCCCGATGGGCCGATTGATTGCTTGACGGTGGGGTTTTGGCGGTAGCTGTGTTGGACATGTTAGATGTGTAAGTGATTTGAGAAGAAAGAAAACACAGGGGAAACCATACAGGTAGTTGAAGGGGACGTCTCCGCGGCTTAGGGCGGGAGGCGGGATGATGTCAATGTTTGTGGTAGAGCCTTTGGTCATATCAAATTGAAACTCTTTGAGTTTGTCGTCTGTATAGGAGGTTTAGCACAGATATGAGAAACCAGGAGGATAATGATAGACCTTCAGGAGAAAGACGCAGTAGCACATACATCGGAACGGTAAGACCTTCTCCCTGAATTTCGTCATAAACGGGCTGGAGGTTGTTGAGTAGACGAAATCCGGCATGCCTGGGTATTAAGATCAGCCTTGTAAACACGGCACTTTTTGATGTATATGGATATATTGTACTAGGCCATAAGTGTTGGCAACCCCTACTACCTTTCTGCAACAAAAGAGGCACCGTGATTGTAATGGAGGTTGCCAATGCTTATGACCTGGCGCTGTTGATAGATGGTCTGTTTGCGCGTGCAAGAACATACCACGAAATACATGCATCCGCTCGATGCGACCAACTGCTTCGACCTCATATTTTCCCACGCTATCCTGGAGTTGCCGTAGCAAGGCCCGCGCGGATAGAGCACGGGAGGTTGATGGAGGATTGGAAGGAATAGACCCACAGTCTCCTGCAGAAGCATCATGGTCGTTGCCGGTAAAGGGCTCATTCGAACCACGTTTGCGCTTGCGACCAGTCCTCTTGGGGACAGTAATCTTCAACAAGATGTTGTTTGCTGGATTACAGGTGGAGGACAAAGGCCTGCTCATGCCATCCTCAGGGCATAGAAATAGGCTGATTGATGCATCTTGGCGAGGGGGGTTCAGAAGCTATATGATAATATATGTATGTATATATCTCATGTCAATATTATGTTTGTATCGGTAGGACGAAGGGATGCTCTGTCTGAGGTCTTGCTTGCCCTTGAAATGCCGCCATTCCCGTCGAGGGTTTGAATTCCTTTATCTATGTTCTGCACCACGCATGGATGTTCAACGGTAACGATCTCGCGCGCTGGAATCGAGTACCAAGGAGCTGTGCGATCGCGGGCACGATCTGGTTGGGACATTGTTGATGTCCCATCGAGGGTGAGTGGAGAGGGGAGGGTTGCCAATTGAGTAATATATAATTTTGTATGAGCTCAAGAGGATAACCACATATATATGTGCTATGTATCTATATCTTCCAGATAGAGAGATCGATAGATTTGTTTCCGTCATTGCTCTGGTGGTACATTGCCGCTAAATTGACTATCCTATAAAAGGAATAGCGTCATGGCAGTTTTACATGGTAATATTGAAGTATGTAACTTTTTGCTCCGCTGCAGGTCACACATTCCCTACAAATTAATCTTTATATTCTTTTATGATGAAGCACATAGCGGTTTTGAACCCTGGGCTATGCGCAGATTATACGACACTCTGCTGCCAGGCAATAAAGCGCTCAGAGAATGTTCAAGAGCTGGAAGAGGGCCGAGTTGATCCGCCACGTGACGTGCCCCTCCTAGCCGGATCAGGCAACCCGCGCCAAGCCCACCGCGACGACCTGTTACGGAGGCGGCTCCAATGGGCGGCAGCTGGCCAACCGCGCTACTCGACTCTCCGCCCGACAACGACGACAACGACATCCACAACCAACAACCACAACCACCGCTGACCGACCAGCTGCATCGACAACGACAACCACATCCCTATCCATGTCCTGTCCTGTCTCTGCCACGCCCGCCACCATTCTTCTAGTCCTCTCCCCACCTCTCCTCGGCCATTGTCTCTCCTCTGATTCTTCCTTTTACTCCCCACCCATGCCTCGTCGCGCTTGATTCGACCCCCCCTCCTCTCCGAACCACGACCTGCCTGGGATTGACCCCCGCCCTGCTACTGTCCCCCCCTGAAGTCGCTCGTACTCCCTTCTGTTGCTTGCCACCCCGGTCGGTTTCCCTAGGCCACAATATCGAACCAACTACCTCTCCTTTTGTTCTGGACCTTGGGATTTCCAATAGTCTGGGTTTGGTTGTTGAGGTATGTTACATGACTCGACTGGGTAATTCCTGGGGGGTTTTGGCTCGATCATCCCCAATCCTTTCTCACACCATTCCTCTCTTCCTTTACGTTCGGCTGCCCTGTGTCATTTGCTCGTCAGAGTGTGCTGTGCAAACCTGCAACTCTGTCAAAATGCCCACTGTCGAGTCAAAGAATTGCTTTTTTTCTTTTTCCATCACTCGCTCTCCAACCCCCTCTCTCGTTTCTTCTCTCCGTTTTCCTCTTGCTTGCTTGGAAAGAACACCAACTCGACATACCTTGGCCTCCTTTTGTTTTTTCATTTTTTCTTCAGATATGGCTCTTTCTTCATCTCGACTTCACGGCGATTGGCCCCCTTGCTCCGGTTTAACCCCACCTCAGTTAAATTAAGAGCCCTCTCCCCTCTCTCTTTCCCCATTAAATCCGCGTCAGAGAGGGTGCTCATTCGCATGTCGTCCACTTAACAGATAAAATATACAGCTCGCACCGCCTATTCCGTTTCCCCTCGATATTTACCCAGCTACTGGTCACGACCAATCCGCTTGTTGTCGGATAATCGTGGTCGACTGGCTGAATATTGGCGGATATTGTACATGTAGCCGCCGCACCGATATAAGCTACCATGAAGGGTTTCAGACAGAGAGTTGTAAGCCTCCACCACACTCCCCTCGTTTGGATGTTTCTTTGCTTTTGGGGATGTACATGGTATCTTGGTTCCGGTTTGTTTCTGTTGCTGGATGAACCTGGCATTGACTGACCGCTTTAGCACGAACAGCTGTCCCGTGCGAAAGATTCAAACAAGTCTTCTAAGAAGAAGGACTCTTCCGGAACATCCTCCCCAAGTCAGAACACAACCTCAAGTTCGTCGGGCCCTACCCCTTCCCCGGCCAACTCCAACCATGGCACTCCTACATCCTCGACTACCACTGTGAATGATACCAAAGGCAGGCCTGGAATGCAAGGTGGTAATGGTGGTGGGATTCCGGTTGGTGTTATGCATAATAATGCCCAGGCTCAGCTAAGTGCCCCCCAAAGTGCCCAGCATTTTATGCCTCCAGGACAAAACATGGGGGGGACACGCGGGTCAGCTGCCTGGCAATGGACCGGGAACCACCAATTCGGCAACCGCAGGCCTCCAGTTTAAGAGTAAGTATTCTATAGTCTCACCTAAATGTACAATCCTTTTTATCCCGTGGGAAGAGATTGCGTTTATAGTATAGAGAGTTTTCTTATTAGGTATGTGGATGACTTGACTTCTGATGAAACA